TGTGAAATAATTACCACAATGAAGGGAGTTGACACACCTGTCACCTCCCATGATGGCCGTTTTTTCTTGTTGCGGTGAGAGCAGGAAAGCTCTCCTCTTGAAGCAACTTTCACGTATACAACTCAAATTGTAACTGCGGTCCCCACACTGTACATTCAGTCCCGGGACTTAAGCATCTTACAACTGCAAGTTCATACCCTTGGACCAGCAGTGCCCCTTTCTCCCAGCCCCCCACCCCAGCTCCTGGCGACCACCATCCTGCTCTACATTTCCATATATAGTACAGTCTGAGTCCACGACTCTGTGATTGGTTTTTGTTTAGAAGCTTCTCTGCCTGCCCCGCTGGAGGGCTTTCCACTAACTGAGCTTTCCTGTCCCGTTGACCTCAGTCCCTGGTGGCCAGCGAGGCGGCCCAGGCCATCAAGAGCGTCGGCAAAGGCACCAGGTACTCGTACGGCAGCGGCTCGGAAACTCTGTGTGAGTATTTCTTCTCGCGACCTCGGAGAACTGCGAGGTCCTCACAAAATCCGTGCGCTCCGTGCTGCTGTGCCAATAGAATTCTTTTCAATGGACTCTTTAAACAAGGTCATGTGCAAAATAGTTAGATTGAAACAGATACACATGGAAGCATCGTGGCCATGACAGCACTGAACAAGCTACCTCCAGTGAGTATTAAAAAGAAAGGAAGTCGAAATGATATTTAAGAAATTAGGCTCATTGTTGCAGAGTTGGGATTATAGAATTGGCATCGCACTAGTTGAGCGAAGCCAAAGAGGTCATAAAAGGTCAAAGGAATATGTAAGATGCCCAAGGGCCACCCACATCTAGGAGACCATTACATGAGTCGTTTTTCAGTGACGGCCCGTGCCCCACAAACAGCACAGCCCATGGCCCGCTGCAGCTGAATGTCTTTGCATCAGCTGCAAACAGTGCACGGTTTGCATCACCGTGATGAGAACGTGTATATGGCAAACGCCTAACAAATATTTCGAACCCTGTTATACTGGAAGCTCTTGACCGAGGGACTCCCTTGTACCCCCAGAGGGAGAGCAGACAGTGATTTCGCTCTTTCGAAGCTGGAGGGGGGATGGGAGACGGTAACAGAACGTATGTGAACAGGTCAGGGAGTGTCGGCAAACCAGGAACCTGCAGGCCGTGCAGCCTGAGAGCGAAGCTCGTCTTTGTTTCCTTAAACGGTTGGAAAAAAACAAAAGAAGAATAAGATGTTGTGACCTCTGAAAAGGATAGGAAATTCCGATCTCAGTGTTCCCAAATCAAGTTTTCTCTGAACACGGCCACCCTCATTCATTAGTGTACTGTCTCTGACAGTTTCGTGACGATGAGCCGAGCGGCTGTGACATGGACCCTGTCACCCACAAAGCCTAAAATACGGGGTCTGGCAGAAGTAACCCCTGCTCACATGTGTTTGGTGGGGTAATAACACGGGGGTAATAATTCACAGTTTTAATGTGAACATTTCACCTAAAATGCCATACAGTGTGCTTGATGGTGATATTGTTATGTTCCGGAAGGACATGCTGATGGTTTTGTAAGAGAAGACTTTGTAACAAAAAAGAGGCATTATTTGTGCCCGACCTTGTATTTACTGTCTGGTCCTTTACAGAAAAGTTTCCCATCTCTGATGTAAACAATGACATAGTGAAATAGAGTCTAATCCCACTGATAAGGGAAGAAAACAAAATAGGCTTACAGACCTGAGAATGCCTGCAGGGGAGAGAGGCTCCTTAGCAAACGTGGCCAGGGAAGGCCTCTCGCTGGGAGCCCTGCCTGGCAAGTGGCTGCCCCACAAAAGTGAGGGGGAAATCGGGGAGAGGGAATGGCATGGGAAAAGGCCCAGAGACAGTGCATTCAAAGTTCCAGAGCTTCCTTTGAGAGGTACGATCCACAGGATGACAAAAACACACTCCTATGAATAATCGCATTCATATTATTGTCAACAAACCGCTTGGGCACCAGATGCCCTCCTAGTATTAGTAGAAAGTCCAGAAGCAGAAATTTCTTCTTCCTTCTCAACATCCCCACATTGTCTCAGGGCACACTGAGGCCAGAGTGGCCCACGGGGCACCTCTGTCTCTCCTGGTGTCACTGATCCATTGCTGCCTTTACTGACGCAGGTCCCTGCTGCGTCACAGAACAACCCCGCAGCTTCCTTTCACAGTTCAGAGCATCCTCGATTCCTATCCTCTTCTCTGCCGTTGCTCCCCAAAGCATGACCACAGTGCCTCAGGGCTGGAGGAGCTCAGGGGGCAGCTTCCCGCTCTGGTGCGATCAGTCCCTCTCCTTGCATTCGTTCATTCAGGGCGCATCTGTGTGTGTGTGTGTGTGTGTGTGTGTGTGTGTGTGCGAGAGACATGGGAATAATGGCCAGAAGAATACATTGCCAATATTGATATTGGTTGTCAGACATATTTGCTGAATACATGAATAACTTAAACTAATCCACTATTGATGGATGTTGTCCAATATTATAAACAATGTTTCAGTAAACACCTTCGTATCATGTAAATATTAGGAGCAGAAAGATTACTTTGCATTTTCTATGGTTGTCTACCTGGAAAATAGTAGACAATTAACCAAAAGTATTAGCAACAATTAAAAGTTTAGGTAAGGTGGCTGACAGTGAATGAAATATACTCATATATGGATTCATTGTTAAAGTATATATGTGTGTACAATCACAAATCCATATAATATATATTTAGAAACCTAGATAATGTTTCTAGTGTACATTAAAAAAAAGACAAAAGGAGAAAACTGTCATGTTTTTGAGTGGGAAAGCAATGTAAAAAATGTATCAGTAGTTCTAAATTAATTTGTGTATAAATCCCAATGAACACTTAAATGATTTTGAACTTCATCTGAAAGAATAAATTTGGTAGAAGAGCTTGTAGAATTCCGAAAACTAAGGCTAACAAGGAGGAATTTGCCCCGACCGGGTATTAAAACACATGAGAAACCTGTAGTAATTAAGATAGTGTGAAACTAAGCCTGTAGGAGGCAGATTAAGACAAGAGGATAGTGAATACAGGAAGACACTCCAATATATGAGGAGATGCAGTATCTCATAAAGGAGGCAATTCCAACCAGTTAAGGATGTTAGATTATTCAGTTAATAGGGTTGGGAAACCTGCTAAGTTACTTGGAAAAAAAATAATGGGATTACTAACATGCCTTTCTCCAAAATAAATTCCAAGTAGGTAAAATATTTTCATGTAAATGTTCTGTCATAAACCAAGGTAAAAGCTAAATAGCCAAATAAGAAGAAAAAATTCTCCCCATATTACCCATGGCTAACAACATTAATATTGCTTTTATAAACGATTTATAAGTTGGGTCAAATAGAAATAGGAGTAAGACAATGGATTAAAACTATATAAACATGGACCATAAATGTACCAAACAAAATGTTCAATTCACTGGTAAGTAAAGAAACATAAAGCAAGACAATTTGATATTCTTTTTTACCCATAAGACTGCCAGAAGTGCCAAATTCCCATGGACGGTGCGGGGGGGGGGGGGGGGGGGAGAAGTGGGCATGCGCACACCTGGCTAGTGGAGGCGTAAGTTGGTTTGATTCTTTTGAAGGCTCTTTGGCAACAGGTGGCCTAACTGTAAAAAATACATACCCTAATGCTAGCAATCTACTTCTTGGAAATACTATCCTAAAGGAACAAAGAAGCAATTATACATAAACAAGAATGGTTGTCCATTACCCAGAAATTAGAAAAACTTTAAAGGTCTCCAAATATATATTTAATTTATATCCAGTGTTACAGTGCAATGCTATGAGTTAGTTAAAAATGATTTGATTTGAACTCACCAATATATAAAGCTGATCATGATAGATTATGCTACACAACAGACTGTACGGGATTATCTTATTTATGTAGGAAAAATTAATGTAGAACAATTTAAAAATTAAGTGAAAATTATTAAAATTTTTTTGGTTAAAGCCTGCACTGAGAAAAAAAAAGACAACAGCACAATGATGATGATGGAGGGAGGGGAGGGGATGAGGGCTGGGTAGTGGGGAGGTGGACAGGTGGGGGGACTAGAAATCCAGACATCTGTAATGGTGTTAACAATAACAATAAAGAAAGAAAGCGCTACAGCATTAATGGTGCTGAACATTTCTTGGAAAAGTGATTGGATACTTTTAATTTTCTTCCATAACTTGTTTTCCTCCAATCTCCGTTTTCAATAGGAAACTTATATTACTTAATAATCCGAAAAATGCTAAGCAATTTTCATTTTTAGGGAAAAAAATTTTCTTAGTTAACATGAAACATCTGCGTTTCAAAAACTAATGTGTTGCTTTCTTCTTGCAGACTTAGCTCCCGGAGGCCCAGATGACTGGGTCTATGACTTGGGCATCAAATATTCCTTTACAATCGAACTTCGAGACACAGGTGAACATGGATTCTTGCTGCCAAAGCGGCTGATCGAGCCCACTTGCAAAGAGGCTCTTGCCGCTGTCTCTAAAATAGCTTGGCACGTCATCAGGAACGTTTAATGCTCTTGATGTCTTCACCCTGCTCCCACACTTTAATTACTGGTTCCAACAAGACCGTCTCGTGGTACCAGTTTCTTTTTAAGCTTCACCAGTCGTTTTGATAAAAGGTTTTCCTATTCCTTGGTTTTGTCAAAGCACAAAATAAAGGTAATAAACAAATTCGCATTTCCCCCCTTTTTGTTAAAGAAGCTAGGTGAAGATTTTTTCTTTCCCCTTGGATTCAGACGTCGGACCAGCCATCCCAATTTTAATGGTGTATCGCAAATTATTGGACACTGTACAAAAAGGTTGTGAAAAGTACATTAAAGATTTTTCCTCCAAATTTTCAACAAATTTCTGCATGTACCTTTAAGTCAGGCACAGACAATGGCCCAGAAATTGGAAGGGTGTCAAAAACAGGACAGTCGTCTGCCGCCGCTCCAGCCCAGTGTTCATGAAACTTTGTTGAGCGAACGAATGAACTTACTCTCAACCACAAATGTGGCATTTACCGCACTTATAACAGCCATTTATTTAAGGCATTATGTAATAAAAAAACCCCAAACTCTTCCTCTTAAATGCACTTTCAATTGGGAACTTCAGAAGCTCCTGACCCCGGGGTTCCTCCGAGGCGACCTCTCATAAAAAGGAGTTGATTCCGACCGCGCCCCGGGGCGGTGCGAGTGGAGGGCGTGTCCGCGAGGGGGCGGGGCCTGCGTGTGACGACTAATTTGGAGGCCGGAAGCGGCCGAGGGGCACATAGGACCCGAGCTAGCCCTCGACTTCCGGCGGCTTTTAGAGGACATCCTTCCCAGCGGTGGCCAGTGTTTTCGTGGCTTTGTCTTACCCCTATCCTCTCCTTGTTGTTTTTCTGTCCACGTCCCAGTCTCGCCTGACCCTGGCGAAGCGGCTGGCGAGTTCCGCTGCTCACCCGCCGCCGGGGCCCCTCGCCAGCCGAGGGCCGGTTCCGGGGAGCCGCACGCGCACCTCCTTGTCCGTGCCGTCGCCCTCCCGAGGCCAAGCCCGGGGACTGAGAGGCGTCTCCCCCGCTCCTCGGAGCGGTGGCGGCGGTGACAGCTCGGGACTGTGCTTGCGAAGGGAGTTCGGGGAGGAGGTACGCTTGAATTGCGTGACGTGGGGCGGGGATTGCTGGGGGTGTGTGTGTGTGTGTGGGGGGGGCCCGGAGTTGGGCTTCTGCCCCGCCCGGGACCCGCCGGGATTTTGAGCCCCTTGGGCATCCCACCCTTAAAACTCTGCAGCAGCTCCCTGTGCTCGGGGCTCGTTTCTCGCCCTCATTCTGTTTCTGGCGAGGTCGTCTAAGGGGACGGGGTGGATTCTGAAGGAATCATGACCGCTGGAGGTGCGCTTGGGGACCCTTGCGTGGGATTGGCGTTTGCACGCAACGAAAGGCTTCGGGAATGTGGTTTTAGGTGTAAAATTCCCTCTTTACACATTGGAGGCCTATTAGGGGAAATATTGTATCTTCCTTTGGGTTGTCTTTTGTCTTACCTATTTCCTGGCAGTGGTAGCTTAACGACTCAGGCCCTCGGAGCTGAGGAGTGCTACTTGACCGTCTTCCCGTTCCCTGGGTAGATAGTTCTGGCAACTATGTATCAGAAACCGGGAAGGTGCTGCTTGGCACGATCTGATGTATGGCGAATGATTTATGCAGCTAGACAATTGTTCAGAGTCGATATTAGTTGAGTGTTACTGGTAGAATCTTGACTGCGGATCACTAGTAGTGTTAAGCTGTTAGGTTATTTTGCGAGATTTTCAGATAATTTGAACTACTATGAAAATGATGGGCATGTGCAGTCTCTTCAGGGTTTTTGTTTGTTTGTTTTTGAAGACATAATTTTAAAAGTTTGGAAAAGATCTTCACACCTCAAGTGTTCCAAGTCCAGAACACACGCAGTGAATACAAATGCGCTTATGCGCTACAATCCCTGCGTGGTCAGCAGAGTCTAGTTCTGTAATATTTGAAAGTACTGGCTTTAGGAACTAAGCGAAAGTATTTTGGAGAGTTTTGTGAAAATAATCTGTAGATCTTCAAGTAATTTACAATTTCTTAGTGAAATAATTTAGATTGTTACATGACAATTTCAACAAGAAGCTGAGAATGTTGATGCAGGAATATAGCAATTCGTGTCAGTAAAAGCAGTTGCAAGGTTAACCTAAGACTGGATCTGATAGAATCCAGTTTTATCAAACTACATGCCTTTTACTAGCTTCCTAATTATTGATGATTCGAAATGAACATTGATTGCATATTTAAGGTATGCAAATTAACTCAATTTCTGTATCTGTAAATTAAAACTAAAATCCAATAAGTAGATGTTTTAATTTGTGTACAGGTTACCAGTGTTAATTTGTATTATCATATGTATTGGCTTTTACATGTGGAAAGCAAAATTTCGTGACATAGTTATTTGAAGAGTTGGTTCTCAGTGCCTGTTCGTCTCCTCCATTCCCCACTCTCCTTGTCATACAGAGTTGGAGCTGTCTCAGCAGATATTTAGTAGCAGTTGAAACAATAACAGATACTGATACATAAAGTGTCTGTTATTCTTTTTTGGTGGGGAGAGGGTAGTTGCCGTTCCGTCTACTTTGCTTTACAGTAGTTGTCAGCATGGAATTTTCCTCTGCGCTCTTCTCAGCAAATTACAGTGCTACAGTGTTGCCTTGCTCATACCTTTGTAGTCAGGTTGGTGATGTCAGTTCTGTTCACAATTCAGTTTGGAATTGTTTTAGTTTATCTACTACATCTAAGGAATCTGCAAGATTGTTTTAGAAAGTTCTTTTTAAAAAATTCTCCCAGATTATGCAGCAAATAAACTTATCTTTTTTTCTGTCAAAAATATAAAAAATAAATAGGAATGGACATTTTTAACATAGCCCCTTTTATTTTAGAACTGCAGTGGGTAGGGATTGATTCCGCTCCCACTTAGTACATGTATGTAGTGTCGGTTGCTTGGTCATTTGTCAGTTTACTGATGTCACGCTGCTGCTCATCGGGTCGTGCCTGCATTTGGGTTACTGGAAGGTGGGACCTCAAAAGAACGTAGTTAAGGATGGACGTGAGCATCCTAGGACTGATACCTGTTTTACTGACAAGATTTCGGTCATTAGGCTTCAGAAGTAATTGTTTAAAAAGAGGCCCCTTTATATATTTTTTTTTCTCAGCCCTGTTTATAGTGTGAGTTACAGACATCGTGATATTTATAAGTTTGGGGGCAGGGGCAGACGGTGTCCATCTCTAAAGACCCTCTTTTGTTGTGTCTTAATGATGCCAACTTTGTCCCCTGCTTTTCTTTTCAATTGAAAAATATAATAGTGCCTGGTCTTTATTAACCCGTATTTGCCCCGAAAACGGAGAGGTGAGCTAGGAAAGTACTCCGGAGACTCTCACGAGGGCTGTAATGCTGGGATGGGGAGAGACGTGATGATGGGAAGTGTGATGGCAGCCGAAGACCAAAGCAGACCTTGAAATCAAAACTGGAGAGAGAGCCTTCCAAGTCTCTGAGCTAGGGGAGTCTTTAATGTTCGCATTTTTATTTCATTTTATAATTTTTAAGCTTCTCCCACGTACTCTGAAGCATTTACTTTTTATTGAAGACTGTTTAGATAGAAGCTGAAAAAGTCCCCCAACCCAGTTGCATTTGCCTTTTATTCTGTTGTGATATTTATCTTGCTTTGTGGGCCCAAAATTTTAGGTTGAACATTTTAATTAGGTCACATTAGTTGGTAACATCGTTTTAAGTTAATTCATTTCTGTATATGAGTAAATGTTTTCTTAGTATATTTTAGATTACATGTATCTATTTAGACAAACAGAACTGAAAGTTTTGTATCTTGTATTCTTTGCAAGCATAAAGCATTTTTTCTATGCAAAATCATTAATGTTTCAATAATAATAATTAGGTAAGTTGTTATTGTTGGGTACTGATGGAGGTTCCTAGATAGACAGATGATCAGAAGAATTCCCCTCTCTCTCTCTCTCTCTTTCTCTCTTTCTCTTTTTTTTTTGAAGTCTAGGACCTTCCTGTAATCCGGACCTGGTACTCAAACTCACTGCCATTTTAGGGCAAGGTCTGACACTGTGGGACTCGGAAGAAAAGAGAATAATACCACTCTATTCCGTTGCTGTTCTTTCTTAAGGTGGTAGAGTGCATGGTAGCCAGAAGTAAAATTCCTGGGATAAGCAGCGTGTCGGTGAATCTTGAGCAGTTCCTTATGTCTGTCACTTGTAAAAGCAACTTCCTCTCTGTGAGGAGCCAGTTTTAGTGGCAGGAATGCAAGGAGAGGGGCAGCATGGAATCCTCAGTCCTCACCGGGGGTCTTTGCCATGGCAGCCCAGACCCTTTGAAGTCCTCAGAGCTGATGCCAGGGATGTGGGATTGGAGGGGAGCCGGGTGACTGCCCTTTCCAGCCCCAGGTGTGAGGGGGGGTGGGGAGTGCTGATCCAAGCAACAGGTGTCAGAGCGGGAAGCCAGCGTGGGTGCCTGGAGGCCCCGGCTGTGGGAAACCCTGCCGTTGGCTTGTCGGGAGGAGGAGAGGAGGGCGTGCTGGGAGCAGTGAGGGCACCCCGGGAGTAGGCGGTTTGAGGACAGAGCACCCATCTCCGTTGAGGGCGGAGAGAAGAAGCGTCAGACTAGGGTGAGTCTTGGAGGCAACGTGGGGAGGTGGTGCGTCTGTTCGCCGGGTCCCAGATAACCAGTCACAGCTGGTTACTAAAACTCACTCTGTTTTACATTTATTAACACGTTTTTAAAATTAGCGAATGGGCATTACAGTGTAGCCTACATGTTAATATAGTGACACAATGAAACGTTAGAAATTTGTTTTTGCTTACCAATTCTGTTATAAATTGTAAAGTCATGGTTTTTTCAGTTCATCAAAGCTCTGCATTTTCTGCAGCTTTCCCATATCCATGTATACTGGCTCTTAGTTCTTTATGCTCAGCAAATCAAGTAGACGTGAAATTTTACCAACTTTTCCTCTGTGAAATCACATTTGGGCTGGGAGTGAGCCCAAGAAAAGCTTGGAGAACGGTTGATACTTTATGTTGCAGCAAATTCTTCATTTATGTTACACTCTACACATTTTTTAAAAATTTTGAAGTGTAAAGTAATTTTCTAACTTTGAATCACTAACAAGTCATTGCTATTAAAATAATGATTATATTTTACATTAAAGAATGTATTGTTTTTTCAATTTAAACGTACCATATTGTGTCACTGCACATTTTCCTCTTGGTTCATTTGTCAAATAGTGTCCTTATTCTTTGGGTCCTTTTAAAATGTGACCTGAAAAGAAGTATTTCACTGAAACAAACATTGTTAAAAAAATTTTTTTTTTAGTTTTGATTTGGTATTACTGTGATTTAATAATTTTTCAAGTGATGTACCTTTACCTTGAAACACATTAAAAGAACATTTGTGAACTTCATAGAGACCAGTTTTATACCACATAGAAGAATTCTTACATTAACTACTTTTGACTACTAATAAGATTTCAACTAATACTTAGATTGTATAAAGTATAATACTGTTCGTTGTTTTGTTTTTTGTTTTTCCTCTTGTGCAGTTCCTATGGTAGTGTACTCTTTAGGTTATTTTTGGTCTAGAATTTAGCATTTTTTTTAACATATATCATACACCGTATTTTTGGACCATAAGATGCACCTAGGTTTTAGAGGCAGAAAATAGGAAAAAAAATTTGAAGCAAAAAATGTGCTAAAATATTTAATAACATAAATAACATAATATTTCACCAATGTAAATGTAAACAGAACTCAGCAGCATTAACAACCATTATTCCTCTCAAATTTGGGGGGGGGGCGTCTTACAGTCCAAAAAAAGATACATAACTTTTCCTGATATTTTCATTTTCGGGTGAATTACCTGATGACATATTTGGATAGTGTTTTATTACCATTTCAGTTTTAATATTTTATTTACTTCTGTGAAATATGTTCAGGATTTGTCTTCCTTGTTACCAGCAGCGGTGGAATAGCCGGTTTATTACTTTTAGTGCCTTAGGCTGTCATGTCAGTGCGTGGTGGACGGTGGAAGCCCCTTCACCGTCTACACAGCTTGTTCTGTTTCGAAAGAAAGTCGTCCTATTCTCACTGAGTGTCTTTTTTTGTGTGTTACTGGAAAATAAATATCCTTGATTACTGTTCTTCTGGACTACTATAAGACAAAAAAACTATTTAAATAGTCTTCATTTTGCTCCCAAGCTGATTTTTAGAACATAACTAATGTCACTTAAATTATATAACATATAACTTCTTCTATCAGTGAAATTCTCGCCTGATTTTATTTTCCCGTTTTTGACATGCTTTATTTCCCAGTTAACCAATTGATGGAGAATGATAGTACAACTTTTCCTTAAAAGATAGTTACTGAGTCTTGACATGTCCTGCACAAGGAACTATTTTATAAAACTAACTGTTTTATGGTGTGTTTTCCGAGGTTGAATGTGCTGTGACTGCTTAGTTGTGTGAGTCAAATCTCACTCATTTACTCTGCAGAAGAGGTAAAATTCTAGCCAGCAGACCCTGAAGTTGTAAATTGACGATAAAGGTGTCTTAGAGGATAACTTCTGTTTACCTGTGACCTCTCCTATTTTTTATTTTTTATCGTGAAAAAGAAAATCCCTTGTAGTTTTGCAGTGCTTTCTTCAGTTTTATCTGCTAAGTTATGGGCTCAGTTATTTCAAATTGAAGAATTTTACAGTTTTGCCTCTTTCTTTCTTGGCTAAAGTAGTACAAAATGTCAAAAATTAGAAGGAAGGTCACAGTGGAAAATACGAAGACCATTTCTGAAAGCACGTCCCGACGGCCCAGCGTGTTCGAGAGGCTCGGGCCCAGCACGGGGAGCGCGGCCGAGGTGAGTGGCCCCCGCTGTCGGCCACGGGTGCCTTTGCAGCCCTGCCCCTGAGTCCCCACGCGTGTCCTGGAACTGGGCTGGTAGGTGTGGCAGTGGTGGTCGGGAGCAGGATCTGGGAGGAGGGTAGGGTTATGGGGGTTTTTTGTTTTGTTTTGCCCCAGTTTTTTAAAATTATTTGGGGAAGAATGTATATCTCAGGTTAGCTGGAATGTTCATAGCATTTGTTTTAATTTTGTTCCACTGGCATCTGTTGTCCAGAAGTAAGTATGAATAAACACAAAGCTTACACGGTGCTGTCTGTCTCTTAGACGCAGTGCCGTAACTGGTTGAAGACTGGCAACTGCCTCTATGGAAACACGTGTCGGTTTGTGCATGGCCTTTCACCCCGGGGCAAAGGTTATAGCAGCAGCTACAGAAGGTAAATTGAGAACTTGGAATTGTTCATGTGCAATGAGAAGATGGCCTCTGTACTTTATCTAGTAAAATGGGAAATACAGCCACGTACTTGGTCAGATTTTCTATTGTGGTGGTAGTCCTATTGATATGTAGTCAAAGAGCACCAAGATCCTTTCAGTTGTTAATCTCCGCATTAATACACTGTTGGCTTTAAAATTAGCTTATTTGGTCAATATTTGCTTGTTTTGACAATAGATCTTTTTTATAATATATGTGTGGCTTACTTTCCCCCTCCCCAATTATGTATTAAAATGCTGCTTAAGACAGAATTTTATTAAAATTTAAATAGGATGTAATTTTAGCTTTTCAGAGGTTTTACATTTAAATCTTAATGACAAAACATAAGCTATTGCAAGCTCTGAAGGTTAAAATGCATTTTCTAATTCCTTATCACAATGTATTAATGTATTTACATGAGAATAAATGTACTACCTATTTAGAACACCATTTTGTCTTTAATAAAGGCAATCCTAAATTAATCTTTCCTAACAAAGATCTTTTATTTTCTTTTTGGTTTCCTCATGATGATTTTGTTGTGGTGTTTGAAGATGGGTCATGTGTAAAGATTGTCAGAAAAAGAGCTCAGATTTGATTGATAAAGAATAATTCACCTAATTCTAAAATTGGGTGTGTTGATCAATTGCTTTGGCTACAGGAATAGTTTAAAAATTGAAATTAGCATTTGGAGGTTTTTTTTAATTGAATAAATTTTTGTGTGTGTATAGGTTTTGAAGTTTAATAGAATTTAAAATTCAAACCCTTAACATTAACTTTCTATTCACTTAAATGTTGTATATTTTAGTTTACTTGTGATACTGGTGATGCCGAATACAGTCTCACTCGTATTTTGATTATCATTTATCTTCTCTGTTACTGATAGGAAATTAGTCTTCATAAATTTAGTTACCTGTATAAAGATATGCCTGGGGAACTATTTCAGTAATTTTAATGTTTTATGTTATTATACATTTTTAATACATGCTTTAATTCATCTTCAAAATTTATTATTAACCGATGCAAAAAAATTTTAAAGATTTTATTTATTTATTTTTAGACAGAGGGGAAAGGAGGGAGAAAGAGAGGGAGACAACATGTGGTCGCCTCTCATGTGGCCCCCAACTGGGGACGTGGCCCGAAACCCAGGCATGTGCCCTGACTGGGAATCGAACCTGTGACCCTTTGGTTCACAGACTGGCACTCAACCACTGAGCCACACCAGCCAGGCTTCTGCAAATATAGTCTTGTAAAAGGATACGTAAATACAGATTTGGCTGTTTTGTTTCGGGTTTTGTTTTGTTTTGTTTTTGTTTTAAAGGTCCCCAGAAAGACCGACGGGGGATCTCAGGGAGAGAATGAAGAACAAGCGCCAGGACGTGGACGCCGAGCCGCCGAAGCGCGGCGCGGAGGAGTCGTCCTCCCCGGTCAGGGTGGGTAGGGGCGGGCGCCCGCCGTGCACTGACGGGCCAGTAGTGCCCTGGCGTTTGTGACCGTTTAAAATACACCCCGAGCGGCGAGTGTGTGTATGGGGGGGGACGTGTGAAGTTGCAGAGTGGTGTTCCGTGTGGACAGTGTGATTGCACGGGAGAAAGCCGTCTGGCCAGACTCTTGTGCTCCGGTTGCTGCCCTTCCGGCGGAGGTCAGGGTGGAGGGAGGTCACTGGCTGGTGGGGCTCGGGCCGCACTTGTCGGGGCGTGCGGACGCCGTCCCGGGTCCCCGGGGCTCAGCCGGCCAGTCCTCCCTGCCGCTGCCTGGACGGTCGGTCGGAGCGGCCTGGGGTCGGGCACTTGTAGACGAGACCCCCCCGAAAGCACGCCCGGCGGGGACAGGACTGAAGTGGACGCCGCGGGTGGAGGAGGGCTCCTGGGACAGCGGCACTTCGCGCCGGCCTTCCTGGCGGGGGCGCCCGAAGGGAAACGCGGTCCGGGGTGCGGTTTATCGAAGACAAGAAGACGGGGGTTTGTCAGGGGTGGGAGTCTTTCCCGGGGCTTTTTCCCCCGAGGAATTTATCCTAGCAGATTTATCGAGATACGAGTCACATCCAGTACAGTTCGCCTGTGTAAAGTACACACTTGGGTGGTTTCTCGTGTGTTCACGGTCAGGCGACCACCGCCACAGTCAGCTTTGGGACACTGCATCCCCTCCAGAGGCGCCCCACACCCTGGGGCAGCCGCCCCCAGCCCCCACTCCCCACTCCCGGGGACCGGAGCCCTAGGCCGCGGCCGGCCGCTCGCCCGCCCGGCGCCCCGCCTGTCTGAGACCCCCCCGCCTGTCTGAGACCGGCTGCCTCAGTGCGCTCGGGCGGCCGTGGCTTTCGTACCCCGCTTCCTCCGCTCCGCGCGGTGCGCCGCGCAGTGTTTTCGGGGGTCTTGGAAGAGTACAGGGCTTGTCCGTATTTCAGTCCTTGCTTTTGCCAGATAATAGTGCATTGTATTGATACCTCACATTTTGTTCATTCATCAGTTGGTCACTTGGTTTCAAAATAGGGAAAGCCTCTTTTTTAAAAGCATTTGTAAGATTGCTAAGGGGGTTTGGGTTCATCTTTAGGTGTGCAGGAAGAGGCTGTGATGTTACAGTGTGTGACAAGTCTTAGATCAGCGGTCACTGTGATGGGTGTGTCCCTTCCTAGTAATTTGTTAAAGACACAGATCTGTGTGCATTTTACCCGTTTTAAAGAGTCTTTTACCCTGTGATTTTCGCATAGTATACTTTGTATGTGACTATACATAGTATACTATCAAGTGCTTATTAAAGTATTAGATTTGCAATGTATATTTTAAAATCTTACTACTCCTTACACTTACTGCCTCTTTGTTCTTGAGTGAAATAGACGCAGCGTGTCTTTTTATTGTGGTGCTGCACCAACACTGGTCACTTCCTGTGCTCAGTAGATCCGTGATTATGTACAGAACTGATTCTTTAATGAAACAAAATGAGTGAGGTTAGAAATAATGATCTCATACAATTAAAAAACATATAGTAACTCACATATATGTATGTGCTTTTTAGAAAGAGTCTTCAAGGGGGAGACATAGGGAAAAGGAAGACATAAAAATTACCAAGGAGAGAACTCCAGAGAGTGAAGAGGAAAATGTGGAATGGGAAACCAACAGAGACGGTGAGTTTCAACAGGCTCTGTGTTTGTAGTCAGTGTATTGACTAGTCACGTTGCAGACTTTTTGTGGGCTTCGAGCGCTTTCCAACTGGGATCTGCCTGTTTGTTTAGAATCATCTTATTGTCTTGTTTCTCTGCCTTGTTGAGGTGCGAGGCAGCAGGTGGCCCACAGTAACAGAGCAAAGGCAGAAAACACCGTCCAAGTTCTTCATCCTTTTTCCTTCCTTCAACTTTGCTTCCTTCAGCTTCACTTCAACTACACACACTTCGACTGTGTGTAGCCTCACCGTCCTTTAGAATTTTAGTACATTTGTAAATCTTCTTTTCCTCAATGTCAGAGTTTAAAAATTCAATCTAAATTTATATTTGTATTTTTTTCACAATATTAAAAGATTTAAAATTTTTAAAGATCTGGGAAAATTATTTCCAGGGAATTGTTGACTTCGTCATTCAAAAGAGATTCAAATCCAATGATAATTGAGACTTGGAATTTGTTTATGAAAAATTAGCAAAATCGTCTTTGAGTCATTGTCTTAACAAATAAGCATTTATTTTCCACACCATGAGTGTTCTTTCCTCCTCGCTTCTGTGGCCTTCTGAAGGTGAGCACTGTGGACGCACACTGCCAGATACAGAGACGGGGGATGCACTTGTGGGATGTGTGGGGTGCGCTGGGCACTTTAATACAGTTCGTGTAATTACCTCATTAATTCAGCAGCTTTGCTGGGCTGCTTATATATGACATAACTAAAGAGTTTAAGAACGTAAGCAACTACTCAGCAGTATGATCAGGGGAACAAAATTGTAGCTTGTGGGTAGGTCTGCCAGCACCTCGCTTTACAGACAAAGCTTTATGGGAATACAGCCATATGCATTGGGCTGCAGGTTTTTCTGTGGCTGCTTTGGAGCTGCCATTGATGAGTTGGTTACTTGTAACAGCCACGAGCCTGCAAGTCCCAAGTAGTTGCTCCTGTACTTAAGAACCATCTCTGAAGACTTACGGGGACTAGTACTTGAATTGTGCCCTAAATGCCTCTCCAGTCATTCGAACATCAGTGCCGTTTAGGGAAACTCACTCCCCCCTCAGACGGCGTTATCTGATGGAGAGGGGCCTCTGAGAACAAGTAGAGCACCTACCCCTGAGTGGTTCACTGGGTCGTAAACCAGCCTCACGCCTCTTACAGGATGGTTGTGAGTGCGGCTGTGCTCCACTGTGGTTGACGGACTAGTTAGTGTGTTGGAGCGAAATATTACAAACCTTAGCTGTCAAGATTGGGTAGTTAACTTCCCTAAATAGTAAAGGGCCAACCCTTAACCTACTCAGCATTCTTGTCATTTTAATTATTTTTGGATTAAAAAAATCTGAAATTTGTTAGAAACCTCCTATCTTTAAAAATAACAACCTATTTCTATTACAATCACGCATGCTTATTGCTGAAAATTTATAAGGTTCGTAAAAGCCTCAGTCAGTTTTCTCCATATTGTCACAGTAGCTAATGGAGAACCTCTCAGGTCTCTGATCCCTCCATCCGTGCTGCTTGCTGTTCGCCACTCAGAGGCGACGGAACTCTTCATCTGCGAGCGGCCCCGGCTTCCTGCCCCTGCATACCTACACACTGGTTTTTATCCACGCCCAGATGTGTTCGTTTCCGTTTTGCTCTCAGAGAGGTCGCCCTTCAGCTGTGTGAGGGTGTAGTCCCCTGTGTTCTGCATCTGATTTCCTTCTTCCTCTGCGATCTTCTTTCCTTATTATACATCCATCTTGACATGTTGCTCTTCCCGTGTTACTTTCACCCATCACCCGGCTTGTCCCAGCTCGCAGCTAAACTCTGAGAGAGTCCCGTGCCCGACTGGCTCCGTTTCCCCCTCACGTGTTCAGCCTTCTGACCCACGTCTGCCCTAAGCCTGCTCCCCAGGGCCCCTGGTAACTTCCCCTCTGCCAAGTAAATGGACACGCTCTTGTCGCCTCCGTCTTCCATGGCCTTTCTGCCGCGTGACGCGTCCGAGAGCCTCTGTGGTGGTGAAGTCCTCCCCCTGCACCCCCTCCGTCCGTCCCCGTGCCGCTCTTCGGGTCTGCTGCCTCCCGCTCGCGCCTCCCTGCCCTGCCTGTTGGTCGCCGACGCTTCATTCTAGACAGTCCCCTAAAAACTCTAACGTGATTTCAGTACGAGAGCCTTTTCTTCACTCAGCTCTTGGAAAGGTGGGTCGGTGTCCTCTGCCGCGGTTCCACTCGCAGAGCATCCACGTGGCTGCTCATGCTTTCTCTTGATTGACACGGACAGCTGTGGGGCATCGTGGGCCTTTGGTGTCCTCAGGGCTGAGAATCTGTTTCCGAGTGTTGTACTTTGATCTTTTAAAAATCCCATTTCCCAACCAGAACTCAACCCGCGACTACCCAGAATGACTCCCAGAAAACCTAGGAACCTTACAAATATTTGGCTTTTCATAAAGCATCCATATTGATTTGAATCCTATGTAGAAACAGTACATATTTCTTTTGTCTTGTAGAAGTATGTTAATCTAATAAAAGGCTCTATCATTTTAATTGATATAAAAGTTGAAGAGATGCTCTAGTTTTTGATGTAGATAATTATTATAGCCTCTGACAAGTAATGGGGTTTTTATTTTAAAGATTCTGACAATGGAGATATTAATTATGATTACGTTCATGAGCTGTCATTGGAAATGAAGCGTCAGAAGATACAGAGGGAATTAATGAAGCTGGAACAAGAAAACATGGAGAAGAGAGAAGAAATTATTATTAAAAAGGAGGTGTGCTATTTATTGAAATATGTTAGTCAACTGACATCAACATGGGTATTTATCAGAACTCACCACCTACGTGCTACATCTTCAGCTGCGTTAGGACACTGATATTTATTGGGCAGCTTGCTGCGTATCAGTCACTTCCTCTGTGTTACTCATTTGATCTGTTGGATAAATAGGGGACCTCATTCCTGCCGAGCAGGCGAACAGAGCTGAGGTTCTGTTGCCTGGGGCGGCCAGCTAATGGGAAGTGGGGTTGGGTTATGTGTGCACCTGTTGTTTGGGCCCACGCTACTTCTAGCATACTCGAGTCATTTCTAGAGGGAGAGAATTTATTGGAATATAATTTGTGATTTTTTTTTAGGAGACTTTGAAATTTCCTAACTTTAGTTTGGTTTATTGGTGTTAGTGTCATTTAGGGCAGAAAGCGCGGGTTCAGAAGTCAGACTGCCGCCAGTGCGTTATTGTTGCTGTAATAACACGTAACAGTTTGTCTAAGTTTTGGTGTGATTTAAAGACGTGTGCTTCGTTGCCTGCATGTTACAGCCCCGAGAGAAGTTCCTGAACTGACCTACTGATTTTTTTTGCAAGGTCTCACCAGAAGTGGTTAGATCAAAGTTATCTCCGTCACCTTCTCTGAGGAAGTCTAGCAAATCTCCGAAGCGGAAATCAAGCCCCAAGTCATCGTCCTCGTCGAGCAAGAAGGACAAGAAGACGGCCGTGGTGTCCTCTCCCCTGCTGGAGCAGCAGAGGTCAGTGGGCTGGCAGGCGGGGCCGGGAAGGAACGGCTCTCTCTGAAGTGGCGCTCGGAAGAGTTAGTAGATTGCAGAGGGTACTTCTCGTGCTTTCAGGGTTGGATGTAAGGTTTTTTTCTTTTAAAAAGACGGAAATGTTTCACTTCAAAAGGAAATAATGAACAATAAAAAGTCTCACATCTACATGTGCTTCAGAGATTTTTGTTTTTTAAGAAATGAAACATAACAGATACATTTCCTGTTTTTTCCCTCTTGAATTTGGCTTTTATGATTCTTTTGTATGTGTCTTCATACTGCCATACTTTCTTCCCCAAAACAGTGTACCAGAGATACTCCTTTGTTCATTTTCTTATTCTGTTCCTAAAGTCTGAAATTGAAACTCTCCATAGAAAGTTTTGGTGACTCTTCGGATGAAGGGTTAGTTTCATCCTGTTCTTTTTCACGTAGTTCTCTCTTACTGCTGTATTAGTAGCGCACTTACCTTTCGGTGAATATTTAGCATGAATAATTACCTACGTGGATATAACTGCGCTATGTCCTGTATTCTACAATGTTGCTGACTACTAATTTGAGAATAGAAGGAGAAGGATATGGAAAATAGTATATTTTAGGTACGAAGAAAACACTGAGTTGCCTGTTCCATTTCTGTAGCTCTGTCGTTTCTTAGCTTCAGTTCTGGGTCATACAGTGAACTGTTTGAAGACATGTTAAACCACAAGTAAGGGTTAGAATGTCATTTAGAAATCAGTGGAGTGTTGCAGCCAGTGCCCGTGAGTCACCGGAGGTGACAGTCAGGTAAACAAACTCTTCGGTCGTAGTCTTGTATGGTGACCATACTATTGAGGACGCAGAGGCGATTACAAACCAGTTAGAACTGCCCCCCATGCCCCGGGAGCTGGCGGTCTCCTCTGAGGTTGCTGTGAGACGCAGCCTGACGGTGGGTGGGCGTCACGTTGACGTGTGAGGTGTGGTGGGCCTGGAGTCAGCCGGTGTCGTCGGCTCCAGCTCTCCACATTCTCAGTTTTTATTAAGTAAATTACTTCTTCGCTCGTGTCTCTGTTGTCTAGATACCGATTACTAATACGCAAGTTTTTGAAAGGAATGCTGCCATTTTTTTAAATGTGCTTTGTTCAAATGGGAAAAAAAAAATCTATGAGACCTTCTGAAAGTCTTCAGGCCTCTAACGATAGCTTTGTGTTACCCGCAGGAGTTCGAAGAGCAACCAGGGCAAGAAAAAAGGGCCTCGAACTCCCAGCCCGCCCCCTCCTATACAGGATGATATCGCTCTGGGGAAGAAGTACAAAGAAAAGTATAAAGTGAAAGACAGGACAGAAGAAAAACCGAGAGATGGCAAGGACAGAGGTCGGGACTTTGAAAGACAAAGAGAAAAACGAGACAAGCCCAGGTGAGGAAGGGGGGTTCCGTGTTCTCACAGTCTCGCTTTTGTGGGATCCGAAGTACTTGTACGGAAGCTTCTAGGCATTATTGAGATAGATTTTTTTTTTTAGTGTTACTAAGTTTGGTATGTATACTTAATAGTTCCCGTATTGAATTATGGGTAATTCAATAAACATCAACTTAAAGTTTTTTACTGTGGTTAAAAGAACGAAATTCCCAGTCTTCATTTTTCAGAGTGTAGTTCAGTCGGTGGAGTTAAGTGCATTTGCATTGCCACGAAACACGTCTCCAGACCTTCTCCGTCTTGCGAATCCGAAACCCGAGACCCAGGAAACAGCTCCCTGTCCCCTGGCGCCCAGCTCCTCGGCCCCTGGTAACCAGAATGTGGCCGGCCAGATACTTCATGTGAATGGAGCCCTTTTGTCTTTCCGTGACTGGGTTGTTTCACTTAGCGTGCTGTCCTCGGGGCTCATCCGAGCTGAGGTGTGGGACAGGACTGCCCCCCTTCTGAGGGCCGAGTGGTACTTGGCCGTCAACGCCTTGACCGAGTTTGTTCCCCCGTTTCCCTGCCGGCGGACTGTGGGCGGCCTCTGCGTCCGCACGTCCGGACAGTGACCGCCAGTGCACAGTGCTGCCCCGGACACGGGGCAGGGCGTCGACTGACCTTCCTCGGGCACGGGGTCTGGGAAGTGCTCACGGATTTGACGGGGATGTTTTGTCCTTGTTCGTTTTTTAAAATTTGTTTTTACCTTTTTTCATGAGAGTGATGTTTCCTCAAGGGAAAAGCAGAGTCTTTAGAGAAGTTCTCTCGGCCTCTGTCTTCTTGAGTTGTGGCGGGAGGGAACGAGCAGGAGCCTTGACTTCACAGGCACCCGTCTCCTGGCTCTGCCCGTTGCTCGGGGTGAGGCCCGAGTAAGTTCCTGCTGTCCCCAGCCTCTGCTTCCCGGCTGTGACGTGTGCGTGGCCCCGCCCCGCGGGTTGAGGTGAGGATTAAAGGAGCTGGAGCTGTAAAAAGGGAGCCGAGTGCTCAGTGAGATACTCTGCATCTTTCCACTTCGGGGGTGAATTACAGCGCAGCCGCGGGTGCCGCGGGCGGAATCACTCGCCCTTCCAGCTCTGGCCTTCACACCGGGCTTTGTCGGGGAAAGGCGCCCCCTGGCGTGCTCCTCACCGTGCCCTTTGCCCCGCAGGTCGGCCTCCCCCTCGGGCCCGCACCGCTCGCCCGTGTCCTCCCGGCACCACTCGTCCTCCTCGCGCTCCGGGTCCTCCGTCCAGAGGCACTCGCTCTCCCCGCGTCGGAAGAGGACCCCCTCGCCGTCCTACCAGAGGACCCTGACGCCGCCGCTGCGACGGTCCGCCTCGCCGTACCCCTCCTCCCACGGCCTGTCGTCCCCGCCGAGGAAGCAGAGCCCCCCGCGGCCGCGCTCGCCCCTGCGCGAGAAGGGGCGGCACGAGCACGAGCGCGCCTCGCAGGCGCACGACCGGCGGCACGAGCGCAGGGACGGTAGGCGCCCGCGCCGCGGCCGCGTTCCTTCTCGCTGTCCGCGTGGGTTTTTCCAATTTAAAGCTTGGACATCCGGGCGTGCTGTTGTCGTTAGGGATAGAGGAGAACTGTGGCAGTAAGCCTTCCGTAGCACAGAGGAGGTTCTCGGAGGGCTTACTGACGTGGGAACGTGAGCCTTTAAGTAGCTTACGGGGTCCGGCACAAGTAACGCCCCTCTCCCATTACATAAAAATCTTTCACTGCAAGATCATAAGCATGTAACTGACATAACACTATCACACTCAAGCACACCACGTGACATTGTGGGTGGGATGTTCAACTTGCTGTCCATCTCCTGTGAGACACTCGCGTCCCCCACCAGCCACACTCAGTGGCGTTACTTCTGCTGGTCCTGTGTGTGTAAGTAGGCATTTGTGTGTATACTGAGTTGGTGTTTCCTTTAAGATGTTTTACTTGGAATATTTCGCCATTTTATTCTTAGTGCATCCTCCTACTTGCTTAGTTCTTAAAAAAAAAAGAAGAAGAAGGTGGTGAAGGAAACAAAGCAACAAACCAGAGAGCAGAGGTTGGAGGGCCGGAGGTGTTTGGATAAAGAGACGAGAGTTGGGGGAATGTTCGAGGGTCAGTGTATATCACGCGATCAGGTGTTCGGGTGTAACTCAAGAGGGAAGTAAAGTACCCAAAGACGTTTTCCTTTCTCGGTCCCTGAGAACGAGGTTTGGATTGGCTGCGCCCCGTGCAGGCTGAGACGCCGTCATAGCCTGCCAGCAGAGTCGGGGAGCTCTTGTCTGCTCGCTCTGCTGCTGGTCCCAGCTGCTCGTCCTCGCTCGTTACCTTGACGGGTTTTCCCTCCAGCTCCTCCTGGGTTAGAACATAATGACAGCTCAGGGAAGACTTGCTTACTGGCAACATTTCCGTTTAATACCCACATTAAGAGCCTGTCTGTGAGCATAGTGTAGCAGTTTCCCACGAAACATGTTGAACTTATTTATCATTCTTTCCTATTAACAGTGCAAGCAATAATTACTAAAGTTTATTTTTAAAAGATTTTATTTATATATTTTTAGAGAGAGGGGAAGGGAGGGAGAAAGTGGGAGAGAAACATCAGTGTGCGGTTGCTTCTCGCACACCCACCACTGGGGACGTGGCTGACTGAGAACTGAACCAGCGACCTTTTGGTTTGCAAGCCAGCACTCAGTCCACTGTGCCCTATCAGCCGTGGTAAAGCTTTTATTTAAGAAAATGATGGATGCATAGGTAGGGAACAGAGAGAGCACCCATTTCATAGTATGGTCTGGGGCATTGGTGAGATGGGAGAATTCTTTGTACATATCTATTAATTTAATAAGAGATTTAGCAACTAGAGTTGGCCCGGGATATAGTATTCATTCAGTAACTACTTACTGAATAAAAACTCTTCGTCATTTCAAAATGTAATTACCGTAAGCCGCCTAGTGAAGAGAAATAGTATGCAGCCGAGTGTTTTTAGGGCTGCTGTTTGTGTGGTAAGAGGGGCGCGTGTTACAGGAGGGATCCGTATGAGTTTAGGTTCTTCCTGAGGAGGACGTTTCTTCAGACTCCGAGCAGGAGATGTTCCTCTCTGCTTGGATGCCATTTCCTGGAACAAGAATGATGTTAGTGGAAGAGTGGGGGGGCAGGGAAAGAACAGAATGTAGTGCTTAGAAATATTTATAAAGACAGGTGGGGCACCATGAGAAAAGTGTTAGGTGAATGTGTTTTTGGGCACCGTTGGTGTTGGAGTAACACATTCAGAAGACGGGATAGAAACATGCCGGATCCTGGCCTCGTGCCTCTGTCCTTAAGTGGCCCTGAGGGACATGGGCATCTGGGCCAGGACTTGGCAGGGCAGACAGGTCATCCCCATGAGAAGCTGGAGGGTTTGTGGGTCCTGGGTCTTAGAGAAGTCTGTGGACCGAGCCCCTGGAGACACAGCGCCAAGGAGGTGGACCGGTCACAGCCTGGACATTGGGCTGCCATGAGCCTGCGCCCGGGGGGCAGCGCCAGAGCACCCGCAGAGGAGCCGGTTCAAAGAGGCGGTGTTTGTCCTTTGAGTTCTCTTGTTAGTTGTTTGGTTCGCGTCAGGTTGTGCCGTGATCCACCCGTGTCTGTCCTGGACACGTGTAGAGACTGGTGTCTGACCTTCGCAAGTTCCCACGAGGTACAGGGTTAGCTAAGCCACTTAAGTTCTGGGTGTCTGTTTCTTCATTCACACAATGCAGGTTTGGATTACATGATCAGATTCACTCTGGCTTTTTAATAACTAAAATTGCTAATTTATTTTCTGCGAAATCTTACGAAATGCTTTAAGTAGAGGAAGCTTTACAGACACGAATGCGCTTCCATTTACTAAAAGGGGAGGACCGGCATCTGTTTGATCTGTTTGCCAGCCGGGTCCTCGCTGCAGGCCACTCCGAGCGCTGGGCCCACCCCGGCGGCCCTGGGTGGCCTGGCCCGGCCCGAGGTCTGGGGGGGCTCGCCCAGCGCTCCTAAAGAGGAAGCCGGCAGTGACAGGGGTTGGCTTCTTTGTTCCCATTTTTTAGGGAGGGGTAAATTGGGGCAGGGGAAGATCTTACCTACCGAGTTTATCCAATAAAGACCATTATCTACGTGTTAGTGAAACTACCTTTGGAACTCGAGCTTTTGGGTGGATGTAGTTTTCTCATGTGAACAAGTTTTCTTCTTTTGTTTTCTGCAAAGGACGTGAGTTACCATCGTAATACAGTCTTAAAAGCTCCACATGTTGAATGTATTGTTTAGTGTCCCGGCATGTTGCAGAAGGAATTACATTGGATTCCCAAACCTGCATTCCAGAGGCGAGAGGCAAGAGGGACCGGGAGAAGGACGCCAGAGACGAGCGGGAGTACGAGCAGGAGCCCGGCTCCTCCCGCGACCACAGGGAGGACCGCGAGCCCCGGGACGGGCGGGACCGCCGGGACCCCCGGGACGCCCGGGATCGCCGGGAGCTGCGGGACGCCCGGGACCTGCGGGATGCCCGGGAGCTGCGGGACTACGGCCGGGAGGCCAAGGAGGGCCGCGACCCCCGGGATGCGCGCTCTGCGCGGGACGCCCACGACTACCGGGACCGGGAAGGCCGCGAGGCGCACCGGAAGGAGGACGCCTACCCGGAGGAGGCCCGCGGCTACGGCAGGAACCACCTGCGCGAGGAGAGCTCTCGCGCGGAGCTCAGGAGCGACTCCAGGAGCGAGTCTCGCGGCGACATGAGGATGGGCAGGAGCCGGGGGAGAGGCCCCCCCGAGCTGCCCGAGAAGGGTAAGGGTTCCGGAGGGTTCCCGCCTGTCCGCGAACAGGGTCGCGTGTGCTGGTGGAGGGTGGTCGCACTCCTGAGGTTTCTTTCCTGGATGTATCACTCCTGCCGTCGGTGTCATTCTGCTAAAGCAGTTTTCAGTGAGTTGAGTTTGCGAGCGTCCCTGTACACTCTGAGTGGGAATCGTGAGCCGCGGGGGGAGAGGCGGGGAAGCGGGCCGGCCGAGGCCCGGGGTGAATCACGCCCCGCCTCCAGGCCTGGTCCTGGTGTGGGGGAGACGCTCAGAAAACTGCCACCGGCACAGAAAAAGGGACGCAAAAGGGAGTAATTTCCAATACACAGGGGTGTGTGTGTGTGAGATGACATCAGCATTGAAGGGGGACTAAATCGGTGGGCTTTCAACATTGGTGATGTCAGAGATGACCGGTCTCTGTGTTCGCCAGTGTTTGCGCTCCTTTAACCACCTCAGATGATCTCATAGCAAGGTCTTGAGCCATTTTTCTCATTTTCCCCTGAGAAAGCATTCGGCATGCCCAGTAACTACCTACCTATACGTACTGGACTGTCTCCAAACTGCGTGGATGGAATTAGCTCTGAACTCTTTCTTTTTTCTTCCGCCTGCTTCTCTCCCCTTCCCCAAAACGCTGCTGCGCAGTCCGACCCGTTATCCCTTCAGTGGTCCGCTGGTCAGCGGCTGATTGTCTTTCCAGCGTCCCTCAGCCCACTTTGGGGTCAGAGAGGAAGCGCCTTCGCCTGGCTGCGTTTCGGCCGGAGAGGCCGAGACCGATGGGGCCTGTCGAACAGCGTGTCTGCGTGAGCATCTGTGTGCGTCTCCTTTGTTTGCCCAGGGAGCCGCGGCACCAGGTCCTCTCAAGTCGACGGTCACGGCGGCGGCTATCACGACAGCTGGGAGACGCGCAGCAGCTACCCCGAGAGAGACAGGTACCCTGAGAGAGACGGCAGGGACCCGCCGAGGGACTCCTCCTTTGAGAGAAGACACGGCGAGAGGGACCGCCGGGACAACCGCGACAGAGGTGCGTCGGGGGTCTTGTTAGACGGGGCCGCGTCGATCTGGGGAGCTGACCTCTTGAACCACCGGCGTTCAGTGTGCTGTGCAACTTAAGATGTCTTTTAAGACTTTCGCTTGTTGACACATTGGAAACAACTACATTTACTCATGTAATTTGTCTCGTTTACTTAGTGTAGGGATAGCGTGTAGGTAGCTAACCACTGGTACCTGACGGGCAGCACGGCAGAAACTGGGGCAGTGGTGCGAGCACACGCCCGCGCGGAGGGGCCCTGCCGTGCCGCTCACCTTAACCGAGTAGCTCGCAGCCCTCTGAAAGATAAGAGATTTGGGGCGCGGTCCCAGGCATTTCTGATTCAGGAGGTACCTAAACCTTCTCACTTGCGTATCCTGGCCACTCCCTCACCAACCGACAGAACTGTAAGGACCGCCCAAAAGGGACAAGGAAAGAGTGATGGTTGTAGGTCTGGGGTGGTTTGAGAAACGTTCTATTCACGCTCCTCCCTGGGAAGATGGAGTGCTTGCTGTAGCTAATTTTACATTTTTGCATATCTTAAGCTAAACGTTTTCTGTGTATTAGATCTCTTAAATCAGTTTTGAAGCAAGATTACAAGAAGCCGTTTAAGAGGGGTGATAAGTACTTTCTTTCACAAGCTTTCCTTGCCTGTGTGTACTGGGGCCTCGGACATTTACGATGCTATGAAAGTCTCCCTGACCTTGGCTGGTCACTAAAGTAAGGCTTACTGGAATGCTGAGATTAGTAGCGTACAGCATTGGATGGGGTAGGGCATTGAATATCGATGCTTCACGGTGAGCTGAATCGGAGGTGATCTCGTGTCTTCACACGGGAAATACTGAGGGGGGGGGAGTCTGCGGGGCGCAGTGCACGGGGGGGGGGGCACAGTGGGGGGGGGATGGGAGACCTGGGTCAGAGCGGCGGGGCAGGGTTCGTCAGGGTGAGCCCGATGCACTCGGGCTGGAAGACGGGTGTGGTTTCTTAGTGACAGACGAGGCGGGAGTGTGTGTGTTCTGTGTTCGAATCTGGAGTCGTGTCTTCCCTAACACTGACGCACCTCTCTTTACACAGTGACCTGGGAATGCTGCTCTTGTATCTTTTTTCCCTGGTTTCCTGTCCGAGCTCAGGTTTTTCTCCTGCCATGCTTGACCTGGGTAGTAGCGTTTGGTTTCAGTTCTATATTTGGTTCAACCGCACGTACATGAGCTACCAAGAACTTCGGTAGTTGCTTTATATATATTCTCTGACTTAATGTCTTTCACAGCATTGCCAGAGAATATATATTTTAACAGTCCTTTAAAGTCCTTCCTTTTATCTGTATAATATCTCTGTGAGTATAGGTGTAAGGAAGTTGATATTTTATAATGTAAGAGATTTGCACTGAGAAAAGGGTAGCAATTTTCCCAGTACTACAGAGAAGTAAGTTCCACAGTTAGAATTCGAACTTAGGTCTTCTAACTGCAAGTCTGGTTCTTCTTCTGTTTCACTTGACTGTAACTCCGTCAGTGAGTAGCATTGGTGTGATGGAGAGAGAATAGTGTTTCTGAGGGGGAGGACACATTCCACAGATGGTTACTGTGGCCCCGGGCGCTGGGCTCGGTCCCTGGGGCGCAGTAGCCCTGTGCTCGTGGGGCTTAAGAGGTGGAGATAATGCCCCAGATGAAACAGGTGTTCCGTGCTGTCGGGGAATCAACGCACCAGGGACCCAGACGGAAGTGGAGGGTAAGAGAGGGACTGCTCGCTTTTTTGTCTAGATGGCGGGTGTGTGAAACACGGGGAGGCAGCAACGTCTGCGCAGAGCCCAGCTGCAGGGGACGCGGGGGGCGAGGACTCGCCCCGCAGAGGGAGGAGCGTGTGCCAGTTCGCTCCCTGGGACGGGAAAGCTCCCGCGTCTCGGAGTTTGGAAGGGGGCCGGTGCGACTGGAGTCCGGGGCGCCTGCAGGGAGATTCCCAGGCTGGGTGGGATGCAGAGAGACGACTGAAGTGTGACTCGCCCTACGACTACACAGAGTTCTGTGGGAAGGCAGGAGCCAGCAGGATTCTGAGGAAATCCACGGACGCTTCTTAAATAGGGGCCCCCTGAATTAGGGTCTGGAAGCTAGGGGACACCCGAGTTAGGGTCTGGAAGATAGGGGACACCCGAGTTAGGTCTGGAAGCTAGGGGACACCCGAGTTAGGGTCTGGAAGCTAGTACGAGGTGCGGAAAGGAACCGTGGGAGCAGCTCTCCGCAGGGAGAGGGTGCGGCCCGAGCAGACACACGGGGCCGAAGGGAACGCGTGTTTCGAAGCAGTGGAGACTGCGAGGTTGGGGCGGGGGTGCGCCGAGCTTGGCGGGGAAGGGAGGCAGCCAGGAAAAAGGATTGATGAGAGCTCGTAGGCCAGGGTGTCAGCCTGTGAGTCAGGGTGAGTATTTTGGATTTAATTGCTGTTTCACTACCTAAAGGATAACTGCGTTTAAGCTGCTGGGAGAAAAGCGTTTTCATCCAAACAGTGTCAGGGAGTGCGGGAGTCAGGGAGAAGACTGCAGCCCTGGGGTGCCAGCCAGGCAGACTGGGTGGCACGGGCGTCCGCGGAGGACTTGTTGGAGGCTGAGTTAGTGTCCGCTGCGGGGGCCGGGAGAGGCCGCAGGACCGGAGTGTGGGGGGGTGGATCCGAGGGTGCCCGGGTGGCTCTCGGGACGGGTGTGTCACTCCCCCAGGCCAAGGGCGGGTGTGACGAGAAGCACCTCGTTGAAGAGGGGAAAGACAGAAGATAGTTTGGACAAAGTAGTGTTCTTACGGTCTTTCCCCTTCCTCTGAAGTAAGAAACATTGTCTTTTTGGTTGGAAAATAGACTTTCTATATGTCAAACGAGAGTGTTTATTCCCTTATTACTATAAGTTGCAGGATTGAAATTGTTTTCAGTTTTTTTAAATCACTGTAACATTGCTATAACCCCCAAACCAGGGATTCAGACAGATGGCATTCCAAGACTCGCAAGAGGAGTGCAATGAAACCATTTTAAATTTAAGTTGGTTTCTGCAAAAGCAAGAAAGGGTTTTGGAGAACTGACTTCAGGGCTGAGGTTTCCGTGCACTTACCGTCCCTCCGGCACCGGCACGTGAACCGGGGCCGCAGTTTCTGCGTGTTTTAGAGAGAGGGAGGAAGGGGGCTGGGCGAGGCTTGGTTTGGTTTTCGCTTTAAAATTTTGTGACCTTTTGTTCTAAAGAGTAAATATGGATCATTCTTTCATTTGTGGTAAGAAAGGAAATTCAAATTAATATATTGAACCCATCCCTAGAAGTATCCTAAAATTATTCTGCTTTATCAGTTGGTGCCACTTGCGAACCTGTTGGCCACACGATAATAGTATGACCTTTATAACTAGCGGGTAACATTATATAACCTAAAAGTACAAGTGTCATGGTGACCTTTGCCCTGCAACAGCGACCTGGTTTCTACAGGTCCGTGGAAGAGGTCATGCCATGTTCTTACACTTTTTTTGAGCCCCGACTAATTTCCTGCTCAAGTGAGCATTTGGGCATCATGCATTAATTTTCTTACTGTTTACATGATTTGTGAATTGAAAAAAATATATATATAATGTGATGAGATTATCAGTTAATATTTTAAGAAAAATAGCTCTTCAACTGAGTAATCAGTTCTATGATTAAAGAAAACTTTTCACTTATTAGTTATTATCAACCTATCACTAACATGAAACACTTTTTACATTTAATTATTTCAAGATTACAAAGCGTCAGTACCCTTAATATTTCAGTTTATAATAAATTGATATTGCAGCAGAAATGTCTGTTTTGTTCTACTCTATTTTCTTCACATACTAGCTGCAGTTTGATGTGTATATATTTTTGCCTGGAACAGAGGTGTGACTTACGAGGGAAATTTTTTTTTTCCTTCAGCTCCTATGTTCTACACCTCCTGCTGCCCCTATCCTTTGCCACCAGTGTTCTCAGGTCCTGCTGGGGGGACAGAGAAGATCAGAGGTGAAGGGTAGAGATGGCAGAGAGTGGGTTGGAGCTCGGGCTGGAGGTAGGGTAGGGAGCATGCCGAGGCCGATCAGAGGCGGATCAGCGGGAGGGAGGCGGGCGGGCGGGCGGCTGGCTGACGGGGAGCAGAAACCGTGCGAGTTAGGGGGCGAGTGGAAATGACCTCCAAGGAGAAAACGTGTTTTAACATCTAGGGGTGATTACTTGGATGATTAAATTAAAAATGAAGATAGTACCTGATTGGTGTTTACTGCCACTGTGACCCTGTACACAGATGAAATCTGGGATTTGCCATGCTGTCTGTCTGTCTGACCAGCGGGGGCGGTGATGTGTCCGATTAACCATTGACAACACTTGGTTTTCCTTGTAGATCCAAGACCAAGCTCACCAGCCCGGCATCAGGGGAGGAGTGACGAGCTTGAGCGCGACGAAAGAAGAGAGGAGCGGAGAGTAGACAGAGTGGACAGAGTGGACAGAGTGGACGAGAGGAGAGACGAGAGGGCCCGGGAGCGGGACCGAGAGCGCGAGCGGGAGCGCGACAGGGAGCGCGAGCGGGAGAAGGAGAGAGAGCTGGAGCGGGAGCGGGCGCGGGAGCGGGAGAGGGACCGGGAAAGGGAGAAGGAGAGGGACCGCGAGCGAGAGCGGGACCGGGACCGTGACCACGACCGCGAGCGGGAGAGAGAGCGGGAGCGGGAGCGGGAGAAGGAGCGGGAGCGAGAGCGAGAGGAGCGGGAGAGAGAGAGAGAGCGAGAACGGGAGAGGGAGCGCGAGAGGGAGCGAGAGCGGGAGCGAGAGCGAGCCAGGGAGAGGGAGAGGGAGAAAGAGCGGGAGCGCCAGAGGGACTGGGAGGAGAAGGACAAGGGTCGCGAGGACCGCCGCGACAAGCGAGAAGACGCCCGCGAGGACCGCAGCCTGCGCGACGCCCACGAGGAGAGGAAGGCCAAGTAGGCGTGGCCGGGGGGCGGTGGGCGGGGTCGGGCGGGTGGGGCGGGGTCGCTGCGTGCTGCGTGCTGCGTGCTGCGTGCTCGGAGTGCGCCCTCGTGTCTTACTGGGCATGTGGTGGTCAAACATTTTTAGTTGTCTGGAGGAAGTAGTAGTTTTTTCATTCTCCTGTTTATGTATCGAGGGAATGTAATTAATCATTCTTATTTAAATTACTTTTTGCTTCACCTGCTATAATAGAAAGGGAGGTGTTTTTAACGGGAAACCAACGTAAAAGGGATAGAATCATTGAACTTGAATCGCATGCACTTCATGACTAGTTCACGGAGTTGACTAGTTACAAGAGATACTGCCGATGCAACCCCTGATACTCCTTCCTGACTCTGTGTTCTGAGAGCCTGGGTCCCCCCCCCCCCCCCCAGGCTGTGGAAGCCCTCCCAGTGTCTCCCTGCCGGGGGAGTGTCTATAGCTGCTGTGTGATGGGGGGGCATGGGGGTCCTCTCTTGGGCTGTGGGGTATAGTAGGTAATTGGGGACAAAAATGTGTTGTTATTCCATAATACATCTGAGGTCATTTTCACCCTTTTTTAGAAAAACTAGAAGTAATCTATTTGCTCAGGTGTCCTGGGAGTCTAGGGTTACCTTTTGTGCTTTCTGTTGTATGCACCTCCGCAAAGACAGCACCAGGGATGACGCTCTCCCACTCCTCCCCTCCTGTCGCCCGCACTAGTCCGGGCTCAGACGGGGTTTCTCCAGGTGGCGGCTGGGCCAGCCGGTGGGCTGAGCAGCCCTCTGTGGGAGGCGGGCACTCCTTGAGGAGTAGACCAGGGACCCGGCCAATCACTGTGGCCGGGAGGATCTGGACTCTGATTGGTCGTGTGTGAGGTTTTACAGGCACAAAACCAAACTTGCTGGAGCTAACTGCTCTGTGAGACATGCCAGCTGGGAGGAAGGTGTGGTTAAGTGTGCTGAAGCAGACCATGGGGGTGTTTTATATACTTTTCAGTTTCTTTGCTTCTGCCTCCGGCCCGTTCACCGCATGCTATAGACAGACTCTGAGCTCTAGTCTTTTTTTCATCGTCACTGTTGTGGGTTGTGGTTACGGACAGACAGCAGCACAGAAGTGGCTGCTTCTTCCATTAGGTCTGCAGCCAAGATATTCTGTAGTCCACCCTCATTTTATTGAAAGGAGAGTCTTACGTTTACATAAAGACCAGATACTACCTTTCACGCATGCAGGCACATGATGCACATTATTTCTCTCCCCTCCAGTGCGCCCTTCAGCTCTCCTCTCGTGAAAATTCTGAAATCTGTCTCTTAACTAATACACATCCTGAGCTTTGATTAGTATTTCTCCATGTTCCTGATTTCTGTTTATAATAGCAAAAACTACTTTTTTTTTTGGTGACTGGACAATCCGGGCACTGATAAGGACCTGCGTGCATGGCCAGTCAGCTCTGTGACAGTGGCCACTTCTGTGAGGTTGCACCTGGGTGTCTTCATCGTCCGTGGTGTCATCTCTGTAGTCAGAGTCATCTAGCGCTTTTTTTAAACTTCTGCTAATATAGAAGGTTTGCAGTCTTGTGATAGTATTGATTTGACTTTAGTTTTATTTCTATGGGTACTGCTTTGAAATTGAAGGGTTTTTTGGTGTGTGTTTTAAGTTTTCATTTATTCTAGTGTATCTATTATCTCCTGCTGGAAACCACATTACTTCAGAAGTTAGTCGTTTAAAACAACAGTTTTTTTGTTCGTGGTTCCGAGGATCAGCAATTGTGGCCGGGCTCAGCAGAGCAGTTCTTCTGCTGGCATCCCGCGGGGTCAGTGCGGTAGGTCCGCTGGGTCTGACCGACCTCGGAGGCCCTCACTCACAGGTGTGGCGGCGGCTGCTGGCTGTGGGCGGCTCATTCGTCCTTCGCGCGCCCGCTCCCCCACCAGGAGCCTAAGCTCTGCTTTCTCGTGCGATGCTGGAAACACTAGGCAGGCGGAAGCAGAAGCTGCAAGGCTTCCTGAGTTCTGACTCTAAACCAACACACTGTCCCTTTGCCACGGTCTCCTGTCCCAGCGAGGCTCCACGCCAGCCCAGACTGCGGGGACGGGAAGGTGTGGCGGTGCCTGAAGGTGGGCGGCACTGCGGGCGCTGACTTGCACACGCACACGCTTGGGCGCGTGAGTCGCTCTGCTGCGCCGGAGCCCGCCTCCCGCTCCACCTGCCGCTCGTTTGTACAAGCGGCTGTCAGGGCGGTGACTGTGCTGTGACGCGTTCCCCACGTGGACCGTGGTACTTACCACACACAGTGTTCGTTCAAAAGCAGGTGGTCGGCACTTGAGGAACTTGCAGGAGAACACCAGAGTAGCTTAAGTGCCAAGAGATGCAAGTCACCGCCTTTTTAAAGTTCAACTGAAGAACAAACGTAATCAACATACGAATTACTTGTCACCAAACAAGTGGTTTAGTTTAAAAAGAGAAAAGGAACTAATTTTTACACGAGCCTGGCTTATGACATAACTAATTTGTTCCTCATTACAATTGTGTGGTGTGGACCCTCGTTTTCCCCCAATCTCGGTTGAGAAGAGCAAACCTCAGTGACCTCACGGAGCTCACCTAAGGCTGCGCCGTAAGTGGCCTGGCTGTAACGTGAACCCACCTTTTGACTCACGTGACTGCCCGACGTGAGGCATGAGAATGTAAGATCAGTGAGTCCGTTTCAGCAGGGAGTTCGTGCGCACACTGAGCCCTCTGCCGCCCGTTTCCGCCTTGCGCGTTCGTGCTAGTGATGTTTGGTTGAGCGATTCCACGTGTGTGATGACGGGGCGGGGGCAGGTTGCTGTGTGTTCTAAGTCCTCAGTTGTAGTCTTAACACATGAGGAATGCTACCCAAGATGCTGAACGCCCTTTGTGTGGTACAGCCCTGGTAATACTGCAGTCCTGCGGTTATGTATTCTAGTTACAGCGAAGAAGTGATGGTAGAAAACAGTGAAGAAGCCTCCCTCGCCCACTGGGATTGACGGGTCACCCTTGTCTGCCCACTGCAGGAAGCGCTACAGAAACGAGGGGAGCCCGAGCCCTCGGCCGTCCCCGAAGCGCCGGCGCGAGCACTCTCCCGACAGCGACCCCTACAACAGCGGGGACGACAGAAGTGAGCGGGGTCTGTTGTGTGTGTGTGCGCGTGTGTGTGTGTGCGTGTGCACATGCGTTTGCAGCCGTGAGGCCGCCCTCTGACGGAGGGGGAGGTGATGGGGGAGGGGTGTCTTCTGTGTGGCTGAGGGGTGTGCTGGAAGTCACACCCGCCCCGTCACCTCCTCCTGTCCACGGTAAAGCGGGGAGCGATGAGCTTATTATTATTTACATGCAACACGCAAGTCTGTGGGCTCGGTGACAGTGTGATCGCTTTTATCCTTTTGTGCAGACGAGAGACACAGGCTCTTGAGCCAGGTGGTGCGGCCTCAGGAGTGTCACTCTCTCAGCCCGTCACACTTCCCGGAAGACAGGCAGGGCAGGTGGAAGGAGGAAGACCGCAAGCCGGAGAGGAAAGAGAGCTCCAGGCGCTACGAGGAGCAGGAGCTGAAAGAGAAGGCCTCCTCGGCAGACAAGCAGAGGGAGCAGATGGAGCTCTCCGAGAGCGCCAGGCTCCGGGCCCAGGACCTGACGGGCCACCGCCCGTCCGAGGACCGCGACACGTCCGACGGGGCCCACGACGAGAGCAAGAGGAGAGTGAAAGTCCAGAAGAGGCCCGTGAAGAAGAAGAAGGAGGACGACGCTGGCGTGGAGAGGGGCGGCGCGGAGACGGCGTCCGAGGACGGGCAGGTGTTCTCGCCCAGGAAGGGGCTGAAGAAGAGGAGTGTGGAGAAGAGGCACAAGCGCCCCAGGGGCGATTCCGACGTTTCTGACGACGAGGCGGCCCAGCAGAGCAAGAAGAAGAGGGGCCCGCGGACGCCCCCTCTGACGGCCAAGCAGGGGCTGGCGGGCCTCTCCGGTGACAAGGAGGCGCCCGTGGAAGACGCCCACAGGAGGGAGGACACGGCGTTCAGTGACTGGTCTGACGAGGACGTGCCTGACCGCGCCGAGGTCCCCGAGGCCGAGCGTGCTGCCGCGGCTGTCACCCCCGGCAGGACGCCGTCCCCGTCGGCCCTCCCTCCTCCTCCTCCTCCCGCGGCCGCCGCTGCCACGGCGCCTGCTGCTCTCGCCACGGCCGCCGCTGCCGTCAGCGCCTCTGCCGCCGCTTCCGCTTCGGCCGCCCCCGCCAGTGCCGGGGAAGACTCGCACAGAAAGGGCCACAAGGCGCGGGCAGAGAGGGGGGAGGCCCCGCATGTGGCGGCCGACGACGCGCCCCATCGCAAGCCGGTGGACCAGAAGAGGAGCAGCAGCCTCGGGAGCAACCGGAGCAACCGCAGCCACACGTCCGGGCGGCTGCGCTCCCCGTCCAGCGAGTCTGCCCACCGGAGCGGGGACGACCAGAGCGGCCGGAAGAGGGTCCTGCACAGTGGCTCCAGGGACAGGGAGAGACCGAGGAGCTTCGAAGTCGCGGGCGAGAGGAAGTCCAGGATCGACCAGCTGAAGCGCAGCGAGCCCGGTCGAAGCACGTCCTCAGGTAGGGAAGCGGGATGTGGTCTGGCCGGTGTTCCCCGCGTGAGCACGCTGCGTGCAAACCACCACTTTAAAGTCAATGCTCGGTGGGGCACTTTATTCCCCGCCATAAATTTCAAGGAACTTAGTAGAAGTTTGACCATCTTTCCAGAATGTTAGCTGTTGCCACATTAACACAACATTATGATGAAGGTACATTCAGTCTGCTTAATGTCGAGGTTTTAGTAGTGTATCTTGGTGGAAGAGCTTATGTATTCAACTCCTTTGTGATGCCTAAAATTTTACCCTTTCTGCTCTCCCAGCAGCCAAAGGGTTCTCTTCTGACCACAGAAAATAAAGTAGGGGGATAGGAAGGGATCTGATAAAGAGGTGGTTGGTTCTGTTAATGCTTAACCATTCTATATGCTTCTTTCTTTGAGGATATTTTGTGGTTGAAGTGGAAATAGACAAGGAAATGTGTATTTTAAAATATGTTGTGAAACATATTTTATGTAATTTTCTTTTATCATTCGAACCATCACTCGAGGGCATGTCCATCAATTCTAGAGATGGGGGAGGGGGGGGAGAGAGGAATACTGATGTGAGGGAGAGACTCGGAGTGGCTGCCTCCTGCACGCCGCACCCCGGCCGGGCTCAAACCTGCGGCCTTTTGGCGTATGGGGCAATGCTCCGACCGACCGAACAAGCCGGCCGGGACTCATGTAGATGTTTCAGCACTTTGAGAGATCAGTCTTTCCTCCACTGAGTTCTTTGGATAAGTGGGGATAAATGCAGAAAAAGATAAATTGTAAGTTTTCAAGGGGCCTAAAGTGAAGCATTTTATTTCTGGTTTACACATCGACTCTGTGTGCATGGTGTGTGCATTGTAGATCGCCGGGACTCGAGGAGCCACAGTTCACGCAGGAGCTCTCCCGAGTCGGACCGGCAGGTGCACTCGCGGTCCGGGTCCTTCGACAGCAGGGAGCGGCTGCAGGAGCGCGAGCGGCACGAGCACGACCGGGAGCGCGAGCGGAGGGAGGCCCGGCCACCGAGGGAGTGGGACCGAGACCCCGACAAGGACTGGCCGCGGGGCCGGGACCGGGACCGGGACCGGCTGCTGCGGGAGCGCGAGCGGGACAAGAGGAGGGACTCGGACAGGGAGAGAGAGAGGCTCCTGTCCGACTCCGGGGACAGGGACAGGGACAGGGACAGGGAGAGGACCTTCGAGAGCTCCTCCCAGGGGGAGTCTGTGAAACGCGGCGAAGCAAAACTGGAGCCCGAGCACGAGCGGGACCTGGAGGGCCCCTTCCGAGACGCCGCGGGTGCCCTGGAGAAGGAGCGCCCGGACAGGGACCTGGCGCCGGTGCCGGGCTTCGAGGACGTCGGCAAGGCCGAGCGCACGGACAGCGTGGAGGGTGAGTCGTGCCTCCCGGCCGCTTTACTGCCCCGGGCCTGTTCCGGTCTCATGGGGGTTTCTTTTAAGAGGTACTCTGCTGATCTGCGCGCACACACACACACACACACACACACACACACACACACACACACAGCTCCGTTGTGTTTTAGGGAAGCAGATTTTAAAAGGCAAAGTCGTGTCATGTTTTTAAAATGGGCTCCCCTCGTTAGTATTATCAGGGCAGACTTGGTTCAGATAAGCCTAAACGAAATAAAAGATTACTTAGATGCAGCATTTATAGATGATAAAAAGTAGAAAAACTGTAGAAGTTGAGGTGACTTCTTGGTTCAGAGGGCCATTCAGAAAGCTCCCCAGGGTTCGCACTTTCTAGGGCGCCCGAGAACAAGTACGTGCACAGCAGCACCCCTGAACCGGGCACATCTGGTGACAGACCGACCGTGGAGTGCGGTGTGCACGCCTGGGCCTGGAATGCGGGGCCCTGCGCCCCCCACAGCAGCCTGTTGGCTCAGCTCCCTCGGCGCCCGCCGCAGCCTGCGCGGGCCCCCTGTCCTCGCCCCGCCGTCCCGCCCCGCCCCGCCGGCTCGGCCCGTCTGCTCTGAACGGCCGCACGCTTCAGCCCCCGTCGCCCCTGCTTTCTTTTCCATCGCCTCGTGGACTTTTCCTCTCGTCTCCTCTTTTTACTCAAACTGCAAGTCCCCGTTTGTGGACCGTTTCTCCTAAGAAGCCTTCTGCGCTCAAGGCCCTCGCTCTTTAAAACTGACCTGGCATCCGGGGATGCATCCGGCACGGACGGCACCCCTGTGCCTTGTTCCAGCCGTGCAGCCAGCAGCGCAGTCACTGGTTTCCTCGCCGCTGTCCCGTGCTCCGTTGGAAGGGGCCGCGGCGCCTCACCTCCGGGTCTTCGCTCCGTAGCCAGGGTGCAGCAGACGCCCCGTGCGCGGGCCGCGTTCTGCCTGTGCACACGGGCCCTCGCTTCACTCCTTGGTGGGGCACGGCCAGAGCACAGCCTGGGTGCCAGCGGTCACCCTGGAGACCCTGCCTCCGCCGCGCCGTCCCGTCCCGGATGCAGGGTGTATGCTGTCGCTCCGGCGTCACCTGTCCTCGTCAAGACCCCAAGAAACTTCTGGGGTGCCTGCTGTACAAGCAGCAGTGTTTCACTGTTCTTTTTGCGTGCCATGTCGGAGCGCTGGGCCCAGCGTGCATTCACCGTCTGTTACAGTTACACAGCCTTACATCTCTTGGTTATTGGACTAAATGTCCAGTGCGCCATCTGTTACATGTTTTTTTCTACTTGACCAAAACACTCTATCTCAACATTCTTCAGTTACATTTTCCTCTCATTTTTGGGTTTAAACAGCATTGTTTGTGAGCCATAGTACTAATGGAGGTATAGCCTTGGGTGTAATTGACTATAATTGAACTAGTGATTGTAATAGTTCTCTTGTGACCATTTTTCTAAGTCATTCATTGGCTGTGGTCATCGATAACATAGCATAGAAATTTATAGGTGAATTACTTACTGTGAGATGAAGCATTTTATTCACCTAAAATGGGAAGATGAGTTGGGTAAACTTGAAAGATTAAAAATCCTATCATTTGTGTTTATGTTTAGATTTATATTTGTATTATGAAGTTATTAAAATTGGTTACCTTATAAGTGAATTGGTGAGGGTAGAGGAGATTACTGTAGAATGTAATGGACTAGAAAAGTGTTAGAACGATTAGAAATGTCTCCTAGTTTGCTATATTTGCTGCAAATTTTTGTCATAAAGTGTGCTGTTGCATCTTGAACACTAGTGTCGTAAACACAGTCAAGCGTATTGATAACTAAGGACTAGAAATATTAAAAGTACTCTAATTTTAGGATAATTTAAGTTCACAACTAACTCCCCAGGAGACTAGGTGGTTGAGAAAAGTTGGTGAAATAAGGAACTAGAATATACACCAGTGGTAGTAACAAAAATGTGTTAAAATCGTACTAGAGCATTCTTGATAAACCCGTGTTCACTAATCCAAGGATAGCAGCAGGACAGGGAGGATGTGCTGGGAGACGCAGGGAGAGTTCACGGTGCGTTTACGTTTTACCTCGTGCCGTGGAGTCCTTCGTACAAGCTAAATACCGTACACTGAAGTTTAAGTTTCAGACAGATTTTGTGAATAAGTTTGCAAGTTTTTAAAAAATTAATGAGTTTAGGTAAGGAAATTAATGCATCATTTTGAAGTTAGTAGGTCGGATTTACTTAAAGTTTTAGCATAAAAATTAACACCACATAACGTTAATGTGTCAGCTTCCGTATCTCCTACTTTAACTGTAATCGTAGAACCTGTTTTGATATAGCTGTCCCTCCTGTGTTCTCGCCATGAAAATTAAATTTGACCGATTGAAGTTTCCAGTTTTTTGGAATTATCAAGTGTTTTGAATAATTAATTTTAAATGTCATTTTCTAGTGAAAAGATGCTTTTCTAGTTTTTTTAGTGTGCACAGCCTCTATGTCTTCGGCTTGAGTTAGATGTCCTCTCCTCCGGTGCCCTCTTTGACGTGACGTTCATCTTCCCAATCAGCAGGAGACGACGAATCCAAGCTGGACGACGTGCACTCCCTGGGCTCCGGTGCGGGCGAAGGCTACGAGCCCATCAGCGACGACGAGCTGGACGAGATCCTGGCGGGCGACGCTGAGAAGCGGGAGGACCCGCAGGAGGAGGAGAAGATGCCGGGTGAGGCGGGCGGGCGCGGCGGTGGGGCGCAGCGGTTCCGGGGCCTAGGGCGTGAGGGTGCTGCTGTTCCCTTTCCTGCTGTAGCAGTTGCTAATGAAAGGCAGCTGGAACTTTCCCTTTGTGTTTCAATTAACGTCGAAAAGCTAACAATAATGAAAATGATCATCAATAAAAGTACTAAAAATGCTGCGCTCGTTTGTAAGTAGACTTTGCCTGTGAATTGGGAAAGGCCTCATTTGAAATAGCAGAGTCGTAAGATGTCCTTTCCAGGGTTTAAGATTCATGTTTTAAATAACGTGGGGTCTGACCGATACTGACCGCCCAGGAGTGTTCTGGATGGGGGGTGTCTGGCGCAGAGCTGCACAGCGAGACCCACAAACCAGCCTTTGAAATGACTGTTTTCAGAAATTGGTAGCAGCTGAAATTGTGTTTCAATGCTAGTCGTACACCTCTTTGTATCAGCGTTCTAAACTCGGTGATTATTTTTACTTGCAGTGCTTTATGCCTTGCCAGAGCTTCCTCTGCTGACTGTGTCCGTCTCCCCAATTAGTTTGGTGGTTAATGATGAGTTTGGGGTTTTGTTTTTAAATCACGTGAGGACCTTTGAGTATACAGTATATTACACTTTACTTTTACCTAATTTGCTCTTATATTTCACAATTTTTTTCTACTAATACAGAGGGTATGTGTAATTGTTATCTGTATCATTGGCTATCGTGTGTTTCTAAAGAGAACAGTATTTGGTTGATTTCCTCAACTGTTCCTTGTCAGTGGGTGGATGATTTATTCTCAGTATTAATAAGAGCAATTGTCCCATAGATAATTTCATAGTGAACTGTTTTTAGAAAGTAAATGTGTGTGTTTGCACGCACATACGTGCAAATGAGATTCCCAGATTTAACCCGTGAAGGGGTTCTGATACCAAGTGTCAAACATCAGACCTATTATTCTTAGTGAAGCAGTGGACTTTTTTCATTGGATGGCTGGAGCAATTGCAGGAGTTATTTACAGGAATCGGTTTGCTGGGTTTCTGTGTGCTTGCCTGTTTTCTTCTGGCGAGAAGGACTGTTTTATATGTAAAGGTCCCTAGGTTCTAAGTGTTGGCGTTTATAGAGAAGATTTCATCTGAAGAATACGGACTTTCCGGTTTAAAGTAGTCGTTCTGTAGTGGTTTCCCGTGTTTCACGGTGCACGTTTCCCTGTCGATAACGAGCATGCCGCTGCCCGGGGTAAGAGGCTCCTGCTCTCTCTCTCTTGCAGACCCACTGGACGTGATCGACGTGGACTGGTCCGGGCTCCTGCCCAAGCACCCGAAGGAGCCGCGCGAGCCGGGGGCCGCGCTGCTCAAGTTCACGCCTGGGGCCGTGATGCTGCGAGTCGGGGTTTCTAGGAAGCTGGCAGGCCCCGAACTCTTTTCCAGAGTCAGAGAGACGTGCCAGAGGCTTCTAGAGAAACCCAAAGGTGACCGAGTCCTGCTGCGATGGGTGCCGTGTGCTGCCACTGCCAAGATGCCTGGGAACAGGGCCCTGGCCTGTCCTCACGCAGCACGCCCAGTGTGCGATCTGTGTTTTCAGTCCTCACCCAAGGATACGTGCATCGGGTCTTAGAGGGAGAGAAACACGAGTGTGAAAGAGAAGCACAGACTAGTCACTCCTGTACACACCCTGACTGGGGATCGGACCGCAGCCTTTTGGGGTTCGGGGCAGCTCTCCAACGGACTGAGCCCCCTGGTCAGGGATATATATATACACACGTGTGCACACGCACACCCATGTCTATATCACATGACTGGGTGCTCTAGATACACGGTCTGTCTGGAGAGTCTCCGACCATGTAATATGAAAAATAGAGACATTAAATTTATTGAATGCCCCTTTATTAATTCTGCCCTGATTCAACAGTTTTTAAGTTTGAAGCACCTTTCCCTCCCTCGGCGTTATGCCTCAGAACTAGGCGATTTTCCTTTAATACGCTGTCCAGGGTTTCGTAGTGACCAAGTCTAGGATGGAGTGTGCAGATTGTCTGACTGACACCTAGTCGCTTTCCAGACTGATTTTGGAGGTCCCCGTCTGCAGTCACATTATTACACTTGAATCTTGAGACAGTAAAGTCCTGAAATCTAGAATTTTAAGTAGTAGTGGGTGGGATGCAGTATTCTGAATTTGACTTCACTGATCCTTAACTTGAACTTTTCTTCCCATAGTTAGTGATCAGTGTCTAGACTCTCTCACCCAGGTCTGCATTTCTTATATCTTAAAGTGGCTACCAGAATGTTTATTTTTGTTTCAGACTAGCCAAGAATAGATTGCCTTTTATGTAAAATAATTTGCATCAATATTGTTAACATTGAAAATCATATAATTTGCATCAACATTGTAGACTTTGTGGCATATTCATCTAAGCAGTTGATGACATGTTTATATTTTTGGAAAACTTAATGCCTTTTTTTTTTTAAAGATGCAGACAGTCTCTTTGAACACGAACTGGGGGCCCTCAACATGGCTGCACTGCTGCGAAAAGAAGAAAGAGCGAGTCTTCTCAGTGACCTCGGGCCGTGTTGCAAGGCCTTGTGCTTCAGGCGGGACTCCGCGATCCGGAAGCAGCTGGTCAAGAATGAGAAGGTATTATTGTTCCCTTGGAGCAAATGCAGAAAAAAGTGTTTGTTGAGGTTGTATGAATGGCAGAGCTTCCATTCGATTGCTTTGAGGTGAGGTCGTGGTCTCCTCTGTATCTCTGAGTTTGGTTTTCTAGTTTTTTATGCATGTAAGAAGAAATTCTATTATAATTTATAATACTTTTCATTTTATACTTGAACATTTTATTGGTGTTGAATAACAATTTGTTATTCAAAAGTTGATGTATAAAGTTTAAAATACTCTTTCTGTAAAATATTTTATTGTGAAAAGTTTCTTTAGATAATAAACCAACTAGAACTTTATCTAAATTGAAGCTTAAGGAACAATACTCCCCAGGATGTGGTGAGGATATTTATGGAAACCGTGTTTCTGAGGTTGTGTCATGTTGAAAAGAGGGAAATAAACGCAGGTGATTGCACTCAAGCGTTTACTTTGGAAGAGGAAAGGGAGCTGCCATGCCAGAGGGGCAGGAGTTAGTCTTGGTTCAGAAGAGAGCTAGCTGATCATGAGAAATTGAAAACCTCTCAGGCCTTTAAAGTTAAGAACTGGGACTTTTATTTGGGTGGCGTGGTCATTGGTGGGCATGGGTAGCCAACATAATTTTTTTTTAAAGATGAGCAAAAAATGAATAAAGCCGGAAGGCCCCCACTGCCCGATTTTGAGATTTACCATAAAGCCGTGGCACTTGAGACGGTGTGGTCAGCGGGCGGGGGTCAGGAGGGTGCCACTGCAGGGGGCGTGAAGGGAGGGTTTTCTCAGTGCGGGGACTCTGCACCCTGACTGTGGCTGTGGTTAGTGAACCTGCGCACGCGGGAAACCCTCAGAACCACAGTCGTGCCTCGGGCCTGGCCGGCGTCAGGGCTCGTTGCACTTGGACGAGGAAGAACGTCTCCGCACGCGGCGCTTGCTGGCGCTCACTGCCTCGGGCGCTTGTCACGGGTTCGGGAGCGAGGTAACGGCAGGTACCGAGGAACCACTGTGGACATGAAATGTTAGTTTTACTGAATCCCAACTTACGAAATATTTTTTAAAAGCAGAGGTGATCAGGGCACCACCTTGTTCCTGTAAGGACCCTAGCTAGCAATGACCGAAAAGGCCGGACCTGGGGACGGGCGGACCTCAGTCGTTTCATTGCACGGGCGCTCGGAGAGCGTGCAGCTGAACTTGGGGACGCCGACCGCAGCCCTGCCGGCCCGCGTTCAGTCCCAGCGGCAGAGACGCGCGGTCGCTGTCGTGCAGGGAGGGGCGGCCGCTCCCGGAGCCCGCGTCCAGGGAGCCTGGCGCCCCGGCCGGAGCCCGCGGGGCTCGCCGCCGCCCTTCCGAGAATCCGTGTGGAAGACAACCCGTGTGGGAGTGGGGCCGCATCAGCGGGCGCTCCACCCAAGGGGGGTGTTTCGGCAGGTCCGAGGGGTCGGGCTGTTCGACATGGAGGGCGCAGGGCCTTTTCTCATTAGAAATGAAGTCAGAACTGGTCGAGAAGGTTCCTCCACTAAGCAAGATTAATTTCTTTTCTGTGATTCTTCGAGTCTGAAAACATTTCCTAATTTGCTTTTAAATATCCAGAATAGCTATTATCCGCCTCAAATTAACTTTTCATAGAACTGCTACGCTTTTGTTAGAAGTCAGCCCGTCCTTCTCCCTGTCCGCCGATCACTCACGTCCCCCTTTCAATGCGCTCCCGCGTCTCCCGCAGGGCACGGCGAAGCAGGCGTACACGGGCGCGCCGGCGGCGGACAGCGAGCTGCTGCGGCTGAGCCTGCGGCTGTTCAAGCGGAGGAGCGCCTGCCGCGCGCCGGGGCCCGACAAGGCGGAGGACGGCAAGCTGGCGCCGCCGGGCGAGCCGGAGCTGTGCGTGTCCTGAGGCCGGGGCTGGGCGCGCGGTCTGCGCCTGCGCTGCGGTGCACCTTCTCTGCCGGAGGTCTGGCTTCGCGAGCGTCCCTGGGCCGGCGGCCGGCGGAGCCCGCTCGCCGGCCACGCAGCTGCGGTGGGGGCGCTCTGACGCTTGAAGGCGTCGGTTTGGCTGAACTGAGACTTTACACAGTACTTAGTGCTCGTGAAAGATAGCGTGAAAGCATAGAGTCAGTAGTTCGGTGCATTTTGTTAAAACTGAAGTTTGGGGAAACGGTTGTCACTGCGCTTCCAGTCGACAGAGACTTTTCTGAAGAGGAGCCACTGGCGCGTTCTGGACCCGTCCTGAAGCAGCTGCAGCCTGGCCCAGGCACTGTGTCCACCGCACGCGCACGCGCACGCACACTGTGCACCGCCGCGCCGCACAGGACACGGGGCGCTGGCCCTGCGCCGGTGTGCGGGCCGCGCCCCGCAGGAGGGAGCCAGGAGACTTTTTTTCCTTGTGGAACATCTGAGAAAGTTACTTAATGGATCTTTGTTCTTTTAAATGTATGTGTGTTGTTAGAATGTGTACTGGATGCATTTGGAATCTAAATGGTTTTGTTTGTTATCAGAGACTGCCTACTCTTTTTATTTTTAATAAATACGCCCTTTTCCCTTTTCTTGTTTTAGATTTACTTTGTTTTTCAGTAGCCTCATTCCTGGTATTCTGAAACATTTGCCGTCAACATTACATGTTTCACACCTCAGATGTTTTCCTGCCGACGTCCTTGCTGTCGGACAGCGGTTGCCGGTGTGCGGTGGGGACCTGCCTCAGCTGGGGCTCGGCCGTGCTGGAGCTGCACAGCTGCGTCCTCTGGGCTTTAGAGTGCTACCGCCACATTTTTTACAGTTACAGCCTTTGATTACGTTAAACTGGCTCCAGCCCCTAAGACGTGAAATGACTTGCTTTTTAAAGATTACCGTGTATCTGCTTTGTATGTAAATATTTAACTCATGAAGTAGATTCTTAGAAGGATTTGAAATAGACTCCACGTTGGGAAGTATTGGGGGAGACAGACATAAGAATAGTAATAACAGTAATAATAATAAAGCAAACCAATCAAAATTACAATTTGGTCATTACCTCCAGCAGTTTTCTGTTTGGCTGTAAGCCTGTGACAACCTGTCTCAGTAGTTTTTTATTGTCACCAAAGGTAACCAAGTTTCTTTCCACTTCAGGAAACATTTATTGTGCATTTCATTTGACTTTCTTGGTGACATTTCCTTTCCCACTTAGTAAATGTTTTGAGTGAAGAAAAGAGAAAAGGTAAACATTATAATCACCCCAGAGAATGTACCCTCTAAGAAACTCCTCCCTGATTATAGTGGACAATCTTGTTCTCGGTAACATAAAAATTTAAGGTCCTGGAACACCTCGTGCTTGTCTGCAGAATTATGGACTATAACAAAGATGACTTTTCTGTGCTGTCCACTGACTTTAGGAATATTTCACAAGTTGTTTAGTTACAGCACAAAAACTGTGTACAGGTGGTCCCTGGTTTACAATGCTTTGGTTTACAATTTTTCCACTTTATAATGGTGCCAAAGCAATACACGTTCGGTAGAAACCAGCTAGGACACGCTGTGATGTTCAGTAGGTTAAATGCATTTTCTGGTTGGGGTGTTTTCAGCTTCCTCTGCGTGTATCAGGACACAGCTGCATTGTAAGAAGCACCTGCAGTTGAATTTGCCACATAGTTGAATCTGTTGCCTTTCTAGTGTGAGGATGTTTTTCTGTCACGAAAGAAGATTCTAGAATGATTCCTGTTTCCCTAGACACGGTATTGGGAGCATTATGTTCACCGTGGGATGTCTCACAATGTTTTAAAAAGTTCATACATTCTCTGGATTGCTAGTTAGGTATTTATAGAGTTCTAAAGCAGATCTCTTCATTAACTTCCTCGTAAAACACTCGGGCCAGAATTACAATCGGTACTCCTGCAAACGTCTTCCCGTTCATAAAGTATTTGCCGGCAGAGGTGAAGGGCTGTCGTGGCTGGTGGAGGAAGGTCGTCCAGGTGCCGTAGTTGCACGGCTGGCCTCCTGCTGCTGGCGGCGAAGTTGTGTCTGTCCGCAGTCGGAGATGCGGCGCGAGTCCCCGCGCGCACATCCTGGTGGCGGCGGGTTCCCTTCGGCCGCCGCCCTCACCGTTTGGTCAGAGATGACCCTCACTTACCACAGAGCTGGTGCCTTCGTGGGAGTTCCCAAGTGCGGGTAAGTGGTACTGCAGCGTGCTGAGAAGTCGGACCTGCCACTCCTCTGTTCTGATCAGTGACTGCGGGTCGTCGTCCCAGTCCTACCCGTGACTGCGGTAGGGTTTTATGGCTCAGTCTTTTTTTTTTAATAATATTTTCTTTTTAAAAAATGTATTTATTTATTTTTAGGCAGAGGGGAAGGGAGGGAGAAAGAGGGAGAGAAACATCAATATGCGGTTGCTTCTCACACACCCCCTCACAGGGGACCTGACCCACAATCCAGGCATGTGCCCTGACTGGGAATCGAACCCACGACCCTTTGGTTTATAGACCGGTGCCCAATCCACTGAGTAACACCAGCCAGGGTGACGGCTTAATCTTTATTAACCTGAAAGTTTGTGTTGGCAAAGCCTCCCACATCACTGCCCACTGTCTGGTTGGGTAAAGAGTAAGTTATAGTTATATAGTACCCATATTGTCTTTTAACCTATGTTTATTTTTTATGTTTCCATTACAGTTGATATTTGATATTATATAAGTTTCAGGGTACAGGATGGTGGTTAGACATCTACATAATTTATAAAGGGAGCCTCCGGTAAGTGTAGTGCCCAGTAATCTGGTACCGCACAGTTACTACAGTAGTATTGGCTGTATTTACTGTGATGTACTTGACATCGTGACTCTCTTTAACCCTCAAATGAGGACACGCTTACTGATTTTATGGGGGGTGGAGGGAGGGGGAGAAAGGGACACTGGCTGGTTGCCTCTTGCACGCACCTTGACCCAGGGGGCTGAGCCCTTCTGTTTAGGGACGAGCTCCAGCCAACCGAGCCACACGGGCCGGAGCTCTCGGGACTGTTTTGTGACTGCTGTACTCCCTAATCCCTTCTCCTTTAACCCACCCAGCCCACGCCCCCGGCCGATCCAGCAGCCATCGGCTCTTCGTACCTGCGAGTCCATCTTTGTTTGGTGTGGTTCTTCAGATGACACACGCCAGTGAAATCTTACGGCATTTGTCTCTGACTCAGTCACTTAGCGTAATACCCTCTAGGTCCATCCACGATGTCGCAAACGGTAAGGTTTCATTTTATTTTTATGGCTGAGGGGATAGTCCAGTGCACAGACCGAGGGGCACTTACGTGGCTTTCGTCTCCTGGCCGCTGCAGACAATGCCGCAGTGCGCACGGGCGAGTGCCGTGTGAATTACTGCTTTGGGGTTCTCTGGGTGCCCAGAAGGCGTAAGGCAGTTCCGTTTTTAATTTTTTGAGGGACCTCCACACTGCTTCCCACAGGGGCTGCACCAGGCTGCGTCCCCTCCAGCGGTGCCCGAGGGTCCCCTTCCCCCTCATCCTCACCAGCACTCGTTGATTTTTTAATGATGGCCGTTGTGACAGGGGTGAGGTAGTCTCACTGTGGTTTTTACATTTCTCTGATGGTTAGTGACGTTGAGTCTATCTTCACAAGTGAGATTAATTTTTTTTAAATCCTCACTTGACAATATTCCCATTGATTTTAGAGAAAGGAAGAGAGAGGGGAGAGAAAGTAACGTCAATGTGATGGATCAGTTGCCTCCGCACACAACCTGGCTGGGGATCGAACCGGCAACCCAGGTATGTGCCCTGACCGGAAGTTGAACCGACAGCCTTTGGTGCGTGGAGCCAGCTGAGCCACCCGGCCAGCGCAAGGTCTGCTGCGATTTTAATGGCTCTGTAAGGCTCCATTGTATGCGTTCGTGATACGTAACCTGTCTCCTCATAATTTAAATGCCTGCTGACGTTTACATGGTGTCAGTATTCTACACCATGCTGCCATGGAGGGTCCCACATAACTTGTCTTATCGCCGAGACTGTACGGTGAGGGTCTAGCCGTGGTGTGTGCGGGCCGGAGGCCCCTGCCTGTGTGCCAGAACTGAACACGGGCTGCCACCCGGCGTGCCCGCGGGGCTCAGTGACTGCCAGCAGCCACGGGAGAGGTCCTGACGGTGAGAAGCGCTGGCTGAGCGGGCACCACGTCCCAGCCCGCAGGAGAGGGGCCCGCCTTTCCCTTGAGCGAGCTCGCGTGCTCTCCGAGCACCTGGAGTAACACAGGTGAGCGGCCAGAGCGGTGTCCTCACGTGTCGTTCTCGTACCTGCGCGCTCTGCAGGCTCTGGTCAGTGTTCACCGTCCTGCATGCACAAATGCGAAGGAAACGTGTCTGTCTATTTTACTCTTCACCCAGTGTGGGCGGGTCCCCCTCTGCTTTCCCCACCCCCAGTCTGTCACCGTGCGTGTCACCGAGCACCGTGCATGCCTTCTCCTTGGGTTCAGTGTGGAAAGTAAACTGCATCCACCGCCTGCGCCTGGAGCACTTTCTCAGCCCCTTCCGACTTGGCTTCTGCATCTGGCTCCGAACCCTTGGTCAGGTGCGCCCTTTAAACCTCTAGTTTCGGGATTTACTTCGTGGACAGTAGCACGTGCCCACGTTAGCACGTGGGTCTCCAGGGGTGTTGACGCCCATTGCCAGCCTGTAGATACCTGTGCCCCATGCACTCTCTCCAGTGTTACCGGGTCCACGCTTTCTACTCTAATATATAAAAAGTGACGTCCTGCTGTTGTTTCACCTTGCGTTCTATTTTTTGTTGTTTTAAATATATTTTATTGATTATGCTATCACAGTTGTGCCATCCCCCGCCCCTTATTCCCCTCCACCCTGCACACCCCCTCCCACCTGCATTTCCCCCCCTTTAGTTCATGTCCGTGGGTCGTACATATAAGTTCCTTGGCTTCTCCATTTCCTGTACTGTTCTTAACCTCCTCCTGTTTTCTCCCTCCTGTTTATGCTGTTTATTCCCTGTGCCTTTTCCCCCTCCCTCCCCCTCCAACTCCCCCGCTGGTAACCCTCCATTTCTGTGATTCTGTTCCTATTCTAGTTGTTTGCTTAGTTCATTTTTTTTGTTTTTGTTTTAGATTCATTTGTTAATAACTGTGAGTTTGTTGTCATTTTACTGTTCATATTTTTTATTTTCTTTTTCTTAGATGAGTCCTTTAACATTTCATAATAAGGGCTTGGTGATGATGAACTCCTTTAACTTGACCTTATCTGGGAAGCACTTTATCTGCCCTTCCGTCCTAAATGAAAGCTTTGCTGGAGACAGTAATCTTGGATGTAGGTCCTTGCCTTTCATGCCTATGATTCAGATGTTGGGATGTTTAAAGATGTCCTCAAACCTCTTCTCATTTTTCTGAATTCTTATTTCATTCTGTTCTGGTTGAATGTTTCTTTCTTTCTTCTGGTCCAAACCGTTGATTTGAGTCCCAGTTTCCTTCCTGTCATTGTTGGTTCCCTGTACATTTTCCTTTATTTCACTTAGCATAGCCGTCATTTCTTCCTCTGTTTTTCGACCTCGTTCAACCAGTTCTGAGCTTCCTGATAACCAGGGCTTTGAACTGTGCATCTGATAGGTTGGCTATCTCTTTGTCGCTTAGTTGTGTTTTTCTGGAACTTTCATTTGGGTCATTTTTTTGGTCTCAGTGCTCCCATTACCGAGTGAGGGGCGGGGCCTTAGGTGTTCACCAGGGCAGGGCAACCCACGTGGCTGCCTTGTGATGCTGTGGGGGAGGGGTCTGAGAAGGAACAGTGCCACTTGCTCCTCTCTTTGCCGGCTCTCAGTCACTTCCCCACTTCCCACAAGCGAACTGGGCCCTTCTGGTGCTGATTCCCGGGTGGGTGGGCTTGTGTACATTCTAGGACCCTGTGGGTCTCTCCAACAGACTCTCCTGTGAGGCTGGGAGTTTCTCCTGCTGCTGCTGCAACCCCCACAGGTGTTTTCAGTCAGAGGTGTGAGGCTTTATTTCCCTGCTGGAGCCCTGGGTTGTGGGTCCGTCTCGCTCCCCAGTTGTTCCTCCCGGTTTATCCGCATGAGAATGTGGGACCCCCAGTCTGCCAGCCGCCGCCTCGCTGCAAGTCCCCTCTGCCCAACTGCCCATCTCCACCCCTCCACCTGGTCTGGGTGAGTGTTTCTTCTTTACTCCTTGGTTGTCGGACTTTCATGCCGTTCTATTTTCTGGCAGTTCTGGTTTTTTATTTTTAAATCTGTTGTCCTCCTTTTGGTTGTGCGAGGAGTCAGTGTGTCCACCTGCGCTTCTGTCTTGGCCGGAAGTCCTCTCAACTTGCCTTCTGTTATTAGGAGTGAGGTTGGGTATTATTATATAAATAATGTCTGAGCCATTTCCATTTCTGTTACCTTAAACTGTCAGTTTCTATCCGTTGCCCATTTTCCTATGGGCTTGTTGCCCTTTTATTGAATTACAGGAGTCAGGCCTGTCACCACCGAGGCCTTGGTGCGGTGACCTCGGAGCCGGCATTGGCGGGAGGTGAGCCGGAGGGACCGAGGGCCGGTCCAGGCATCGGAAGTGCTTCCTGGGACGCCCACCCCCAGGAAGCCCTCCGGTCGCTGGCAGCGGAGCAGAGATGTTGGGTGGGCAAGAGAGAGCCCGGCGGGGCCAGTGTTGTGCCCCCTCCAGGGACCCGGACACCTGGGGAGGGGGCCGTGGGGGGGGTCGGTGAATTGGTTGTGGTTTGGGGCAGAGTTTGCCGTTTGCTCCATGAAGGGGCTTCTGCACCGGAATGAATGTCCCTCATTAGCCGACGTTGTTTTGTCTGGATCGCCAGGTGCTTTTCCCCAGGGGGTGTTCTGGCGAGCAGCGCAGAGCAGTTCCGCGGGATCTAATTCTCCTCATCAGTCAGCGACAGAGCAGGGTTATAAGGGCCTGCTTTAGAGGGGAAGAAAAAAAGTTCCGCTCTTAAATATGGAATGAGTTTGCCTCCAGAAATGAATGCCGACAGGAGTGCAGTCCCGTGACGGGGACTTGGGTCAGCCCACGGACACGGTTCCCCAGGTCAGAGTCGGAGAGAGGAACTGGGAGGAGGCCGTTGTTCTGGGGTGAACGCGCAGCCGAACCCTGCCTGCTCCCCACAGGGCGGGCGGGCGGCCGGCCGGCCGGCCGGGCTGGTGGGGGCGCCGGGGTGACCCCGCAGCCCCGCCCCGGGGGAGTGCGCACGCACCAGACCCCGGCGGCGCGGAGTGACTGCGCTGACCTCTCTGGTCTGCGGCCCAGGGGCTGCTCGGACACAGGCGGAGGGGAGACACGGCTTTTCGTCTCTTACAAAGGGGCGCTACAGGGTGTCCGCCGGGCTGCACTGCGCGCCGAGTATTTCTGTCCCCCCCCCGCCCCCCCCCGCCCCCCCAGTTCTTGTGTCAGCAGCGCCGCTGCCCGCCGCGACAGCATCTGGAGGCGAGGCCCGTGGTGCCGCGCGCGGGCCCTGAGTTGTTGCTAATGCCTGGCTCGATCCTAATGCAAAGGCCGGCTTTTCCCGAGCTAGTCAGTCATTCGTTGGCACTCCTTGGAGTGACTTTCTAAGTTTTCTTTTAAAATTAAACCTAGAGGCTTGGACTTCTAAGTAGGCCTTCATCGCCGTTTCGGCGGCTCTGACTCAGCCCTTCCTGGGGCGGGAGGTGGGCAGGGGGGCGAGCAGGTGGGCGGCGACCAGCTGACACACACACAGTGCTGTGCGCGCGGACGGACGGCGTGAGGGCGTGCGTGCGTGCGTGCGTGTTGTGCGTCCCCGCTCACCACTCCGCCCCCTCCCCCTCCGCACGGGACAGTCCCGACGCGGCGGGGGGGGTGCGGAGGGGGCCGAGGACGCCGCAGCACCCTGGCGCTGGGAAACCTGCTGCGCAAGCGCACACAGCGCTAGCCGGCTGCGGAGTCAGGATTCAGCCCAGACTGTTCCCGGCAAGTCCGCGCTCGCGGCCGCCGCCGGGATGCCTCCCAGGGGTGTGCGTGCGTCTATGTGACCGCACTGTGCAGACATCGCGACGAGCGGGAGTCCTCACGCGCGTCACTGCGTCACACAGTCTGCTGCGGGGCTGCCGTTTCCTTCCCCGGGGTTCGGCACTCAGCAGTGCCACACCCCTGTTCCGTGCGGCGAACACCAGTCACACGCAGGCACAGGGACCGCGGGATGCGTGCCGTCTCCGGAGAAGGCCCGGGCGGCCCACGCGAACAGAGTTCAAGCGGAACAGCCGTGCGCAGCTCAGCAGTCAGTCCGGACTGCCGGGCCCCGCGCACGCGACCTGCCAGTCGGCTCCCCCGGGCGCTCTGCGCGGTAGCCAGCACTCGGCCTCCTACCGCGCCGACTCAGGAAAAAAAACACTGCTCCAGGTCACACGGGGAGGCTTTTATTAACTTAAATCGACATCGTCAGCTCTGCCTGCCGCGCTTGGTACCCACGCCTTGACTGCACACGCGCCCACGGGCTCTTCTCGGCACCACGGGGCCAGGCGGACTGGCCGTTACTGGCGCTCGCGATGGTCACCACGGCGTTCAAACGGTCATGTCACTGCACTGGGATATTTAAAGAACATTCTGAGGAGTGTCTGAAAGCTGCGTCTATAAATAGTGACGGGCGTATCTGCTTAGGTATTTGGTGTTGAAGATAAACACGTATATAAAACATCGTTTTATTACACTGCTCTACTAACGAGGCTCGTTATTAGGTACCATATTCTAACACTAAAGAATAAAGCTTTGGAGTCGTGTGTACTTTATTCCTAGGACGCACTGACACAGAGTGTCGTGTCCAGCACCGAGGAGCTGGCCCGCTGCAGACGCGCCCCGTGGAAGGGACGCGGGCGGCTGTGACAGAGACTGAGGGGACGGGGAACCGCATTGCACGTGCTGGACGCAGACAGCCCTTCTCAGCCGCAGGATTAAATGCGGACCAACTGCTTGTACAGGTTTTCAGGCCTAGATGGCGCTATAATTTCCACACACTGAACAGAAAAGAAACAAGAACAGAACACAGTATTTTTAACGATGAAGCCCGGCTGGAACCTTCCGCTGTCCACGGTGGCCGTCCACTGTGTGGTCAGATCAGATTGGCAGCTGGAACTTCACATCCACCTGGGCTTGTTTGGCTAAGTTCACTATTTCAGAGAGCTTTACAACCTGAAAGATAAAAAAAATCTTTGTCTATTTTCACAAAAATGTGACATCGGGACTCCTGGTCAATGTGAAATTAGTGCACTTTCCATCTTTTCCGTCTGAAACGCGGGCTGTTCTGACATCCGCCACTTCACACCCGCAGGGGCATCAGCACCCGGTCTGACACTTTCCGTCGGCCGCGCCTCGAAGCCTGCACAGGCGGTGTCACCCGAAGGGGCCGAACGAACGTCTGATGTGGGCACACACCCCCTTTCCTGCCTACGCTGTCTGTCGTTCTTAAAGACAGAAACAGTCAGTGTTTCGGAGTGTTTCGGTGGCCGGATACCTCACAACGCAAACCGCACATAAATCAGTCTGCCTCTTAAAAAAGAACGTGTCCAGTCTAACAATGCTGGGACAGGAGTCTGGGTCTAGAGTTAATGTTCTACTTTCTACCAGCGAGCTGGCAGTCACAGTTTGAACCCCAGTGTTCTCGCGGGGATCTGCCTGAGAGCACCCAGCCGGCACCGCGAGACACGTCACTCGGACTCATGTCCCCAAATGAACAACAGACTCGGCTTCTCTCCTCCCGCACAGAGCCGGCGGAAGGCGGCAGAGGCAGTCAGGCACCTTGGCTCCAGACTTCACTCAGACGCTTACGGCGTGTGACCCTGGTGAGCTAATTCACCCAGCCCCCTTCCTCATCCCTAAAAACGAGCCTGCACCACCACACTCACCCGCAGGAAGGTGGTACCCGAGAAAAGCCCAGCGCGGAAAGCGTGAGAAGTGCGTGGCACGCAGCGGCCAGGGTCACTGCGTCACCACCACTGTGTGCCTCCCACGTCTCCCGGGGGAGAGGACCGCGGCCCAGCGCAGGTTGGCTGCTCACATCCACCTCCTGTTCCGTCTGGTCCGGGTCCTACCGACTCGCCTCCTCTCCTTCCATGCCCACAACGCTTCCCTTGATCCGGGCCCTCGCTGCAAACTGACATGTTCCAGGGACCGGCTGCAGCCTGTCCATCCCAAACCCTCACCTCACTGCTCATCCGATCACTGCCCCGGCCAGACTCCTCCTGTCCCTCCAAGTCAGACAGGCTTTCTGAGCCACTTCTCCCTGCCACCCCCTTGCTCAGACCGTAACGTAAACTCAGGACTGAGTATAAGACCCTCTGTCTCTAGAGCACAGTGAAGTCTGTTTACTAACAGGTCCTTTCCCAGAGTCGTCCCGAAGACACACCAAGACCCTTATCATTCTTACGAAATGACATTAGCTCAGCAAACCCCAAAAGCCCACCACTGATTAGCCCACACAGCCCCAAAAGCATGCTGGGAAATGTCCACAAACACAGGTGGGAAGAACCCAGAGTTCTCCTTTGGAAACATCCGTGTGTCTGTGACGGAGTGTGCGAGACAAGCTGTGCAGTGCGGCAGATGAGGAAAAATGCATGTAATGGCCGTATGATGAGGGACAGTGCACACGCATGCATGTGTGCGTGCACACTGCTCGCAAAGTGGACTGCCTGGGGTGGGGAGGAGGAATCAGGAGTGGGTGTGGCGATCAGATTCTCTGAATGTACTTTGTTCTACAGCCACCACACCTGGAACCAAGTAAGTGTTTATATAATACCAAAAAAAATTGGTGGTTTTGTTTTTGAAAGCAATTCCTTAAAAAGAAAAATTCTGAATGACACTAACTGTATACCAAGCTGGGATAAAACACACAGCTGTTTCACGTGCATTTATTTAAACTCCCTTAAGCGATGAGAAATGCTCCAAGGACAGGAGGAACTGCTCCCAGCAGGCAGCCGTGTCGCCGGCGCTGTCCTGCACAACTGCCATGCCTGCTCTGAGGGACAGAGGGAGCGAGCGTCTGTGTGCGTCCGTGTGACACTGGGGGGAGAGAGGCGACAAGACCAGACCTGTACTACCGCACTTCTCCTGGGTGTATCTTCAACATCCCTTCCTACACGTACCATTTAAAAAGCCCAGAAACAACGAACGGCCCAGCAGCTGTAAGAACCCTTAGAGCTCAGACGTGATCTCTGAACACCACGTGGCTGACTCCGGGTCTGGGCAGACCGCGCAGAGGTGAGCCTGGCGCATCGGGTCGAAGCACGGAGCCCATCACAGGGCCGGCGGGGAGGACTCAGGAGTCCCCCTGAGGAGGCTCCCACTGCCCCAAGGCTGGACCACTTGAGCATCAGTAAAAACAACTGAAATGGACTGGAGCCCATCCAACAGGCCTACGTAGATCCACGAGGTCAGGCTAGCACATGCACGTGCGTGTGCATTTGTGTGCACACACTCCACACGCACCTCACAACAAAAGGAGAACAAAGCCAGGGTCGCTTCCATAGGACGGAATGGAATGAACTCACTACTCTGCAAACTCATCAACGAAGCAAATGACCAAGTAATGGCCCTGCTTTTCCTACGCACAGCTTACTTCCTGCCCCTGGTAACCAACAGGGGCAGACAGCAGGGAGTTTCACTTTTCACAAGCACTCCGTGTAATAAAGAACAACAGAATTGGGACATCAAACTTAGGTATTTCGCATTTATGAAAAACCATTAGGCCTAAGCTGTGACTGCCAGTGACTGCCAGCGAGCGCCACCCAGTCAGGAAGACCTGACAGTAATCACACCCTTCCTGCGGAATGACACAGCACCAGCTGCAAAGCACTCCTGCTCCTTGCTCCCCAAACCAAACCCACGCGACCGAACCGGCAGACCAGGGCGGCCAGTGGGCAGGAAATGCGGGAGAAGACGCCCCAGGGACACACTCACGACTGTCCCGACTGTGGGAAAGACCACAAGACCGTCAGCCTGGCTTGTTCAGCAACCTCCGGGAGAACAAACGGCAGAGGAGAGTCTGCAGATGAACGGGAAGTCGGTGACGTGTAACCGACTGCAGTGCCACCGGGGCCCGCTCACCATTTTAGCAGCTTCGTCCAGGTCGTCGCAGGCGAGAATTTTCAGCCCACTGTCCGCGATCAGTGCCTTGGCGTCATCCACGCGTGTACCTGAAAAGCATCGTGCGAGGAAGGGGGTTTTGAACGTCTGCACAGAGGCGTGAAGACGCCCGTCACCGCGCACAGCGCGGCACGGAAGCACGCGAGCGCGCTGGCCACTTGGCGCGGTGGAGGGGCCGAGCCCCGGCAGCCACGATGCCGCACGGCGCCCGCCCAGCGCGAGTCAGGACCTCAGACTCAGGGCAGGGCGCGACAGACAGACACACGCACGCACGCACCGCGCCGAGGGCAAGTACGAACGAGTCTGCCCCCTGCTGGAAAACTCAGCGCCAGCCTCTGGCGTTCCCCGTCGCGTGACACTCTCCCCGGGGGACACGGCCGCACTCGAGAAGAGCGGAGCTCCCGGGAGCCGGGGCGTTCGCGCAGCTGGGCTTCGGGGTTCGGGGTTCGGGGTTCGGGGGTCGGGGCCGCGCCGCGCTCACCCTGCAGCCGCACCACGATGGGGATTCGGATCTCCAGGTCCTTCACGGCCATGACGATGCCCTGCGCGATGACGTCACACCGCATGATGCCGCCGAAGATGTTCACCAGGATGGCCAGCACCTGCGCGAGACGCGGGTTTCGGCAGGTTCAGGTTTCACGGAAATGAGGGTGTGTCCTTCCTCCCCGAGAAAACACCAGGGTTTGTCCCTCACGATGCAAGTCGGTTCCGTGGAACCGCGTTCAGACCGAGGAGCCGCCCCCCGTAGGTCTCACTGCTGACGTCTGGGAACGGGTACCCGTTCCCTGCCGCCCCACACGGGCAGGCCCCCGGGGCCTGGCACCTGTCCCCCCACACGGGCAGGCCCCCCGGTGCCCGGCACCTGCCCCCCGACACGGGCAGGCCCCCGGTGCCCGGCACCTGCCCCCCTACACGGGCAGGCCCCCGGTGCCCGGCACCTGCCCCCCCACACGGGCAGGCCCCCCGGTGCCCGGCACCTGCCCCCCATTAACACAGCCGTCCGCCAGCAGGACGACCCCGACCGCGCGCAGCAAGGCGACGCCACACGCCAGATCTCCATCTCACGCTCATCAACCGCCCCCTTCCCTTCCCCCGCCCACCCGCCAAGCCCTTCATGCCGGCCGGCCCGGGGCTGCTCCGCCGCCCTGCGCGCACCGGCCCGCGCTGTGCGCCACGCCAGCCCGCGGCCCGCGGGGTCCGGGTTCCCGCACCGCCACACCGATTCTCCCGTCCTTTACGGAAAGTATTTTCTGTTTTTCATTTTGAATGAACCACACTCTGGTGGAGTCACAGACAGATCAAGACACTGTACATCAATAGTTACTGCCAAAGTTGTCTCTGGACTAAACTGAAGATGATTTTTATTTTCTTCTTTTCGGGCTTCACAGGTTTTCACAGGAACGCACCCCCGTGCCGGGGCACCGCCGCTCTTACTACCCGACAACCCGGTGCCTCTCACCTTGGGCGCCGGGTCACAGCGGGAACCGCCTTTCCCCGTGGTTGACCGCGACTGAGCTTGACTGCAGCCCGTGTTCGCAAACGATGGGGGGCTTTCACACTTAAGTGCTCAGCCGGGGTGCCGGGCGCCTCTGCCAGCTCGCCTCTCGCACTCTGAAACCCGAGCCCGCCCTCACCTTTTTATCGGAAGTGATGAGCTTAAACGCTTCCGTCACTTGATGGACCGTCGCGCCGCCGCCGACATCCAGGAAGTTGGCCGGAGTCCCTCCGTGGAGTTTTATGATGTCCATCGTGGCCATGGCCAGACCGGCACCGTTCACTGTGGGGGTGGGGGGGGGGAATGGTGTGTGTGAGCAACAGCACAAAGAAGGTGAAGCTCACGCCCTGGCTGGCGTAGCTCAGTGGACTGAGCTCGGGCTGCGAACCAAAGCATCGCAGGTTCCATTCCCAGTCAGGGCACATGCCTGGGTCGCAGGCCACGGTCCCCAGCAACCGCACATTGACGTTTCTCTATCTCCCTCCCTTCCCTCTCTAAAAAATAAATAAATAAAATCTTTAAAAAAAGAAGGTGAAGCTCAGAAAGCTGAGCCAGCGGACCCTCAGCGCGAGAACACGGTACCGAGACAGCCTATGTTCCCGTCCAGGCCGATGTAGTTGATGTCCGCCTTCGCCGCGGCTCGGTCCCTCTCGTCCTCCTGGGTCCAGTCCTGGAGAGCAAAGATCTCCTTTTGGCGGTAAGCGGAATTAGAATCAAAATTGATCTTTGCATCCATGCAGAGCACTTCAAGGGAAAAAAAAGAAAGAGATCTTAATTTCAAGACACATACAATAAACCATCCAATAACCAAACATTCTTCAGTTTAGCGGAAAAACACATTCTGCTACATTATTGAAAGTATTTCAACCTATGTTCACAATGAATTCAAAACTGTTTCTTCAAAAAGAGAGCTTGGAATTGAAACTACCCCTTCAAAGTTACTGGTTCTATGTATATTCTAGACAACAGATAAAGAAAAGGAAAAAATACCTTCACAGTCTACGAAATAAACGACCCCTCTCCACAAAAACAAGAACATGGGCCGTATGTGTGTCAAGGTCAAGACACAAAGCAAACTTGAGGTGCTCTCTGAGGTCACGCGGAGCTGGCGTGACCTAAACCCACGGTGGCACTGGCCCGGGCACGGGACCAGGAGTGGGGGTGGGAAGGAAGGCCCTGCTGGGGTGCCTGTCTCCATCTGGCGCATGTATCGTGGATTAGACAGCACTCGATCAACGTTGTACTCCCTGGTTTTGATAAACGTGTCGAGGTTACATGAAGGAGTGTTCTCAGACACCAACCCATCTAGGGGTGACGAAGAACAGTGTCTCCCACTAATGCTCGGGTGACTCTAAGGACCTATCTGCACACGCGCCGACAGTGCAGGGAGACGAGGAGGGTGACAGCGCAGGTAGGGCGGGACGTAAATGACTGGTGGTTCGGGGCAGGGGTAAGTGGGCGTTCCTTGCACTGTTTCGTCTGTGTCAGAAAGTTGTGGGGGTCCCTATAATGCCGTGTTCACAGTAAGCAGTGCCTTAGCGCAGGTTCACCCATCACAGCAAATGAATGCTGTTGAACAGAAAAAACAATATTGGCAATTTTTATCCTTTTATTTCCCATATGAACTGTGTAATGGTCCATTTTTCATGTTCAAAATTCTTAGTTGCATTTAAGTTATGTATCAACTAAGAAACCGACCACTCTGGGTCACTCTTCCTTCCAAAGAGCATGCGTACTCTGCCGTTTGCTTGGTGTTAAATATTTTCTCATTTCCATTATTTCTGAATTAACTCACGAACTGAAGTACTCTCATTCATTTTAAAAAACAGGATGATGTCTTACATTAATTTCTAATTTTACTGCTTTGTGTTTAAAGACTGTTAACTATGTTATTCTTAGCTATTTGTTGAGACGTTTCAATTGTGGGTCAATATTTTCTTTTTTAGTTGGCGTTAATTTGTTCTAAAGGTCAGGCGAGGGGTGTGCGTGCGTGCGTGTGCGTGCACCCACAGTGCTAAGGAAGTCAACGTGCCGGCAGAAGAGTGAGCACAGCGCACGGAGCGCAGGCAGTGAGCAGCCCTCGCCGGGCCCCGTGGGTGCGGACCCCAGGGCCACGGCAGGCGCCCCCCCCACCCCCCCGGAAGCCAGCGGAGGTGGTCCTCCGCCTCAGGCACTCTTTGGGAGGGGTCCCTAGGAAACAGAGTTCCTAGGCTGCGCTCCGTAAGGAAAAAAATGTTAAATGAAAGACGTGATAGTTCAGTCTTGCCCTTTTCAGCACGTGTGGAAGAAAAGCTGTCACAGGGACGGCCACCCGCACATGCCCAGTGGCTGAAATGAAGACCCGCCGTGTCTCCGCAGCCGAGCGCTCGCGGCGATCAGGCCGGCGCGTGCCCCAGAGCTGCCGCTCTGTCTGCGTGCTGCCCGGCACGGTGCCCGCGTGTGGCCACGGGGCCCCTGAAATGTGGCCAGTGTGGCTGAGGGGCACGCTGACCTCGTGTCATTTTGATTAACTGTGACCGCCGCACACAGCCGGTGGCCACCGCGCTGGACGATGCAGCTCCAGGCCGTTTGTGGACCTCGGTGTGCGCTTAAGACATTTAAAGGGTCTGCTCTGACGAGCCTCTTGAATGTTTACACTCGCCCTGCTTATCGGGAAACAGGCTTGTACACAGGAAGGCGTTCACGTCCGCACGCGGTCAGCTCCCGAGCGGAGCGCCCAGGGGCGGGCAAGCGCCCAGGCAGGGCTGGGCGGGCGAGGACAGCCTACCGGCCCCGTCGGAGTCCTCCACCATCGGGTTGATCTCCACCATGGTCGCGTCGTACTTCAGAAACAGGTTGTAGAGCCTGACCATGTTTTCCGCCGCAGAATCCACGGTGTTGTGCGGGAACCCCATCTTCTGCGCCAGCTGAAAGCAATGTGTCTCTTTAGCACGGGGTGCGACACCCACCCAGCGCACACGCAGCGACGGCGCGTCAGAGGGCCGTCTGCTGTGTGAGCCAGTGCGGTCGTTTGCAGGGGCCGCGGCCGCCACTAGAGCTCGCACAGACCTCTGCACCCGGACCCTCCTCACGGGGCGCGCGGCGTCCAACAGTGGCCAGCACACTCGGTCGCCCTGGGTCGCCTGTCGGGGACCTGTGCCGAGCATCTACCAAGCAAGGAGGCCGTGCCCAGTCACACCCGTGCCACCTCACTCATCCCACACTCGACTGAGCGCCGGACGGGCACAGGGGTCGCAGCGGCTCGCAGCTGGTTGCATGGAAAACACGACAGCCAGTGAGTGATGACACCAGCGTGAACTCTGTGCTCTGCATACTCCCCACTGCGAACCTCCTCTTGCCCGGCCCTGGGGCCCCCAGAGATGCAGGGTGTGAGCTTCTCATCCGCAGAGGAGTTCACCGCAGGCTTGAGCAGAGGTCTCTAACTCCGTGTGCCCGAAGAGCTCCCGAAAGAGCTCCCCTGCGCGGGCCCCGCCCCGAAGGTCTGACTCACAAGCCCGGCAGTGGACCCCGCGTCTGCGTCCCCCCGACCGCCGCACCGCTCAGGAGCGCCCGGGAGGGCTTCCCCCTCCAGGCCGTGTCACAGGCCGCACCCCACCCCACCCCACCTTCATGACGGGATCTCAAGTTCTTGGAGGGTGAAGGTGAGTTTTTGCAAAAAGTCCAGTGCCAGTATATGAAGTGACTGATCAAGCTAAGAAACGCCATTTCTGGTTAAGGACTTAACTCAAATAAAGAAGAACGAGCCGTGACCAGCGTGGCTCAGTGGGCTGGGCGTCACCCCCGACACCAAAGGGTCGCCGGCCCCCTCTCAGGCCACACGGAGCGGTCAACTGCACGCCCGGGTGGGCCTTCCTTGGGGCGGGGGGGGTGGAGACGCTCACGAGAACCGCACTGACCACCAGCGAAGCCGTGGGCAGGCTCGACCACGCGTGTGCGTGCACAGGGGAAGCCCACGGCTCTCGGCTGGTTCGTCCGTCCCCGCTCACACGACGCGTGGGCGGAAAGGAACCGGAGCCAGTCAGGGACTGTGAACGCCTGGGAAAGTGGTGCCGTTGGGAACCACTGTCGCCGCACCAGGCGTGGATACTTCTTGTAGAAACTTCCAATAGCTTCCACTCCAAACAAGACATTAGTATGTCCTGACACTCAAAAAAACTTTTTAAGTTCTGTCAATATTTCACTTGCACAAAGTTAACTCTCCTTCTTCAAGTACTATAATCACCTAACCAAAAGCTACACACGTTCTGGAATACAACATACCCGGACGGCTTGCTCCTTTTTGATGCCTTCTATGATATCAATGGGTTCCTTCACTATGGAGTCAGGATTCTCTGCAGCGACTTCTTCGATGTTGACACCTCCCTGAGAACTTCCTATTAATACAGGACCCTAGCGGGAGAAAAAACAGCCAAAGCATTCAGATTTTATTTTGGACCCATCAATAAAATGTTAAGATGGATTGGTGCACACTCTCAGACTTATATGCCTGTTACTCCCCATTCCTACTTTTAAACGCGCTTGAGAATTTGTCCTAGCGTCTCCCGCACAGGCGCCCCCTTGTAATGAATGTTCAGCTGAGATCACAGAAGGGTGAAAGGTGAAAAGGACAAGGGCTCACTGTGAGGGAGAAGACCACAGACACGTGCTGGCCAAGACAGACGTGCGCACCCATGGACATGAACAGCGGCGTGGGGCCTGACTGTGGGAACAAGGGGCGAGGGAGGGGGCAGAAGGGGGAGACTGGGGCAAATGTAATAGCATGAACAGTGAAAAAATCCAAACAGGAAATTAAGAAAAGGATCCACTAACAACAGCATCAGAAAAGAATAACATCTGAGGAATAGACTTAACCGAGGAAATGGAGGACTTGTCCACTGACAACCACAAAGCACTGCTGAGCGAAACCGAGGCAGACACAAACAGAGAGGCATCCTGTGTTCACGGACCGGGAGACCTAGTTTTGTTAAAATGTCCAACGTCACCCAAAGCAATCTACAAAGTCAGTGAAATCCATACTGTAATCCCAATGGTATTTTTCCCCCAATACAATCTTTTTTCCATTTTCATTTTTTTTAAAAAATAGAAAAAAAATTCCTAAAACTCACATGGACTCTCAAAGGACCCTTAATAACCCAAATAATCTCAAAAAAGAAAACAAAGCTGGAGGCCTCATACTTCCTCATTTCAAAACATGTTACAAAACTACAGTCATCAAAAGAGCATGGTCCCGCCGTGCAAGCCGACACACAGAACGGTGGACAGAATAGAGGGCCCAGCAATAAACCCTCACGTACGTGGTCAGTCTCAGACGGAGGAGCCAAAGACTACGCCATGGCTAAAGGGCGGAATCTTCGACAAACGTGCTGGAGAAACTGGACATTCGTGAGTGACATAATGAAGTGGGACCTTTACCTTACACCAGATTCAAAAATCAGCCCAGAATGGGTTAAGGACCTAAACGTAGGACCTGAAACCATGAAGACTCCTCATATAAAGCACTGGGGAAGGGCCTCATGACATTAGATTTGACAGTAACTTCTGGGATAAGACAACAAAGCACAAGTGACAAAAGCAAAAATAAGCAGTACTATATCAAACAGATCCTTCTACACAACAGAAGAAAAACAACAATGAAAAGGCAGCCTACAGAGTAGGAAAAAATATCTGCGAACCGTGTATTTATGAGATTAATATCCTAAATATGCATATACAGAGGACTACAGCTCAACAACAGAAAACCAACAGCCTAACTTAAAAATGGAGGGTGACCTTGAACAGACACTTCCCCGGAGGAGAGAAGGCGCAGCCTAGGGATGCCGTGACCCACCCCACAGGCCCTGTGGCCTGACCAACGGGCCCTTCTCACGGGGCGTGCCGCACCCCACACTCGTCTCCTCAGCGAGTGGCTGTCTGGCCACGACATTCGTATTCTGTTCCAAATGGCTTTCTCCATTTTTTGCAATACAGCTGTACCCCCTTATTTGCAGGGGACACATTCCAAGTCCCCCAGTAGATGCGTAAAACTGCAGATGGTAGCAAACCCTACTTATACTGGGGTGGCCAAAGAGTTTGTTTGTTTTTTGTCCATAGGATGGCTCTAGTGGCACTTAGTTGTCCTTAACTTCATCCAGAACCATTCTGTTAGATTCTATGGGACAGCTGTCATGTCAGCGTGCATTTTTAAAAATTGATTTTAGAGTGAGAGGAAGGAAGAGAGAGAGAGAAGGAGAGAAACATCAATTTGTTGTTCCAATTATTTATGCATTCATTGGTTGATTCTAGTATGTGCCATGACTGGGAATTGAACCTGCAACCTTGGCATTTCAGGATGATGTTCTAACCAACCGAGCCACCTGGCCAGGACTGACTGATTATTTCATTGTTTAATAGGGACCCATCTACAGGGATTCTAAAAAAATTCACTATGTCCCAAAAAGTAACACCAACCCACTCCCCAGTGTTCTAATGTGAGAGCATCAAAGAACATGATAATGTCTTTGGCCAAATGGTTTTACTAGCACTATCAAATTTTTAGTCTGAATTATTATAATTATGTATTAGCTTTTGTATTTCATTTTGCAAATGAAACAAAAACATTTTTTTCCTTAATGAGACTGAACTAGTTCTCTGACTATTCGCACCCTTAAAACGAACTCAAATTCCAACCTCGTCCCTAATGCTCTAATCCTAAATAAAGTCTCCCTGGTGCGCTGCAGTGTCTTGAACGATGCACTTTCGGTTCGCTACAGCTACTCCAGCCACGGCGCGCTGCTCTGATGGTGCGACGGGACGGGCTCCCGTCTCAAACTGCTCAGGCACACACACCGCGTTTCGGGCCGTAACAGAAAGTAAAAACGTGGTCAGTAACGAAATGACAGATGTTGATATATGATGCCAACGAAAAGGTAAAAACAGAGTGAAAAGAAGTGAATTTGCAAAAGCACGGTTTTTGCAAACGTGTGTGGTGTGCACGGTCACGCTCATGGGACCGCTAGGACGACCCCCATAGCCGAGCTCTGCCACACGGGGGACCCACAGAGGGGAGGACGCCCGAGCTCTCCGCCTCATGTCCTGAGTGGGTGTTCACCGCCACGTAGTGCCGCCTCAAGAGGTACCGTATTTTTGCTGTGTAAACGCACACCCACGTTTTTGTGTGCATTACACACGGGATTATTACATCCCATTATTATACCCATGTATAATGTGCATCCTTGTTTTCCCCTCAAAAAATTTGGGCAAAAATGTGTGTGTCATACACAGCAAAATAAGGTACTTTCTTATAAAACTTGAAAGTTACAAAGATACTTTAAAATATTCAAACATTACTAGGAGATTTAATTAACTATAGGGATGAAAATCACTATAAAAAATACCAAAAATAACTTTTTTAAAAAGCTTTTTTTATATAAGAAAACTACTTTTAGGACCGTTACAGTTTCTCTCTCAGCAAACCCTCACCAGGGCATCCGAGTGGATACCCAGCTTAGCGAGCATGAGCCAGTTACCACAGCCTCGGCCCCTGCAGCTCGACCAGTGCAGGCGGACGGCCAGACACCCGCGGTGTGAAACGATGAACCAGCAGTGCTTTCTGGCTCGGTCTGCGCAAGCAAACCCCTTCTCTTCGCCGGACGCCGTAAGTGCGCTGCTGCGTTTCAGGCTCCGAGAAGAGAGGACGCGGACTGAGGGCTGCGCTCCCTGGGACCTCGTCTCGCGTCACCGAACGCTGCCCTTCAGCTCCCCAGATGCCACCGCACCATCATCGAGGGAGACCAGCGCCAGACCATCAGAGACTCCGACAGGGAGGGAGAGACAAAGGGGAAGCCAGGGACACACTCTCCCACTGGGCTCAGATTCCTTCCTTCGGGGGGCATAGTTCACTCTGCTGGAAGTCACTCTCTGAGTCTGTGGAATCCAGAGGTGATTTCAGTCGCCCTTAGCAAACCAACAATTTAGAAATCCCGTGGATTTTATTTCAGCAGGGCCTTAGCTATATAGCGCTTTTTTAACCACAATATTATATATTAAATGTTACGGCATCAGCCATGCTATTTTTTTTAATGACACAAAAATAAACATTGTGCTATGACATACACAAACAGAACTAATAACCAAGTTTTACAACTGAATGTATTGAAATCACCCTAAATATATCATGACAATTACTCACTTGAAATGACCTTTCCATTGTTATGGCAAAGTAGTATTCTCTCCTGGGATATCTTCGCTCACAAACCAATACTTGATTGCAAATTCTGCCCTTTTCTCCTGTTTGCTTGGTAAACAACTTTTTCCCAATCATTTGTGAGGAAACCGCTTTTGCTTCTTCTGGACTGAAATAAGAAAAAGAACTCAAAACTCCTTTTCCTCCAAATGAGAAAAACAAAGCATATGATAGCTAAAATCTTATTTCATCTACTATTTAAATTTCAGTATCTTCATCAATTCAATAAGGAGGGGAATCTCTTACAATGTATGATTCTCTTCTTTAATAACGATGCCTTTTTTCAAAAACGTGACTTACGAGAAAACTATCTTCACTCCTCCTTTGAGGCCACCTTCGAATGTTCCTTTTCCTCTACCACCAGCCAGCACCTGCGCCTTTATCACAACGTCTTTGGAACCTGGGAGAGAAATGCTTCCATGAGACGAGCAGCATGGGTTTTACCCCAGTGAGAGGTAGAAACAGGCCATAAGGCTGCTCAGGGCACCCAGAAGTAGAGGGACTCAGGGAGAACTTCAGCACAGACGCAGTAGACACAGACGTGGGGACAGAAAGTAGAGGGACTCAGGGAGCACAGACACAGGAGACACAGACGTGGGGACAGAAAGTAGAGGGACTCAGGGAACACAGACACAGGAGACACAGACGTGGGGACAGAAGACACAGAGAGGGGCTGGTGAGAAGCGAGGCGCACGGCAGCGGGAACGAAGAGGACGTCAGAGGGAGTCAGCAGCGGGTTACGTGAGGCAGAGGACCACGTCAGTGATTTGGAAGACAAGGTGGCAGAACACACCCAATCGGAACAGGAAAAAAAATCCCCCAAACTGAGGCTGGTTTAAGGGGGCCTCTGGGACCACAACGAGCTTAACAACACGTGCATCAGGAGGACACCAGGAGAAGAAGAGAGAAGCAAGAGACTGGAAACCTGTTTGAGGATATGACAGAAACCCCTCTGACCTGGCAATGCATGAGATATGGAAGCCCAGGAAGCCCAGGGGGCCCCAAACAAGGGGACCCAAAGAGGCCCCCATGGAGACACATCATGAGTGAAATGCCAAAGGTGGGAGACCAAGAGCGGATCCTGAAGGCAGCAGGAGACGCAGCAGCCAGTAATCCACAAGGGGGCGCCACGCCTGGTGCGGTCAGATCCCACAGGGGTGTGTTGTGATGCTGGTGACTCGCTGAGAAGGAAGTCACCGTAGGGCCCAGTGGCCTCGTCCCCGAGCTGACTCGGCTTCTCCTGCGCCCACAGGACTGAGGGGAATCAACGGTCTGTGACACTTACAATGCACTTGCAATGCACTTACCCTAGTACGTTGGCAGGTAAGAGTTTTTAAGAAATGTGCATTAGCATTTTATGAATTTTGCGGTGACTCAAGAAGCCAGGTAGCCAGAATCAGTGTCGGGACTTGCTAGTTGGATGGACCAAACCAGGTGTATTTCTAAGGTACCTCATGCCACACCCTGTGCAATTAACTCCCACAATCACTACCTTGCAATACTCCTGACTGGCTCAGAAAGACAAGAGCTGTCAGCGTCTGCACAGTAGTTACTGGGCGCACCATTCACGAAGCAGCTTTCTGTCCCCAGACGTGGAGGCCCCTGTCTAGTCACTGCCCACCGCAGCCACCATGCCTGGTGCTCCTCGGTGAGGGCGCATCTGTGGGGGGCGAGATGCCGCCTGCCCCGCGGGGCTCCCCGCCACCTGTGAGCCCCGGTCCTGGAGCGCTCGCCAGAAATACTCCCAGTTGCGTGGCATCTCACACCTACCTGCTTTCTTCCGTAGCTAAGAGTCACTAGAGATTTTTACAAAGAGTAAAGAATACAAACGCTTGGCATCCAAATAAATCCTACTCATTTTGAGAGTTCTACAAATTATTTTTTTCCAATAGAATAGTGAAATAAGACTAAGTGAGAAAATACATGAAAATTTTCCAAAAAAAAAAAAATTATAATAATTATAAAATTTGGAAGAAGAAACATCTTTTACTGACTTCATTATCTATAAATCAGGCCCTGTTAACATTACTGGTATGGAAATCATTCAGCATTATTATGAAGGAAAGAACTGGTAAACAAAAAAAAATCACTCAAAAGATTAAAGTAACAGAAATTAAAAAAAAAAAGAAAGTCAGAGGGTTGGAAATTCATCCTTAGGGACACAAGGATAGCATACGAAAAACATAAACTTTCTCAATTACATTTCCAAGTTTTCCTTCTTTCCTAGCGGGTCTTCTTTAGAAATTAACGTTTGGGTCATGTGTGTCAAGGCCGTTTAGTAAAAAGTAGCCTTTGCACGCAATACTATAGAAATAAAATGTACAATCGTGAGTTTTCTTCCAGCCTTGATCCTTAGAGCCTTTCATGCACGGTGCTTCCAAGGTAACAGTGAGGTCCACCTTTTACCACGTCCAAGTTCAAACTTCACCAAACTTCACCACCAATGAACAAAAACTTCACCAAAGCTGGTGTGAACTTACACAAGGCTTTTGCTAAATAAAAAGAAGTTTGCTTGGAATCCAATGTTTCAGGTAAACATCAACATAATGTTTCAGATTAAAACTAATGCTTCGGATTAACAACAAAAACGGCACATGAAAAATCACGCCTGCAAGTCGAGGAAGTCCCGGCCACCACCCGCGTCTGGAAGCGCAGTCTGTGGCCCCGGCCACAGTGTGGTCGAGCGTGCCCTCACCTCCGAAAGAAACGACTGTTCTGGAAACAAACAAGTACAGGCACAGAAGGAACTTCAAACTTCTGAAACATTTCTAAATGTTCCGTATCTTTCTTGAAAAATTAGTAAAAGCAAAGCCTTCACCAAAGCACATTTAAAGCCATGTAATCAAAGGTACACACAAGAGCAATGAACTATGCTGACCCACAAAGATATTGGTGGAATTAATTAATTAATTATAAAAAAAAATTTTTAGAGACAGGGGAAGGGAAGGGGAAAGAGTGGAAGAAAAACATCAATGTGTGGTTGCCTCTCACACGCCCCTTACTGGGGACCTGGCCTGCAACCCAGGCACATGCCCTAACTGGGAATCAAACTGGCGACCCTTCAATTTGGAAGCTGGCACTCAGTCCACTGAGCCACACCAGCCAGGGCAGATATTGGTGGAATTTTAAGTACTGCTAAAAACCAAAACATATTACATAGTATATTACTCATTATTAAGTTCTCTCATTAAATCATTAAAAAAATAAACTGCAGCTTATTTTCTAAAGTCAAAATTTATATTTTAATTACGAGATTAAATTCAAATGAACAAAAGCTATTAAGATTTCTGTTATCAATTAAAGAACCTACTAATAGACATAGGTTCTTAGTTCACTCATATTCACTATATATAATTCATTTATGTTCATTATATACAACTCATTTATATTCATTATTCTTAGTCCATCAATACCTACTGGTTGCCCAAACACCAGGCCCTCCGACTCTCCTGTGAGCTGGGGGGATGCTGGTGAACGACACCAGACAAAGAAGCCCCGTTCCGTGGAGTCTGGATTCCAATGCTCAACTTTCTGCTTTCCCCTTGACTCCCTATTTTTTAACATCCAAAAAGGTTTGGGGTGCAGATACTGAGCCTCTCTTTACAGTCACATAAGCGGCTAAGATCATCCTTCACCGACCCCGAAGAATCACCACAGGAGCCACCCTTTTAAACTACGGGGCAGCAAACGCCATTTCCCTCCCCATCCACCGCAGTCCGACTACAAATCGGACTTCGGCTTCCTAGCGCACGGTAAGAAGTCCTTAGGTTACTCGCACTATAGGAGCTCATACTCATAGTAATTTTAGAATATCAACCATCATCAAGTCCTGCCTTCTAAGCAAACAGAATTCACTGTTTTAATTTTATTAATAAAAATAAAAACTCAAAGTTGTTATTAAACCAAAAGTAAAGTTCACATCTCAGAGTTCCGCGTCAAGGTGGCGTGAGTTTTGGAATTCGGTACCTAATTTTTTGGCGATGGCATAAACTTCGTCCGGTGACTTGGCCACCTGCCCCTTGGGAATGGCGACCCCGGCATCCTGCAACAGCTGCATGCTCATGTACTCATGCAGAGAGAGGTTCCTTTGCTGCTGCTGCTGCACTTGGGGTCCATGGCTGTTGAACAGTCCGGAACTCCCCAGAACCTGAAGAGATTGGGGACACATTTACATATGATAGCACTGGGCAGTCATTGTCACTCAAGACACCTTCTCAAAATACTTCGTTTCTATGGAGTGCTTGGTTCTTCGTAGCTGTAACAAACCTGGTGTGCTCAATAAAATGTAACATGTGCAGTACCTGAATCACAACATAAAACTAAAAGCTACTCTACCAGATAAATATCAAATGTTACCCTTGTCGTTTTACTCGTTTCCTCCTCATCTCTCATCTCTCCTCTGAGCTTCACTGCCCTATCTCCAATGAGCTACAGAGCACTTCTGTCTCCGGTCTCAAGGCCAGATTCGGCGGATCTAAAACTAATCTTATCTTTCCCAACAAACCAAAAACCCTTCCCAACTTTCTTTTCTCCACCATTCCTCCGGCACCCAACAAACAGCCTGGCACTTGATATGTGATGATCAAATGATTTGGCACCATTACCCCTTCACACACTCAAGACTCAAAAGCCTGTACTGGACGTTGCGGTGCGCGGTCCAGTCCTCCCTCGGACCACGGCGGTCACTGCCCCAGCTGCCGGGAGTGCGGGCTGCTCTCCGAGGGAATGGGAATCATCCCTCTGCCGGGTACATCCTCGCTGCACACACTGCCTGCCCATCAGGCACTCGGCAGCCACTGTGGCTATCAGATCGACTGCCGTGTGTTGCAGCACCTGTGTGCAAGCCACCCTCGTGTTACCTCTGTCCTCCGTGCTAATGTGTACATCACCATAACTGTTCCAGCGTGCTATGTTACTGCTGCACATCCTACTGTGCCTAACTTGTAAATTAACTTTATCACAGGTACGCATATATAGGGAAAAACAATGCATTGAAGGGTTTGTCACTATCCGTGGTTTCAGGCATCTACTGGGGGGTCTGGGAGCTTGTCCCCACGGAGAAGGGGAGACTTCAGTGTATCTGCACGGTTTCTTGCAAATACTTATACTTACAGAGAAATTAGCAGCACACATAAGGTACTGCTGATAGCTTTTATACCACTTGAAAGGTTTTTAAAAATATCTGAAGCATTTCATCCTTTCGTACCAAACTGAACGTGTGACTTTGAAAACATTTCCTGGACCCTACACTTCCAAGTCCTCACCTACAAAAGCAAAGGGGCAGACTACCCAGGTCCTTTCCAAACTCTACAGCCCCGTTACCTGATGGGAGGGTAGAAGACAAGATGTTATCAAGACAATACACCAGGCACCTCCATAAGGAGACACAAAGGCTTACAAGGAATATCCAAAAGGATAAAAATGATGATTATGATAAAAACATCTAAAAACTAGACAGCACTCTTTATGATTCATAAGAAAGTCCAGGGCCAAATCACATCATGTTTCCTATCAGAAAGCAAACGCCTGTAAATCACTACCTCTAGGCTGAAAGTACGAACAGCTCTTAAAAGAAAAAAAAGGGGGGGGGGTCAAAATCAATTCCTTTACCGCACATCTGAAGAGTTACTTCTTACAAAGCCTATCATGCCTTTCCTCAAGTTTCAACGTATCAGCATGGAAAAGAATCGGCCAATTCTCACGGCCGGGGGGAAAAAAACCTGTAGAGCCGATTCAAGCGCACAAGCTCTGGGGCCAGGCAGTTGTGGAGTTACACCTGAGCTCCGACCTTACCTGTTCCTGACCTAACCCAAGCTACCCATCCTCTCGGCGTCCGCGGCTTCATCAGCGGCGCGGAGGGTAAGGCCTTCCCCGCGGGGCTGCCGAAAAGCCTAGCAGCAGACTCCGTGCAAAAGGCTCAGCACGTACCAGGCACACAGGAAACACTACAAACCAAACCAAACCAAACCAAACCTGTGGCCACGATGCTATAATGTATCCAAAAGTGAAGTGACACAAGACACTGTTTTCTTACTTCCCCCGCTGGTCACCCGGGAAACATCATCGCATCGCCATCGGAGCAAACAGGGCGGGCGCTCCTCGGCCGCCCGCGGGAGGGAAGCAGCGAACTTCCCCGCCCCGCCCCAGGAGCGCCGTCAGCAAGCACCGCGGTCCCCACCTCCGACAGCCCCCCGGGAACACCGAGTGCATCTGAAGGGCACGTCCCCGTCCCCAGTGGGGGCCGCGAGAGCCTCGGCCCGCCTCGCAGGGCCGGGAAGAGCAAAAAGGGACCGCCCGGCCCTCGCACCTGCCCTCGGACCCCACCCCGGCCGCCCGCCGCCCCCTCGAGCCTGGGGGAGCAGCGGCAGCTGGTCGCCCGGCCCCGCAAGGACGGAGGGCCGGAGCCCAGCGACGCAGACAGGAGCCGGCTCGTAGTCCCGGGCGGGCCGCCCGCACAGCCGGCGGGGCAGCCGGTGTCAGCCAATGTCACCGATGTCAGCTGGGCCTCCGATCCCTTCCCACCTGGCCCACCGGGCCGAGTCTCCCGCCTCGCCCTTCCTCCCACCGACCCTCCAGCACGAGCAGGCTGGGCTCCGTACCTGGGCGGCGGCCCCCAGCGCCCTCCGGGGCGGGTGGCTCCTGAGGGTCACGGCGGCCAAGAGCCGGTTGCAGAATATGGAGGTCGCCATTTCTGCGTCCGACCCGTCCCCTCCGCGCCTGCGCAGGCGCAGCGGGGGGGGGCGCGCCCGCGACGCCGCAGTTGGGCCGCGCGGTGGGCGGGGCCTGGGGTTATCCCGGCGGATGCCACACGCTCTGGGGAGGCCAAATGCAGAACTGCTGGGCTCGGGAGAAGCAGGGCTAGGCGAACTTTGATCTTTGGAACGGGGGCACCGCAGCCTCAATATCCGACCTGCGGCCAGAGAGCACCTGAACCCAGTGAAAGGTAATGGAAGGGCAACGAGCACCTCCACCTGTGTGATCTTAGCTTATCTGAGTCTCGGTTGCTTCATCTGTAAGATGATGTGCATTCAAAGACCAAGTACTGAACCTTGGCCAGGTAGCTCAGTTGATTGGAGTATCATCCCAATGTACGCCACGGTTGCGGGTTTGATCCCTGCTCAGAGCACATGCAACAATCAACCAATGAATGCATAGCTAAGCGGAAGATAAATCCATGTTTCTCTGTCTCTGAAAATCAATAAATTTAAAGAGGTACTATTATGATACACTCAGGGCATAAAAAAAAAGTGGAGATTACTTCTCCTTAAATGAGTTGGCCAGGTGACTTGTGTTGGTCTGGGAGACAAACGTGGGAAGCAGAGGGTGAAAAGTTCTGCACTCTGGGGTTTGCTCTTTCGTTCCTCATGAATTATGCTGCCATGGGGACCGGTTACCTTTCTAGATGAGGGGCAACACGTGTCCCACTGCCTCCACCAAGAGCCCGCCCACACTAGTGAGGCCAGGCCATCCTCAGCAGACAAACCACCACCACCCACAACAACGATGCCCCCAGCACAGACAAGCTGACATGGCCACCTCGCTGAGCCTGAGAATCCTAAGTGAAATAAATAGTTGTTTCAAGTCACCAAGTTTTGGGGTAGTTTGTTATGCAGCAAACGTAAGTAATACGCAAGGACAGGAAAGGAATTTGAGTGCAAGCCTGTGTTCAAAGCCCCTGTTCCTCCCAGGAAGCTATAGTTCCTCCCTCTGATGGAAGAGGGCCTTGGAACGTCATGTACCGCATTCATTCATGCGGCGTGCACTTCACAAACAAATATTTACCGCGTGACTAGGCTAGCACATGTCAGGTGCTCCACTGTGTTTAGTTAGGTTCACTGATTTGGACTAGAAAATATCGTCTGTCATCAGAGCTTACAGAATCACGGCTAGAGGAAGAGAAATAATAAATGAACTAGGAATTTATGTAAGTGTGGTTAGAGATAAAAAGAAAACCAACAGAATCATGTAGAATGGGAGAAAGAGAAAGGATTAGGGTGAGGGCTCAAGTTTATGTAGATTTGTCAGGGGAGCAAGAAGTCCTTTCTCATGAAATTGTGCTGATTAAGCTCCCCAGAAAATAAAGATTTAGGGGTGCAAAAGGTTTGTCAGAGAGTAATACTTCCTGAGAAAAGGTGAGAGAGAAATGTTGGGCAGGGGTACCATCAAACGAATAACCTCACCAGAGGCCATGACTGCGAGCCTCTGGGTCCCAGAGCTCTGGGGGGCCAGAGCTCCCCAGTAAGGAGCTCTGTGGCAGAGACCGCCTGTTAGATGAACTGTGCGTGGGGTGGAAATGACTCGCACCACTGACTCGAGCAATTCGTTGGCTGGGGGGCACCATGAGAAGAATGTGACCTTGGTCCAAACACCGAGGGGAGGGTCCTGAAGGCGCTTACAGCTGGTCAGTGTTGGCCAACCACACTCCTCACAACTGGGCAGTGAATCCTTTCTCTCTCTCTCCTTCATGTGCTTTCATATACATATATATATACATACACACACATACATATGTACACACATATATAACAAATATACGTAAAACAATGTATGTTCAATGTTACATATATTACATATATATTTGTATATAATTAAATTTCATACATAAAGATTTCGTGTGCTTTTACACGAGGTCTGTCCAGAACAAGTCCAGCCATGGTTAATGTAACAAGAATGGTTTGCACAACATCACTGTAACCTGGCAGCCAAGGAGAGTGGACTGGAATGCGCATGTGTGAACAATGATGACTTCACTGTACTCGTCAGTGGGGGCAGTAGGTGCTATTGAGTGAGCCTGTGTACTGTGTGGCCACTGCATTCAAACTGACTGAGCAAGTAGAGCAATGAATTTGCATCCAATTTTGCATTAAGCTTGAACATTCCTCTGGAAGCTATTCGGATGATTCAGAAGGCAGCAGCTATGGGCAGCTGGTGGTTGGCAGCTTGATCACGACAACACACCCACTCATGCATCACGTCTCATGAAGCTTTCTGGGGAAACATCAAATCACCCAGCTGACTCAGCCCCACTACGGCCCAGATTTGCCGCCCTACGACTTCTGGCTCTTCCCAGAACTAAAATCACTTTTGAAAGGGAAGAGAATTCAGACTTTTGATGAGATTCAGAAAAATAGGATGGGGAGCTCATGGTGATTGTGAGAACTGTGTGAGGTCCCAAGGTGCCTACTTTGAAGGGGACTGAGGTGTCACTGTCCTGTGTGCAATCTTTCTTGTATCTTCTTCAATAAATGTGTCTATTTTCATATTATGTGGCTGGGTACCTTCTGGACAGACCTTGTACACAGTTACACAGCATTAACCACTTTTCAGCGTGCTCTTCAGTGGCATTAAGCGCATTCGCATTGGTGTTCAGCTGCCACCACCACCCACCTCTAGAGTTTTTTCATCTTCTATAACTTAAGTTATGTGTCTCCCCTCCCCCACCCCCCGGGAACCACTATTCTGCTTCTGTTTCTGAGAATTTCACTACTCGAGGGTTCGGACGAGTGTGCGTCATTCAGTATTTGTCTTTCCACATCTGGCTCCTTTCACTTAGCGAAATGTCCTCAAGGTTCATCCTTACCGTGGTGTCAACATTTCATTCCTTTTTAAGGCTGAGTGATATTCCGTTGTATGCATGTGCCATATTTTGCTTATTCATCTATCCACCCATACCTGGCGGAAAAACTACAAAGATTCTGATGACTTAGTTTGGGAAACAGCTGATCATTTTTCTATGACATTCTTTCGGTCAAGAACATTACTAAGACCAGTTTCAAAGGAAAGGACATTAAATTCCACTTCACAATGAAAGGAGGAGCAAATAATTTGGCCAGTATTACCTGTAATCTACTACAGGCTGACACCTGTCTGATACATTCATTTTAGAGGGATAAACCGCATTTTTATTAAAGAAATGCAAGGAAACCGATCTATTTTTCAGTTTCTACCATTCGCAATAGGACTATACACAGGACAATATGCTTGCCAGTCAGACCTTTGCGTCTTTCTTTTTTTTTTAAAGATTTTATTTAATTTTAGAGAGGTAAGGGAGGGAGAAAGAGAGAGAGAGAGAAACATCAATGTGCGGTTGCTGGAGGCCGTGGCCTGCAACCCAGGCATGTGCCCTGGCTGGGAATCGAACCTTTGATGCTTTGGTTCGCAGCCCGCGCTCAAGCCACTGAGCTACCCCAGCCAGGGGCGTCTTTCTTAAGAATATGAAGGAGCAGGGCTCAGCCATAAATTACAGATTTTACAGAATGGAGGGGACAGCCTTTTTCTTCCTGTCCTGTAGGACGGGTTGTGAGTGACATGTCAGGTTCTCTTCTCTGTGACCCTCAGCCCAGAGGAGGAAGCTTCCTTCCGTGGGTGTGGGCAGTGTTGAAATCAGGCGGGTCCTCTGGTCCCAGCCTTGTCCCGCTTCCCATTGGAGGCTCTGAGCAGGGGTTGCCTTGAAAGTCCCCTAACCAAAACACTCTTGGTCACAGGGTATGGTCCGGTGGGGGTGGGGAGGGGGTTCTTTGCCGCCCTTGGTTCCAGATTCCTTGCCCACCTGGTCACTGGGCACCTCATGAATTCAAGGAAACCATCTCCCCAAAGTGTTACAAAGAGCACAACCCCATACACTTGAAGATCTAAGTAAAAAATAAGGAGGAGAAAGCTGACTGACAGGCCAGCCATTTGAACCAAGACAGACTGAACATGATTTAATGATTCTGAATTATTAGATTAGACTGTTTGAATCAGTCTGAATGTTTAATGAAGTCTCCAGAAACCCATACACCAACTAGTGACAGAGTTTTGTGGGATAAATCAGAGTTCTTAAAAATAAAAAGGAAGAAAGAGTAAAAGAGAGAAAAAATAGGAAGACAGAGAAAAAATATTCATTTATGTATTTATTTGCACATCTTAATCGCAGTGTGAGATGTTTGATTCTGCTACAATACATACCATACCATATTAAATCAAACCACAGGCAGGTTCCTGAGTTGCGTACAGCTCCAGATATCACACTGAGGGGCGGGCTGGCGAGAAAGAGAAGGAGAAGCTGGGTGAGTTCCAACCGGAAGCTTGGGTGTGGGACAAGAACTCAGCCCATCCCACTGGCACAGGGCAGCCAAGGGCAGCGTGGGCACAGGAAGGAATCAGGCTATGGTAGCTCTTCTCCAAATCAGCCTCCCAAGGAGGAGGTAGTGGGTGAAGGAAAGAGACATTGACAGCATCCACGTGAACTGTAGCGTTCCATCTTGTAACCTAAGTGTGTTAGCATTCTCTTAAGGAGAGCGAAGGGAGGCGTGCTTCATGGTTCACTTGCAGGGCTATTCTTGGCTTCAGTGTAAACTGTGAAGTTGTATCAGACCGCCTTAGGGGAAAAGCTGACTCGGGACTAACAAACACACAGGAGAGGCATGGAAAATAAAGACATAAGTTACCACTAAAATAGGGAAGTTTTGGAGCCAGACAAAATAGCCCGTGTGGGGAAGCTGGCACCCTCCAGTCTGAGTGTGCGACATTTCTGTGTGAGTCGGAGGGACGAGAAGGGTGCTGCTGGATGCAGACCTGGAGCTGGGTGGGGGAGGGCCCCCCCCTGTGCGGGGGTCGCCTACCCTTCAGCTGGGAATCCGGATAAACGAGGAAGAAGTGACGATGAGAAACTGGCTGGCTCTAATGCTGCCGTCACTAGTGGTGTGAGCCGGCCTTCCACCAGCTGCGAACCCTGCAGAAGGGAAATCCGACATGTGGATTCTCGAGGGAGAGTTTGTGACATCTGAGCGGGCTGATTTATGCTTCTCCTGCAGGATTCACAAACATCATCTTGGTGCCTTTTTCCTTCCCTGGACACTTGTATCTCATGTGAATCATGCTACGTGTCTACATACAGCATGAAAATTGCGGGGGCAGGGGCGTTGTTCTCTAGTTTGCTTAATTACACTGAGACTGTTTTGTTACACTCCCGAGAAGAGCAGCTTTCACTGAAGTCTTCATTTACTAGGCACTTGGGTCTTAATCACCATTCTGATGGCAGCGGGCGCCGAGATCAAAGTGAGATCCCTGACCTCAGTGTTGCTCTCTGTTCTTCTTCCTTCAACGCAAGGGCAGACCCAGGCGTGCCCAGCTCTCCGAGGCACAGTGAAGACCAGGCCTGCACACCTAACCAGACTCTGCCAGAGGCTTCGGATAGTGAGGTGAAGTTACAACGCAGTGAAGAAAAACGTTAAACCAGCTGCTGAATGTGATTTCTGAATGTCATAGGCTGACCCTCCTTGCCCACCCATTTCAGTCCCTGACGTTTTACTATGTTTTAGGAGGAGCTGACTGTCCCTAACGGGAATGGCTGGGCCTACCAACACCATCCTCCAGAGCTCAGGCTCCCCAGTCCCTCTATGGCCTTGTGAGGGGAGGAGCCTGTTTCCCCGGAAGTCTAGCTTCCCAGGAAATGTCATGGTCAACAAGGATACAACCCCACCCACAGGGACAGCTTTTGACAGCTCAGCTTTGCACTGTCTTGAACCTCTCTGCTGCTGTTGCACATCGACTTTTTCTTTCTGCAAGTCCACATTGCATTTTTAAAAAATTCTGATTCATTTTAAAGCCACATTTATGGAGGTTTGCCAATTCTGCACCACTTTGGTGTACAATTCTTTGAGTTTTGACAAACAGGTCACCATGTCACTGTTATCACAATCAAGAGGAACAGCAGTTCCTTCACCCCCCAAAATCCCTCGAGTCCTTTTGTAACGTACCTTTAGCCCTGTTTTCTGTGCCTACAATGAACTTGTGTCTATTCCATGGCGTCACATAAATGGAGTCCTACAGCAGATGGTCTTTTATATCTTCTTCCTTTCACTTAGCATAATGAAACATACATAAAGGCAGTTACTTCTTCCTTTCCAAGTTAACTATCGTTATTGATTTTTGATTTTATTGGTTGCGCAAATGAGCGCCTCCAGAAATACGACTGAAAGTTCTGAGAGTGGATGTCCTTGCTTCTCTCGAACCTCAGTCTCTTGCCACTGTATCAGTTTGCTAGAGCCGCTGTGGCAAAGCACCACAATACAATTTTTTTTTCTTGCAACGTGGGAGTCTGAAGTCTAGGATCAAAGTGTCAGCGGGATCGTGTTTTCCGAGGCCTCCCTCCTCTGCTCGCCGATGGCCATCTTCTCCCCGTGTCTCCAAAGGGTCCCTTTCCATGTCCGAGTCCTCACCTCCTGTTCAAGAAAACCAGTCAGATGGCGTTAGGATCCACCCTAACGACTTCAGTTTAATTTAATTCCCTCTTTATAGATCCTACCTATAAAGAGTCACATTATGAGCACTGGTCGTTAGCACTTCAACACGAATATAGGGCCGGGCATGATTCAGCCCATAACAATAATTAAATATGATGTCATCTGTAAGTCTTCATAGATGCCCTGTACCATCTTTGTTAGAATTCCCTTTTACTTCTAGTTTGCTTACATTAAAAAAAAAATTATGGATGAGTACTGAAATTCGTCAATTTTTTCCTGCCTCTATTCAGATGATTATGTGCTTCCTTTTTCCATCTATGGTAAATTATACCGATTGACTTTTCAAATTTTAAGCCAAACTTGTTGTCCTGGGAACAAAGAGAGATGCTGTAACACAGCTTAATTAATCTTCATTTACTACGAAATGCAGAATAAACATATTTCCTTTAAATACATAACCAAATGAAAACAAAGAATCGGAAGTGGGTGGAAAGAGGACTGGAGGGTAAGATTGCTCGTTTCGCCATTCTTTCTTGTACCATTCATTTGGCCATTGTAAATTATGCACACATTATTTTGGTAGAACTAAAACAATTTACATTAATTATGAAAAAAAGGAAATCCTCCCCATCCCGGGGGAGAATTTTAGTTTGTTCTAATTACAGTTTTGACTCTGCTGGGATTCTGTGTTGGTTCAAGGTGTGTGAACTGGAAGAGTGTCTGTTTTCTCTCCTGATTAGGTCACAAACTCCCAGAACAATTTAGTGTTTAGTACTATTTTCCCCCCACGATTTGTGAACACTGTTGGTGATATTAGGGTGTTTCTACACTGTGTGTGTGTGTCCTTACCCTGGTGCCACATTGATTTGCGCTCGAGTGGAATGAGTTCACGGCGGTGGAGAAGATCAAAGAAAAGATAGGACGCGCAAAGGCACAGGTTTGTGAAAGCAGGTGGCTGGGGCGTGCATCATTTGGAGGGATCTGCAAATAAAGACATGTTAAAAGCGGAACAGTAAGTGGCGTTAGAAAAAACGCAGCCCTTGGCACGTAGTTCTTTCAGGAGCAAGGACCGAGCTCCCCAAGCTGGAAACCGCTGGTGAGCCTGACACTTTAGGAGATGGAGACACTGAGTACCAAGGTCAGCCGCCCAGGCAGGCGGAGCCTGCGCCAGCTCAGGACCGGATTGGTGGCGGCCTTGGGGGCGGGGCTAACGTCAGGACGCAGCGGCTCCCGGAGTCCCCAGGCGTAATGAGCGCCAGTGCGGAGGAGGCGCGGGCGCGGCGGCCGGGAGTCGGGGTGGGAGTGGTGGTGACTAGCTGCAGGCATCCTCGTTGCGTCCTCCTGGGAAAGAGGAAAGGGTCGGTCGGAGCTGGCAGTTTCCAACTTCCTGGGGGACACTTGGAGTTCGGGTAAGCAGACCCCGGCGTCCGAGCCGGGGTGGGGGAGGGGGGCGGAAGCGGAATGTGCCCGGTAGGATGAGCTCGTGCACTGCGTGCGCAACGCGGCGTGGTTTCCCGCTGCTTTGGTGGCCTCCTTCGGGGCCCCGCGTGGCGGTGGCACCGGCCGACCGGGGCTGCAGATCAGGACCGGAGTGGAAGAAGGGTGCTCTCGCCACTCAGTCCTTGCATCCCTGCGCCTGCCCTGCCGCGTCTGGGAGTTGGTTTGTGATGTGTGTTTTTCTTAGTGCTCACCCAGAAAAGACGCAAAGGGAGTATTTGTAAACCTCGAGCAGTCCAGCGTGGTCAGTTAAGAAATTTGCGAGGTTTCCTGGTGATTTAAACGCACGCAGGTGTACTTACTTACTCTAGTGCCTGCCCGCGCAGGTCCAGTTGCGGGCTAGAGAAACTTTCTGAGCGTCAGCTTCCCCATCTTTAAAATGGGGAAGGAGGACGAAGTACTCTTGCAAGGCCTCTGCTTTGGCATTCTGTGATTTGAGGATATATCAGACTGGCAGAGAAAGTTGGACAGTTAAGAGGCAGTTCTGCCTGGGACTGGGCCAAAAGGTGCCTTCTGCAGTGAGAATACGGTTCGAGTTAATAGACAAACTGCATCTAAAGCATTCGGGCCCAGTGCTTGGTTTTCCTTTAGTATCAAAAGTTCCAAACCCACATAAAAGCAGAGGAAATAGTAAATCCTTCTGAACCCATCATCGGCTGCTTCTTGTCTCATCTTTGCTGCTGTCCCCAACAGACACCCCCCCCTTGTTTTCCAGACCAGTTCAAAGGAAATCTCAGAGATCCTATTATGCCACCCCAAAACAGTTAAGTATGTACCTGTAATAAACTTTTAAAAACACAGCCACACTACTATCTTCACACCTAACAAAAGAATTCTTTAATATCATACCCAGTCTGTGCCATTTTCCTCACTTGTCTTGAAAGTGTGTTTGTACTGTTTTGCACCAGTGGAGATCAGAGGAGAGGCACGTGTTGCCTGTGGTTAATAAATTTTGAAAATCTCTAACCCGAACCCCGCCCCCCTTCCCCCAGGCTGTGTGGAAGAATTTGGTCCACCTGTTTCTTATAAAGTGGTAGTTAGAAGTAGGGGCTTGATCCTGTAGTGCCTTTTAATCAGACTTTGTTCTTTATACACTACGGAATTCTTAGGACCTTTTAGCACATGGAATTTTTAAAAGTCTTCGGAACTTTATTTTTTATTTTTTTAAATCTGTATATTTTTAAATTGATTTTAGAGAGAGAGAGAGGAAGGGGGGTGGAGAGAGAAACATCAATCTGTCGTTTCGCTTATTGAGCTTCTCGTATGTGCCCTCTGACTGGGATTCAAACCCACAACATTGGTGTGTGGGGAGGGTGCTGAAACCAGCTGAGCTACACAGCCAGGGCAGTGTTCACAATTTTAAAAAGCATCAGCCCGTTTATCACTTTCAGGGAATTATGATGAGCCATCAGTTCATAAATATGTAGATTAAGGAGCCAACTGTGCGTATAGACACACCGTATTAATGTGTCAGTTGTCGGTAGGCATTCACCAACCTTAGATCACAAACAAAGCACTAGTGTAACTGGTGTATAATTGTTAAGAGCAAAGGCTAGCAATAGCGTCCTTAATAACAAGGTGATATTGGAGTCTTGACTAAATATCGACTGATAAGAGCCAACATTGAACTTCAATGAGCTTTTTACTAAGTGCTAGATATTTTGTACGCTAAGCTCTTCACATGTAAGCCTTTCCTTACCTGTATGTAACTGTATGTAACTGGTATGTAACTGGTATACTGAGTAACTGGTAACTGTATGTAACTGGTGTACTGAGTGGGCTAAGTTTGATGGAAAACAAACAGGAAATGGCTTCAGTTTCTCCTTCCATTATCTCCAAACATGATCTGTCTTTCCTGTTGCTGCTTTCCACGATGTTTCCTGCAAATTGTACTGTTTTCCTGTCTCTTGATTATGAAAGTGAATCCCATTTTGGCCACTATGATCCACTCCCGAGCACTTCTCTCTCCCCTGTGGAGGTGGCGGGAGGGGTGGGCCGCTGTTTCACTTTCTCCACCTTCTCCTCTTCTCCCTCAGTCTGGGCTCCTTGCTTCTGCAGTGCGTGGGGGCAGGAGGGGGCGCAGACTTTTCACGGGCCTGGTACTGCTGTCGTCCATCCGTCCATCTGTCCATCCACTGGTGCCTGCTGGGAGCAGATTCGCACGTGTGCTGGCTTTCTCGGGGTGTGGCCGTTGGTCGTCTGGAAGCCTTCCGGGGACTTCCGCTCTGCACAGCTCCCTGACGCGGGGGACTGACTCAGGGTGGCACTGGCCCCCCTCTGCCGGCTCCCACTTTTAGCACACCACCTGCATCTCCTTTCTGCTGGGGGGCCACCCCCACCGTGTGCCTGGCCCCAGAGGCATCCGCAGTGGGAGTAATGCTTTCGCCGCTGCCCCTTTTCCTCGCTCAGCCTTTGTGGGCGGCTCCGGCCGGTCTCCGTCCTTCCACATTTCCCAGGTGGGAACGAGCAGCAGCTTCTGTGTTCACAGCCCTGCGGGGGTCGCGTGTATCTGAGAGATACACACCCTCGTGAAACACGCATTATAACCTAAATGACGGCTTAAACATCGTGGTGCAACATCAGTCACGTGCAACCGTGCAGCCAGACATGACCTGGAACCTGTGCACCCTATATAGGTACCAATATTTAAGGAAAGACTGTGTGTGTCTCAGATCAGCGGTGGCCTCGGTGGGGACGAGCATCCCCACACACCGAGGGACCCATTTCAGACTCACCCAAGAGCTGTCACCCACCCACCACCTCTACTCGGATGCGTTGCCGTGCGCCAAGAGTTTCCATGCATCATCACACATGTCTTCAGCAGGGCAGCGACACGGCCAGTGTCTCCTTCTTGGAGGTCGCACCCCGTCTCTAGGACTCACCGTCCTGGAGCACCCCTCTCCTGGTTTGGGGGCAGAGTAGGCCCCGCATCAGGAGGAAGGGAAGTGTGCCCACTGGGCAGAAAACTCCCAACTTCCCCGCCTCCCAGAGACCTCCTGCCTTCCCTCCTGTAGACGGGGCGCGGCGGGCGCTCCAGCCGCCTCAGCAGGGCCGTGAGTTCGCGTGGGGATCATCTGTCTGCCCTCGTTCTGTCCGCTCGGGGGTTTGGAGGGGTCATTCTCCATTGTGGGGCTTGGGTTGAAATTCCGGGAGAAGACCTAGTCCCCTTCCTGACACACGTGCAACAAGTCTATGAGACAATGACATTCTTCTTCTTTTTTTTACATTCTTTTTTCACTTGTCCCTGGTAGAAAGGGATGGACTTCACACTCACACCTGGGTCTGGCTGGCTTCGAAGCTTGCGCCATGAGCGGACTGGCCGACCCCTCTCCCGGCCGCACACTCGGCTCCCAGGTGTCGGGGCTGGCGCTGAGCCGGCTCCGGGCTCACGTTTTACCTCCCGACGATGACAAGACCCCGGGACACGGACTGTGCGTGCGAGGCAGGGTGGGAACCACTGTTCTGATGCACTGGCCGGTTCCAGTTTCCCTGGCTTCCTTCCCACCGGAGTTCCTCGCCAAGAACCTCTTGCAGAAAAATGAGGTAACTAGGTGGAATCGGGTACAGTAGAGTGTCCTGTTTTCCAGGGAGAGCTGGGAGGAGTGCGCCCGGAGGGAGACCTGGGAGGAGGCAGCGCTCCGCCTGAAGCACGTGCGCTTTGCCTCGGTGGTGAACTCTTTCGTGGAGAAGGAGAATTACCATTACGTGACCGTGCTCATGAAAGGAGAGGTGGACGTGACCTATGACTCGGAACCTACGAATGTCGAGCCCGACAAGAATGAAAGTAAGAGAATTATGCATGATGATGCTTTTTTTTTTTTTTTTGTGGGGCGTCTATCATATGAAAGAATATTATGTCAGCTGCCCCAGGAGGAGAACTAGATTCTCTTCACATAGAAATGTAAACCTGCTCACGCCCTGGCGTCAGGAGGACAGCCCGGGAGAGAGAACGGGCCGGTTTGCATTTTGACTCTTCCACGGAGAGCTTTGTGAGCCCGGGCAAGTTGTTACATCATCTTCTCTCCCCTGCTTTTGTCGTCTGTAGTAACAGCGACCGCCTCACGGGGTCGCTGTAGGGGAGAAGAATCACCGCACTCACGAGCCCAGTGAGCACAGTGAGCAGTAAATGTTAGTGTTCGTGTTTAGTTTTTTTTTTTTTTTTTACAAACTCCAATTTTGAACGAAACGTTCACTGTGCCTCCTTCCGGAGTTTTCTCGCCGGTGCCCGAGAGGCAGTGACCTCCGTTTACAGGGAACGGCCCGCCCGACGGGACAGTGGTCTGGTGACCTGCGCTGAAGCGAGCGCTCTGGAAGCCTTCGGGGCGGTAGCCGATCCTTATTAGTTACTCCCTGTTAAACATTGTTCTCGGGGCTTTGCGTGTATCACCTCTCTTCAAATTTCATACACAGAAAAGGAGCAGAAGAGGAAATAGCAAACTCAGTGAGTAGGTTATTTGCCTTGTGAAGAAGCTTTTTACTCGAGTGGCCTCGTTCTGGGCCCGCCCTGTAAATATTTAATTTCTCTTCTAAAATGGAAAACTCTTCGTTCAGCAAGTGCTGTGTGCCAGACACTGGTCCAGGCAGGTGCTGAAGAGCCGGTGGGGTATAAACGAAGTCTCTGCTCTCCTGGACTTGACCTTTTCACGGGGCTGGAGGCAAGGGCAGCAAATCAGCAGGTGTTTTATGATAGTGACAGACGATAAGGACGAGGAAGGAAACGCCCAGTAAGGGAGGGAGGGGGCAGATGGCCGGGCGGGGTCTCGGGGAGGGGCCGTGCAGGCGGAGGCCTGGGGGATGAGCTGTTTGCAGAGCGAATAAATCACGTGTGACTGTATCAGAGATGATTTGACTGAGTGAACCCAGGGGTGTGTTCTAACCCAAGGTCTCTTGAGTCACACGAATGTCTTAAATTAACTGTTGACGGGAGAGACCTGGTCTTCCAGCTGACGCAGGTACAGAATTGCAGATCAGTAAATCTATTACCGTGAAGTCGGTTTATTAGTGACCCGTTCCCATGGAGAAAACGGGTGGGACTCGGTTGAGTGAGGGGTGGAAGGCAGAGTTTCAGGGCAAAGCAGGGCGGCAGAAGCAAGAGCGGCTGAAGACGGGGTGGGGGGGGGGTGGGGGGGGGGTGGGGGGCGGGGGTGCGGGCAAGGCCTCGGGCAGCCTGCGGCCGGGTGGCCAGAGGACCGATGGCCCGAGAGCCAAGAGCACCCCGAGCCCCCGAGAGAGAGGGTCCTTTATTCTGAGGACTCATGCAGTTGGTGGAATAGGAGGGGAAAAAAGTTACATACTGATTCACGGGTGAAGGTGGCGCCAGCTTTCCTGGGGGAATGTGACCACCCAAACTCAGGGATGTGGGGGGGTCAGCCCGAATCCTTACCCTGCTCCAGACCCCATTTGTTCATCTTGTTGTGAAACAAACGTGTGACAGGAGGCAGTTCCTTAAAGCTGGGGCACTTTCCAGACTTATTTATGGGCTCTTTCTGTGAGCACCAGGGACTCCCTCATAAAACAGATGGTGACCAGAGGCAGGCAGTTCACCCGAGTTGTTCTGTGGGCTCCTTCTGTGGGCACCGGGGACCCTCTCCCGCAGTCCAGGCCCTGGGACGAAAGCACAGTTTCAAGGCTTCCTTTCCCAGACAGTGGAAACGCCACAGAGAATTTCAAGGACTCTCCTCTTTCCTGCTGCCGCAGTGTTTCCTGGATGTTGGAACACCGGCAGTACGATCAGACCGGCCTCAGGACTCTGAGTGAGCGTGTGAGACCTGTGTCCTCCCTCCTCCCTGCCTCGGTTTTCTGTTCATTCTCCCCAAGTGGTGAGGGGTGCTTCCTGGCCGCCAGGATGCCAGACGCCGGCTGGGAGCAGCAGCGTTGTCAGGGGCTCCTCCTGTGCGGTGGTCTCCTGCTGCATGGCCGCCTGGGACCCCCTGCACTGAACCAGCCGAGTGCGAGTGAGCGGTCACGACACTGCAGCACCCACCGACGGGGGCGGGGGGGTTTTCCTCGCGCCGGCCCAGCCAGCTCCCCGGCTCTGCAGAAACCAGCCGGCTGGCCTGGAGGGCCGTTGGGTGCGGACCCCGCCTGCGCAGAGTCGCCCTCAGACCCCAAAAGCTGAAGGCCCGGCTGCACGGACAGCCCCCACTTCCGACGCCGTGCGGAAGGCCCGGCCTCCTGTACTTTTGATCGCGGCTTCCCTACAGCCCCTTTGCCAGGGTCAGCGATTTGCTAAAATGGCCCACAGAACTCAGAAAAACACTTCGCTTACGTTACCCGTTTATTGCAAAGGGCGTAACTCGGGAACAGCTGGAGGGAAGAGATGGGCGGGGCGGGGAGGGGCGCGGGGCCTCTGCGCCCTCCCAGCGTCTGGGTGCTGGGCGCGCCCACCAGCTCCGAGGCTGGCCAGGCTGAGTCGGGTGGGGCTTTCCCGGAGCCTCCGTCACTGAAGAGCTTAGGATGGATCACGTGACTGTCCACTGGGGGTGAACTCAGTCTCAGTTTCCCCTTCTTCCCCCTAAGGCGGGGTTGGGGGTGGGACTGAAAGTGCCCCACCCTATACTCATGCCCTGGTCTTCCTGGTGACCAGCCCCCACCCTGAAGTGGTCTAGGGGTCCCTGGCCGCCAGTCCTCTCACTAGCATTGACGCAGGTGTGGCTGAAAGGGGTGTTTTATGGGTAAAAAGATGCTCCTCTCGTCTCTACCACTCGGGAAGTCCGTGCCTGGGGAAGGGGCGACAACCACGTGTGTATTTCTCACACCGCTTACCACACACAGCAGCGCCCCGGAGCAGCATCCAGAGGCCGTCAGCTGGCCCAGGGTGAGTTAAAGCCGTTCACCCCTCGGGGTGGAAGGCGGGGACGCAGGTAAGAAACATGCCCGGCTCGCTGGCGGTGTTCCGCACAGGTCCCTCCGACCTCTGACATCGCTCGGCACCCCAGATACAGTGAGGGGCTGGAGGGGGGAGCTGGGACGTCAACAGTGAGAACAGAAGCCAACAGTCTCGACATCTGCAAGCTGTGGAGAGAGCCTGGTGATTAATTGGCCTTTTAATATTAAGTTGAAATTTAAATATGCCTATTTCCATATGAATATTTTCAGTAGGACTCAATTTGCTTTTTTGTGAAGCAAAATATATATTGCATGTAACTGAACTTGCAAACACTAGTTTTGAGGCGGAAGGTATTCAGTCGTCAGCACAGATGATGTTCGTCTCTGGATGGCTTCCATTGCCGTTTTAAAAGGTGGCGGGGAGCTTAGAGACGTTGCGATCTTCCTTGCGAGGAACCTGCCGTGTTAGTGCGGTGTGGCCTCCAGTGTATTAAGGTCTGTGCACTTGGTTTAGCCCAATATTCAGACGAAAACTCAATCACACGAAATCCGGGTTTCACCACAAAGCCGGCCTTGTAAACTTGGCTTCGTGTTCAAGTGACAGCGTGTTTTAAAGGACCTCCATTCTCTTCTCAGATCTTCACTCTAAACGCAAAACTGTGTGTGTGGCCACGCTAACTGCATAGCACTGCTATGGCGCTTATGTCAGCAGAAAAAGCTTTTTAAACTTAACTAATTCTTTAAGTTTAGGTTAATCTGCCCAAATGAGTAACCTTTGTTTCCTTTCAGCTAAATAGATTTGGTGTCTCTCCTTAGGCTGGGAGTGGGTTCCTTGGGAAGAGTTTCCTCCGCTGGACCAGCTTTTCTGGGCGCTGCGCTGTTTGAGGGAACAAGGCTACGACCCCTTCAGAGAAGATCTGGACCATCTGCTGGGCTACAGAGGGCATCACCTGTGGATGGAGAAGACGACCTGACGGAGAAAGACAAGACAGAGTAAGGTCCGCTCGGAGGATGAAGTGTCCGTATATCTGAACAACTCATTTTATCCAGAAAGTTCCTTATCGTTGAGGTTTCTTTTCTGTCTCTTAATACACCCGCACCCTTCCGCCAGTGCGTGTGGCTGACGTTCCGGGAGCACGTCACGCACTGTGTTCCGTGAGTGTGCAGAGGGGCCCTCCCGAGGCCACGTGGGGCGTGACACTGTAACGGAGTGAGTGTGGAAGCAGACGGGCGAGTCCAGCCCTCCTCCGAGGACGTGAACCGGACACCACAGGAAGGTGTGCGAGCGCGGGACAGTGCCGCTCTTCTGTCGCCGGTCTCATAAAGTTACTCTTCATGGAGGTTACTTGTGTTACCCTGAGTTTTGTTGTTTATGCATCAGTAAAAAGTTCTCGTCACCTTTTAGAGGGTAAAGAAGGGCGGTGAGAGCCTCGGAGAAACCTCCCGAGTGTGAGCACCGGTCTAGCTGGGTGCAGTGCGTCCTGTGCAGCCGCGCTCCCCAGTCCCTCCAGTAATGTATAAGATGCAACTAGATTTACAGAAATGATTTTCTCAACCACACTGAAGGTAGTTTAAATTAAAATAGCAGCATAAGGAGTATAAATAAATTAGTTTATTCACAGAAATTATAATTAGTACATATTGAGGACATTTCTCCTGTTCCTGCTGGCAGAAGCTAACAACCTTCACTGTTTAACTCTGCTGACTTTAAAGAGAGAGGAAGAGGCTGGGGTGGGGGAGAAACCGAGTTGCTGTCCCACTCGCTGACACACTCACCGGTGGATGCTCGCGCGTGCCCTGACCGGGGAGCGGGCCCACCCCCTCTGGGTCCCGGGACCGCACCCTGACCGGCCGACCCCGGCTGTGGCACAGCCTTCACCTTCAGCGGGGGGTTCTGCTGTCTCAACCTGGTGCGCGTTCAGGGACCCGCCGCCCTTTCTAAATCATCCCAGGAGGCCCACTAGTGACAGGTGCACGGGTCACTTCCTCCAAGCCTCACCCCAGGACGACTGTGCACCAGTCCAGCACAGCTGGGACAGGGCAGGGCCAGGCCGCACTGCACTGCATCCTCTCTCCCCCCCAACGGTGAATTCTGATTATCCTCCAGACAGTCCCCGAGTGATTTAGAGCCAAAATCGTGATCTTTGCTCTAGAAGAAGGTCCACCGTGACTTTCCACGGGGGCGCAGTTCCGCTGCAGCCGGCACCGCCCTGCTCTCCCCACCGGGTGGAGCCGCGCGGAGACGCGCACGCCTCAGTCGGAGTCGCTGCTGCTGCTCGAGGAGTCCGTGGACATCACCTCCACGTCGTCCTCGTTCTCCTTGTTGTGCCCGGGCGGCTCCAGCAGGAAGTCGCTGCTGTGGTTGGGCGGCAGCATGTTCACGGCCATGTCGCCCGACTGCCAGGGGTACTGCGGAGCGAGCACGTCTGGGGGGAGAGAGGCGCACGTAAGAACAACGTTTCTCCCCGTAACCCCGTAACCCCCTGATTCCAGGCACCTCTCTGCTCCGCGCAGGTGTCTGGGGGCGCGACCCTGGAGGCCCGGCCTGGACTAGAGCTGCCGCGCTGGGCAGTCTCGGCGCGGCTGCACCTGGGAGTCACTTCCAGTGTGGTCCTGGAGGTGAGCGCAAGACCCCCCGACTCCACCGCCATCTGGGAAAGCTCCGTATGCTCTTTACATGTGTAAACATCTAATACACTCTGTACTGCGTGTTACGAGTGTGTAAACTGCGGTTTAACCTTTGGACCCACACGTCTCACTGGACCCTGAGACCATGGCTCCCTCGCCAGCAGCCGCAGCACTAAGCCTTGTCAGTAGAGGGCACCGGAGGGCCTCTCCCGGGGTCGGGAGGACACTGGCTGCTGGACGCCTGCTGCTGACCTCCTGGCCATTTTCAGGACCATCCCCGAGGCTGGCTTCCCAGCAAGTCTCACCATTACCCCAAAGCGTGGCCTTCTGGTGAGTCTTCCTGGGATCTAGTGGGCCGTTTCCTGCGTGGCAGCTCTGGCCTGTGACCCCCTCGTGGAGCTGCTCTGCCACCCAGGGGCGTCACGATGTGAGCAGAGTCCTCAGGCAGGGGGCGGGGGAACCCTGGGCACTCTGCCGTGCTCCTAGGGTAGCGGCTGCTCCTCCCGGGACGGGGCACCGTGGCCAGGAGGGCAGCGAGCAGCACCCAGGGAACCAGGTGCGCAGAGGGGTCCCCCGCCGCGCTCTGGCTCGCGCTCACACTGGTGCTCCCAGTGAGACGCCGGAGGGCAGAGCGTGTCCGGAGCACACTGTGGACGGTGCGAACGTTCCGGGACACAAGGGCACGGGCAAAGCACCAAAAAGTGGCCGATGAACAGGGCGGTTTTCTCCTTAACTTTCTAGATGTTCTACCAAATCCAACAAGCCCCTTCTACAAAAGATAACATACGGGGAACATGAAGTACTGTAAGAACAGCACAAACCCACGTGCAAACCTTGAGGAAGGCTGAAACTCAGAATAAACCAAGTCTCACAAAAGTGCTATTTTACACAATTATTAACAGCCTACAGAAGATTTTTATGCATTTGTTAAGTTGGGGTTTTATAATCTTTGAACATATGTATTTGTTACTGTTTATACAGTATGTTTCACAATTAAAAAGATCATGTTTAGAACCATAAAAACAACAAGAGAGAAGCCCGAGGGAAACGGCACAGTCACAAACGGGAAGGAGAAACTCAGTCCGCCCTGTTCCGTAACCCCTACCCAGAACAGCCCTGGAGGCCGAGGGAGCGGAGCCCCGGCCAGGACGAGGGGCTCGGCCCCGGCGGCGCCCTCCCGCCGACCCACCTGGCAGCCGGCCTGCGGCCAGCGCGTCCCCGGGCAAGTGGCCGTTCACGCCGTTGGCGGAGGGGTTGTTCATCTGGCCCAGCAGCCCACTCCTCATCTCCAGGTCAGTCGGGTACGGCCTCCGCGGGTCCCCTGGAGAAGGACCGGACACAGCAGACTTCCAGTTAGACCACACGTGGCTAAGCATTTGTGGCCCCCCACGTACTGGTTTCCCTCGGTTCACTTTGAAAAACTCAAGCTGTATTTTCAGTTTTGGAATACAAAGGTCATCTATCAATTGCTACCAAGTGAGGATGTATTTATTGATTTGAGGGAGGGACAGAGAGAAACGACAACATGAGAAGCGTCGGTCAGTTGACCCTCGCACCTGCCCCAGCAGGGGATTCGAACCGCAGCCCCCTGGTGTACGGGACAGCGCTCCGGAGAGCACCAGGAGCCCATGGCCTTCATCTCCAATCACACAAGCACACTAAGGAGCAGTGTTGGACTGATAAAACCTCGGCCGGATTCGGACCACTACTCAGTGACACTTCTCACCAACTTCCCATTACCCCAAACACTGCAGCTATCCTAGGTGTTTTAATATGGCGAAGGGACCGAAACACCACCGGGAGTTACTCAGGCTGAGGTCACTGTCCCCCACAAAGCGCTCCTCCGCTGTCCGGTGGCACAGCCGCGGCCCCTCTGCCGCTGGTCTGGCTCTGGCTCCCCCCAGCCCCTCGCGTGTGGGCTGTCGGGGGCCTGGGGCTTCCCCTGGGCCGGGGTCTCTGCGGGAACCCCGCTGGCTCTAGGGGTTGGCTTCTAGCCAGCCGGAGTTTTAACTGGCGTGTAAACCTATAGCTTTAGAATCATCACTCACTGTGTTTGTCAGGATTATTCATTGTTATTTAAAAAAAAACAAACAGGGTCCACAACAGCAATAACACTGTAGAAAACCAAACTGATAAAACCCATGACCTATATTCTTAGAAGCCTTTAAAGATATGAAGATGCACAGATTTACATGTTCTGTATTTAACGCATCCCACACTTTAATCTGTTTTTGTGCGCAGTCACCTAGGAACCCTCAAAGCCGCGTCACTCCAGTGGGGAGAGGGGGCGTCCTTACCGGGAACCCAGGTCAGCGGGGCGCACACGGCGTTGCTGGCGCTGATCCTGTGCGCGTACTTAATGATCTCTTCCGAGGAGACGGCGCCTGCGGGGGCGGGGAGGCAGGCAGGCACGGGGTTGGACAGTGCTCACGTCCGCTACACACAGAACTTAGTCACCGAAGATGATAACGTCATCTGCGCTACCTGCCTTCCCTGACATCTGCGTGTGCGTCGTGAACGTAAATCACGTGTCCGTGTCCGAACTGAAGAGCGCGACGCCCACTGCCGTGACTGAAGCAGTAACTCCGGGAGACCACGTGGCGGTGCTCAGGGACCCCAGTTCCTAGCCACCCCCCCACACACCCCCGACTCCGCGCTCTTCTGCAGGCAGCAGCAGCAGCACACAGGGAGAGCGGGGTGCCCGCCCCCCAGGGGTGCTCGCCCCCCAGGGGTGCTCGCCCGCCGTCCCACCAGGGCGGCGGCAGTGCACACGGCCACCCAGCACTGACTGGGGGAGAAGGACGCCCACCGCATCCTCACGGAGTGGGAGGGAGTGAGTGAGGAACAGCACGGATGGCCTAACCTGAGTTTTAGAACATGTGTGAACCTACGTGTTCACGCTGTTCTCGATACATGTGTTTTTACAGATCTAAACACAGTCCGGAAGGACACGTACCAAGTGCCACCAGCAGCTCTCTGAAACGAGGGGAGCAGAGTCAGACGTCTGAGTCGAGATCACTAAGTGCAGCTGCTGGGGGGAAGCAAGCAGACCTCTCGCTGCGACGCTGACCCCGGCAGGCACCTGGAGGGTCCCTTACGGGACGGAGGGCGGCAGGAGAGCGCAGGGGGGCACACTGGCCACCGCCCCGCAGAACGTGCACACGCCCCAAAGCCGCGGTTCCGACTCCGAGGGGTCCTCAGCCCCACTGCGGTGGACCCATGGGTGTCCGCCCGTCTCTGCTCTGTCTTCCCAGCCCAGTGCAGCTCCTGCTTGCTTTCGGCCCACAGTCCCCTCCTCTCCTCCCACCAGTTCTGCAAACCCACTGTCTCCATGGGGACATTTGGTCCACGGCCATAACTGGCCGCACGTAACTGCTGCCTACCGCCTGAAAAAGGACGGGGTTCGCAGGCAGGGCGCCCGGAGACAGCAGACCCTTTACGATGAAAATGTATCAGAGCCTGCTGACAGCAGCAAACGGTCACTAATAATACTCGCATCATTTTCTTGAGACTAACAGTTGAGTTTTTTCAGGTCATCCGGTGTTCCCATAGTACTAACCTTTTCTTGCCTTTTCTATGGATTTCAGCTTTTCTTTTGCTTGGTATACAGCTGTTGCCTGGGGAACATTAAGGAGAAATACGGTTTATTCCTAACTGCATCAAGCACAGTTTTCCCCTTAATTCACAACACCGTTTACCCCGCAGGACCAATACCCAGTTTGGAAGCCCCCACGGCTCACACGGAACACTCTGGAACAGCAGTGAGTGTCACTGGCATCACACTTACACTTCAGGAAAGAAACACATTCCTGAACGAGTCTTCATTCTCAGATTCGCTGCTGGAAACCACGTACAGACTGGACTGTTCACTGACACTTCTTCTTTGTGTCTTCTACCACAGAGGAGAGGTACGGACCACGGGCCACTGTCCTTTCTCCCGGTCCGAGGACAACACGCCTACACAGCCTTGTTGCTTACAGGGCGTGTCCGGGGGCCGACGCTCATACCCCTTCACACAGCACCACTATGCCCACGCTGCCTGCTCCCGACCGCCCCAGCTCCCACGAAGGTACATGCACCACGGGCAAAGTGAGGGGGCCCCGGGTCCGCACCCCCACCCAAGCCCAGTGGCTAACAGTATGGCACTGCAGAGATTTGGGGTTAAACGCCATCTCTATTTTTTATCCTCCTTGAGCAAGGAAGCCATTCCTTTAAAGTCTCGGTTCCTTCATCTTTAAAATGAGAAAAGGGTGCCGGGCGCCCAGACCCAGTGCTCACTGTCTTCAGCTCGGGGACGGATCGCAGGCCTGACAACTCAGCCTGAAGAATGCAACCACAGGGAACGAAGCTTTTCCGAAAGGACGTTCACCAAAGCATTAGTTGTATCAGAAAGTTAGAAAATCAAACGAGGAGGATACAATTATGGGAAAAATGCGTGCGTGTTAATGAAGAGTAACGAAGTCCATCAGCACCCTGCTGATTACCGTAGGGGGAGAAACACACACACCTGGGACTGAGGCTCTGCACCGAACGGTGCACAGTGGCCGTCTCTGAGCAGGGGGACTACAGGCCATTTCTTCTCTTCTGCTTTTTTGCATTTTCTGAATATCTTTTGATAAGCAAGTATTACTTTCCCAATGAAAACTAGGTTTTACTATATATTTTTAAAGAAGTATCTATCTACTTGGGGTGTTTCTCTAGCAGAAGTGGTTAATCCACCCTGAACCTCTCCGGCTCCTGGGTGCTGGAGCCCCTTTGACACGTTCTGAGAGATTCACCGGGGTTGGGGGGCCAGCTGTGCCGGGTCCACGCGAGACTCAGACCCAGCCGTGTCTGCGACGCCACACAGCAGCTCCATTAGTCCGTGTTTAGTGAGATAACCGGGCAATGATAGCAAATAAAGTGCCTCTTTGAAACAGCAGCCACGAAGAAGAAAAGGAAAAACCCGCGCCCTTGACATCTACCCCAACCCCACCTCGTCTGGGATGGGAACTAAATTGTGTAACTTTTATTTATAAAGTCGGTACATGTTTTCAAATATTTTTATAACTAAAGACAAGACTTAGAGTATTAACAACTAAATTGATTCAGGACATGAGAACAGTAAAGCTTCCACGTCTACAATTCAGTACTGTGTGATCTTTAAATAACAAAAATGAGGTTCAGCCACACGTGCCTGTCTGAAACAGGAAGTCAAGAAGAAATGACAGCAGCCTTTCATTAAACCAAAAGGGCAAGCTGTCACTTCCAGACTTGGAAAATCAAGTTTCTGCCACTTCAAAATACTAATAATAGACTTATTTTTCAAAAATACATTAAATAGCCCTGACTGGTGTGACTCAGTGGGCTGGGAGTCACCCTGCAAAGCTAAAGGCCCCGGGTTCAATTCTCGCTCAGGGCACATGTCTGGGTTGCAGGTTTGGTCCGCTGGCTGGCTGGGATGTGTATAAGAGGCAACTGGTTGATGTTTCTTTCCCTTTCTTTTCCTCCCTCCCTTCCTCCCTCTCTAAAAATGAATAAAATCTTTAAAAAAATAGACGAAATAAACAATATCTTTGTTAAATAACCCGATTGCCAACTTACGAGTATCTGTTCAGCTTCCTTTAGCTGTTTTTGCAGTTGCTGAATATCACTGTCTCTCTTCTCAACTTCCTTTTCCAGAACCTGCATCTCATGGTGGACCTTCCCCTGACTAAATGCCAGTTTCATTAGTTCTTGAAACTCCCCGTCCCTGTGAATTAACAGCTCCAGCACCTGTGAAACAACCGTTGATTAAAGGAGGTAACAGCATTAAAAAGCTACATTCCAATGAAACAAAGAATCCACCTGTTAATTTTGGGGATACAAAATTTTAACATCTCCAGATATTTTTAATCCTTATTAAAAATAAAAACAGCCTATGTATAATTACTTTGGAAAACAGATTAAGATTTTCTTTTTTTTGTAGTTATACTCTATTCTTTCATACAAAACAAAACTATTCTTTCATCACTAGCAACATGCCAAAAGGAGTTAGTTTATTCATCTCCCAGGGAAGAAAAAATTTTAAAGTTTATTCTTGACAACATAATGCGGTGGAGGTTCCCCTGAATTCTGGTACTTGAGATGATTTTAGCTGGCACCAAGAGCTTAAAAAATCTTTTATTACTACATATTTGTGCTAATATTAGAAAAATA